ATATAAATACTTCTTTACTTTATTAATTAAATTCTTACTATTAATATAAATAATTATTTTTAGTATAATAATTCCTATAATAAGAATGAAGAGGAATTTAAGGCGTTTAAAATTCTAAGTTTCGCTAGGCGGAATATAATTGAAAATAATATTAATATTAAATTAATCGATAGAAGTACGGATAATACGAAGGGAGTTTATTAATTCCCCGAATTAATAGAAACTAGCGTATTTTTATATATAGGTTTCAGCCTCCTTAGTTAAAATAGTTATATATTCGAACTAAGAGATAGAGAGAGGAAGGGTCCGACGGAGCTAATAAAAATCGGAAAATTTATTGTAGAAATTACGCTATTAATAAGTTATATAAAATTCGTTTATAATTATAAATATTATACGGGCGGCGAATTCTGGGGCGCGGAGGAATTTGAATAACCGGTAGTAAAATATTTATTTAGGTCCGAGAAGAATATATATAAAGTATTCTAATTATATACGCTCTTATAATATATTAATCTAATTATATTAATTAATAGTTTAGGAATAATAATTAGTATATTATATATTTTATAAAAGTCTTAATTAATAAATAAAGATTTAGCGGCGGGGTATTTTATAATAACGTTCTTCTATTTTAACCAAGACGATTAAATAGTATAATTTGTAATACAATTTTAATTAGTAGGATAATTAATATTATTTAAAATATAATACTTTCTCTAAAACCCATTACTATTATAAGGATTATATTATTATATTAATAAATAATACGACGAATATATTTAATTTATTCTAAATTAAATTTACGTAGAATTTAATTAAATATTAACCGAACGATTAGATTAAATAGAATTCGAATAATAATATATATAAACCGAATTTAAAACTATTAATATTCGTCTAAATTCGTATATTTAATAATAATTGCGATATATTACTACACAATTTTCTTTAGAGTAAATAAAATAATAAAGTCGGAATACGTTTCGAAATATTAGACGAAGTTGAAAATTTTATCGAAGGTAGAATTTAATTAAATTATTATTGGTACTAATTTTTAAATAATTTTAATAGAAATTAGTAGAAATACAAAACATATTTTTTGGGACGATAATTGCCGCGCTTAATAAATATACCCCCTAAGGAATACCTAATAATAAATATAAATTGTAATAAATAAAACAAAATTGAAATATAGAAGTTCTAGTTTATACAAAATACGATGAACAGACCGAATTTAGATACGTGTTGTTATTATTGAAATATTCGCGAGTGATTATTAAGTATATTTTTTTTATTTATATAAAAATTTTCGCAACTAACGGCCAAAACGTTCAAAATTATTATAGACCTCTTCTCACTTTATTCGAAGAGACCTACATTCTATGTAGGGCGGGGGCGCGGGGTGGTCGGGGAGAGGGGGGGGGGTCGGGGATGGGGGGGTGAGGGGGTGAGAGAGGTCAATGTAATAGAGACTAGCTTCAAGACGGTTTGACTGGTCACTTCAGTCATGTCGCTTTTCCAGTTCGGGTTCTGGTAGTCAACCAACAAAACGACAGCCCCAGAGGACATATACACCAGGAAATCACCCTTCGAGTCCAATCTCGTTCGCAACTATTAGCGTACGGATGATGCCTCACCCAACGATCTTGCCAAAGATCTTCATCCATTGCTACGGCGGATCTAGGCCTCGCCAACGGTCTGGCCCGGGACCAATGACAAGCCGCATGCACCGGGCCGTTCCCCAAAGAAGCGGTGATCGTCCCTATTTCTCCACTACCCGTTGGCTTCTCCTGAGACACCCCGGGACAGGCCGCGCCCTCGCGCCTTAAAAAGCCGTTGGACGTTGAGGTAGACGTGAAAAGCGGGTCAGGCTGACACTTCACCTCATCTCTGGTTGGTCAATCCCCGAAACTTCCCCGAAACTTTGACGTGATGAATGTGATTCGGCTCACTCAAATCCGCAGGGGTCACAACAGGGGTATCGTTCAAGTTGCTGCTTCGACGTTCTCGAGGATCTCTGCCATTGAGGCTCTCACAGGTATGCAGGAGTTGGAAGAAATTGATGTCTCGGAGGAGGGCAGAAAGACTATTTATCTGGTGCTGGACATGTAACACCGCCCGAAGTTACATTTCGCATCATGCGTTTCTCTTCTGCCCACTTTCTAAGCGCGCTACAGTAGAAACCCCTGTTAATAGGGTTAGGGTTTTGGTTCAAACAAACAACAATGCACCAAGACTTGACTCCATTCACAGCGGGCAATAGCCAACTGGATGCTACAATTCACGCCAGCAGTCCCGCCTAGCTATCCTGAAAGTGGTAAAAAAGTCCTCTGCAAGTACCACGCTAACGAACAAACTAGGGGTGAAGTGTATGAGATCTGGATCAATGTTCGCAAATTTGGAACGCGCCCAAAGTCGCACTCTCCGGTAGTGTCAAAAGATGGAATTTGACGGCATGGGTCCTGGAACACTCGGCCGAACGGAACAACGACAGACCGCTGCTTTTCCAACTCTTCGAGATATGCGCCATGGAAGAGGCATAGCCAGCTGAGACAACCTTCTTTTATTCCCAAGACCCAGGGAAACGGTACCCCTATGAGTCCCGGTGTTGGCGTTCTAGATACGATTTCGCCCCATCCCTGGGCTCCATGCCATCCACCGCCTCTGGGCTGTTCCAAGCGTCTCTGCCAATCATTCCTAGATGTGTTGCTTATTTTGGACATCTGGGTCATATGGTACAGTACACGACCCGAAAGGACGGTATACGCTGCCGCATACAGGTTTCACAGCATCTTCTGTGTGATACATCACCACTTCTCCTTTGACCGACCGTTAACATATTGATGTTTCTCAGCATGCATCCGGGCACTTCACGGAAACGATCGCCCAAGGAGTATATAAGCCTCCAAATCTTTACCCAAAACATTCATCATGCGCCGGTCTTCGCATATCAGAATGAGACGTTCCCCTACACCTTTCAAGTCCTTCTATTTCAGCTGCGCAGGCGAGGTGTGCGAAAAATGATCCGAACACACTTACACCAAAACACACCAGAAAGTGTTCGGTCTTTTTTCGCACACCTCGGCAGGATGCCAGGCATATCAGAGTCGAAGCGAGTGGGATGATAATCCCATATCCAATCCTCTGCCAATGTTCCAGCAGTACATACCGGCGTCAACTCCGGCCTTGTGATTGGAGCTCTAGCTAACAATATTTTCTTTTATCTCTTGGCTGAAGCCCCGAGGACCATATCGATTCCATGATGAGGCTGCAAAATGGCGAGGCAATGTCTCGCGGCTATGAATGCCGGCTTGGACTTGCCGCGGAAGACGACGTAACGTCCGGTGAACATGGGCCTGAGCCTATGACAGGGAGCCCAATGATAACGGCAATTCTTCTGCCGCCAGATCTCATGTCGGATTTATCCCCACGCTATACAAGCCAATTACATCGTTTGCTATGTCCGGATACTACGTCAAGTGCCGGCCTGCAAGTCGTTCTCGAGGTGTAATTGGCCGTAAACCGTGGGGATAAATCCGACATGAGTGAGATCTTGCGTAACGGTAGCTTCCCAGGCCTCGCTTCGCTCAAGAAAGGGGGAGGTTGAACTGTGTTCAATACTACCTATCCATCCGACTGATGTCCATAAAGCTGCAACCAAGCTGTGTCTATGAGATTCAGTTGAGGAGCACTACAGCTAACACTTACGTTCATATGCCTTTATCTGAGGTCTTCTGGTCCATTATAAACCGGGCGTGACACGACTTTTAACTATCCTCGTCATCGGCAAAACTTGCAGCGTGAATTATTTCTTAGCACCTCAAGCTCGCTTAGTTGTGATGAAAACAGTCACCTGCCATAATGGCGTTTTAGGTGCACGATCTGATCGAATGTTTATCTTCCTCGGACATTTGGTACTGTGCAGAGAAACCGCGGTTTTCAGGACATGAAACGACACCATGTTTGGATTGAATGTTCGATGTAACTCTTCGCATTCTCTTGTTGAAAGTCCACAGGGGCAGGTAGGGTTTATATCCCCAAAGTCTAGTTGCCCCCAGTCCAGCCCCTGCGTTAGAGCATATCCACACCTCGATAAGCTTGAAGAAGAGTGCAATGGTTGACTACACTACATCTAGGCGATCTGCATATACCTTCCGAAGTTGAGCTCCCCAGCAGCCCGGTTCCTCTTCAAGCCGGGTATCAAAGCTCCTCGTGGCTTATGTCAGTATCGACTCCCTACTCCCCCAGTCGAGAAACGGATCCTTCCACGATCACGATCTCTGAGACCAACGCCTCCCGCAGCTCGCAACATCAACAACATGTCGAAGCTCGGGCAAACGATCATGCGCGCGCGCATCTTGGTAGCAGCAATCTCCGATTAAAGCCCTAGTGTTGCCCACCTCACACTTAGCCCGTTACAATCCAGTTCCCCGACTCGCCCGGTTCAGGGGGGTGGGAAAGTAGCTCCACCTCCACCCTCCTAGTAACCCCCGTCATTATTTCATGTTCATATTATACGAGTCTTGTCTTCAATGCTCTTTCCACAGGAACACAACTCCGATGATTATCGGTGCGGTTTCGAGGTGGCAGGGTTGAGAAGTACGGGTGAGTACCACAAACTCATAGCATACAGCGGCTGTTTGGGCTTCCAGAATTGAAGACTCAACCACCCTTGCCTTGAATCCCCACACATTCTCGGGTGCACTTTCCTTGTAATTCAAGCTAACTAACTACGTAGTAGTACGGAGAAAGCACGCATCACAACCTCTCGAAAAACTGATGCACACCCTAGCCTAGACTCTTGGAATCTTCCTAGACATAACGCCACTCTTCGGTCCGGGGCGAGAGCAAGCCGATTTCCGCTCAAGTTACAGCTTTATCTAAGAAACACCTGCCTTTCCTATTCCCCCTACCCTAGTGTTTTTTCAACGGTGTCGAGGTTTTTGATGGTTTCCATTTCCTACATAATCAAAATCCATCCTACCACACGGTGGCTTGTGCATGTCACGCCCGTTGCTCCTTCCTTACCTACCCTTAGGTCGTCATCCTCTGTTTACTTACCCTCAAGAAACAGTACCAACCCGCCAGAAACACCGGTAACCTCACATCCATCATGCCTATGGGAGGTGATGGCCCGGGGGCCATAACTGTGATGTGGGTTATGGTCTCACTTGCTGGACTTTGCGTCAGCCTACGATTATACGTTCGCACTTTTATTGTGGCGAATACGGGTTTTGATGATCATGCTTATGTTCTTGCGTTTGTGAGTACCTACTCTGGACAACATCCATTTCTCAGACTCTCTTTTTTACACAAAAGGTCAAACATTAACCCTGACTCCCTTTTTTTTTCAAGGTATTTCTCCTCTGCTACACAATCTGCAGTACCATAGCAGCCCACTACGGATTCGGGCAAAACATGTGGGACATCCCAGTGGAAGATGTCCCCGGCGCCATCATGTGGGAGGCTATCGGCCAGTGCTTCGCCGTTCTTGGCATGGCTGTGGCAAAATGGTCGTTGGGACTCTTCCTGCTGCGCCTGGTTACCCAGAAATGGCACAAAGTCAGCATCTGGCTTGTGATGGGAGCGCTTATGGGCGCTTCGATCTCCGTCTGCTTTGTCTTTATGCTCCAGTGCTCGCCGCCGGCGTATCTCTGGGATAAATCGATTAAGGGGGGTCATTGTGATTTGGATGCTACGCCGGTTTCTATGACGCTTTGTAGTATGTTACCTACCTTACCTCCTCAATGTTTTGTCCAAGTTTTGCGGTTTGCAACGGGGGAGAGTGTCCCCCGGCTGCAGAGGGCTGATGAGAGAGAAAGTGTTCTAACAACCCCAAAAGTCCTCTGTGTCTTCGCCGATTTCTTCTTCGCTCTCATGCCTTGGATCTTCCTCTGGAAACTCAACATGAATCAACGAGAAAAGATGATCATCGCCATCAGCATGAGTCTAGGCGTCATGTAAGTTCACCACCCACTCACATCCATCCCTACACGCTCATTTATCATCACTTCTCTTCTCCTCTCTCCTTTCCAATCAAAGCTCATGTCAACCCGACCAACACAAACTAACATTCTGGTCAACACAGCGCCGGAGCCTGCGGCATCAAACGCACCATACAAGTCCCCTCCCTCTCCTCCTCAAACAACTATTCGCGCGACACCGTCGGCCTGATCGTCTGGTCCTCGGCCGAGATCGCCATCACCATGATCTGCATCGGCATTCCCGTGTGCCGACCTTTATACAAGTCCTTCTTCAACAAAATCATCTCCTCCCGCAACGGTACCAGCCGCGGCTATCAGAAGCAAAGCGGCGGCGGCGGCGGCGCCACAGGACATGTCGGTCTGCGCACCATTGGTGGCGGTACGATTCCTGGACGCTCTGGTAACGATAGCAAGAATAAGTCGAAGAATAACTCGCGGCCGCTTAGAGATGATGAGAGTGATGAGTTTGAGTTGCATAGGGAGGGGAAGATGGGGGGCATGAGGAGTAGTGGGAGTGATGGGCTTGGTACTTCCCCACAAGGGCAGAGTCCATTCAACGATGCGAATGCGGTTGGCGGTTCCTCGGCGTCGGTAGCGGTGGGAGGACGAGTGGGTGGGATGGATAATCGGAGTGAGGAGTCGATTTTGGGTGAGGATTATAGGAGGGGGCATGGACAGCAGGGCAGTGGTGATTTGGAGAGGGGAGAGGGGCCTGGGCAGGGAGGCCATTATGGGAATAACAGAAACTCGGGAGGAAAGCCGGTGATGCAGGTCCAGATCACAGAGGAGTGGCATGTTACGAGGGAGTAGTGACCTGACCTGACTTCCGCTGGGTATTGTCGGTCCCTTGGAGTTTTGTAATGGCCTGGCGCAGGTTATAAAAGGAATGGCGTTTGTTTTTGGCTTGGAAAATTGGGCGATTGGATGTCTAAAGAGAAATAAGTGTTGCATCACTGCAGTCATGAGAGGTTTTATTCTGGACCCGCTACCTCAGGGCCGTTTGTTCGTTATCTTTTCCCTCTTATTCCTTTCTGTTTACTTTCTTTCACGACGTCAAGCGCTCTCAAGGATCTGGCTTTCGTACGTAGAGGTAATTATCAAATATCCATTCATCTTTCCTTTAAGGATTTGTTCACTGGTGCACAACTGTGCGAAAGGATTGATTTGCTGTCATTGGTTTCGGGAATAGAACCCGACGACGGGATGAACTCAAAAATCTACCACAGAAAAGGGCCAGCCAGCCAGACTCATTTCAGTCACTCTGCGATTTCATGCTTTCATGGTACTTCAATGGCCAATCCACTTTTCTTGAAGCATTGTAAATACATAAACTGACTAAATATTAGCCTTGGAAAGGATTCCAGTCCATAAATCATGTTCCATTGTCATTCGAACTGGCGGGTGCATGTCATGAAGATGGGAAAGTTGTAGCACTTAAAGGGGTGACAAGTGTTGAACCATACGGAGGAGGTGATCACGAGAGACGACGGAAGTGGTGGTGAAAGTCTCGATTGATTGAAGAGAGAGAGAAAGACCAAAGGAAAGGAGACGAAGTCTAGCTTATATACAGGGTAAGCATGTGTGGATCGTATCCACCTTGTGCCAAGAATGCCAAGACATGGTGATGGCTTCAACAACATGCGGAGGAACTGAGCAAAAGAATCAACTTAAAAATTCCGGAAAACTTCATGATTCTATAAAGGCGATTTTTCGCATCATCGATTCATGGTTTATTTCTCTTTCCCTACCTTAAGTCTACCCTAGTGTACACAGCAGCATATTTTCAGCCCTGCCCTCGCCACCAACCACCACACGCAGTCCTCCTTTCACAAATCACCACTGTGCCAAACGCAACATCAACCACCAACACGTTACAGATCCTGCGAGCTTGTCCTCGCTCCTTCCTAAAGCGACTCTAGCGCTCGATATGATAGGCTCATGATGCTCTGTCTGCACGAGGCTGCACGAGTCCGCAGCATGCTCTAGACGCGCAACGCGATGCTCAAGTTGGGCGGCAGTGGCGGCTACCTGCTTTTGAGAGTTTGGCGTATAGATAGTGGTAGATCCAGAACACCAACTAGTGGAGATACTGAAGGGTGTTTCGCTGGTTGGTAGGTTCTCAGGCGATGCGAAAACCCGTTGAGTGCACAGTGGTTATCCTACACGGTGTAGGGTGCCGCTGGATTGCAGTTGAACTCGTCAAAGACTGGATGAGCTGATCCAACGCTAGATGTTTTGGGTGTTTCAATGGCATGGTGTTGATGAGTGGGCAAAGAGGGTTGCTAGCAGTTCTTGACTTTCTGTTCTCTCCGTGCAAGTCCTCACAAATACTTTGCCCACCCTCTCTGGCAGTGCTATTCTTCCTCCTTTCAAATTTTCTCCTCGTTCCTGTTGACTGGAGTCTTCTCTGCGAGTGAGCTCAAGATGAATTTCCGGCCAACCTCCCTCGCGCCATTGTCAATACCTCTACTGCTGGCCCTGCTCTTGCAGCTTAATTCCTCTTTTGCATCCACGGCATCTGTTCTCTCGATCAACAGGCCTTCACAAGAAGATACGCCCATCGAAAAGACCAATCTTAACAAACATGCCGCCTGTGGTGACGACTGCAACGACGAATACATCGAGAATTGGTATGCCAGCATTCTGTACCCGAAACTGAAGACAGGGAACCACGAGCCAGAGATTTTTTACTGGGGCGATACCATGGTGGTAAATTATATCAGTTCGTTCGACGACCCAATCCTCAACATCTATTGTTACCAGGATGAGGCGCACACAACGGAGAATGGGTCATGGGGTAAGTTTCTTTACCCTTCGGAAATTGGAAATGTTACTCTCGGCCGTCAAAGTTGACATTGGGATCTGGACAATATCCGAGTTGAGTTTGATCACTTTCTGTTCATGTTACTGACCTTACATCTGCTGCCCAATCAAGCATTGAACGACAATGACGTCCCTGCCTACAACGGAACAATTCCTGTTACGCTGGAATTCTCCTTTCCGCAAGGTTTCAACGTCACTGGTTGTGAAATCCAGTTAACTGGTCGCACTCCAGGTGATTCAGTGTACGCCAGTATTGTCCAGTCAGAATCCGTCCCATTCAAATTCATTGATCACCACCGAGATGGGCCCGCCTTGGTATTTAGCATGACAGGTGTGGTGACCGAAGGTAGTGGCTCTGATACGGGCTCCACAACTTCAACAACACTGTCGACAGTCTCTTTACCGACCGCATCATCCACTTCGTCTCTGGACCGAGGAGCCACAACGACGAGCACACAAACGCAAACAAGCTCGGCTGAACCGATAAGCAAGGAGGAGTCAAAAGCAGGGGCAAGTCTAGGCGCTACCGCATTAGCCGGGATAGGTGCCGGAGCAGGCGTGGCAGTAGTCGCAATTGCTGCCATATGTTTCTTCTTCTTTTGGAGGGCAAGGCAGAAGGGAAGAAAGGGGGCCGCTGATGCTGATGAACCCGCCCCGAATTCGGTATCAGAGCACAAGGAAGCAAAGGTCAAGGTAGAAGAATTGCATGGTCAGGCGGTTGCGGAGAGAGGAGAGCTTTACAGCCCGGAAAAGCCACAGGAATTGGGATCGGGAACGCAGAGACACGAGATAGGCGGTGGGAGATCGATGGAAAGGATTGAACTTCCTTGAATTTTGCTACTAAGACTACTATTAGCACTAGAACGGGGACGGGAAATGAAGCAAGGATCAGAAATACGATGTTCATCAAAACCATGTAACGAAGATGGGAGCAACTGAGTGTCTCCCCGAAGGCCATTCATTGTTGAATCAAGGCTGAAAGGGCTTTGGATCAATAGCGAGACCCATGTTGAAATTGAGATGGTTGAGGCTGTCCTTGACCTTGGTTTTGCCCTAAAACTTGAGCTGCTTCTTGAGGGAGACGGCTCACTGAACCCGGAACTGGGAATGAAGCATGTCTTCAATGACCATATGCTTGAGGAATTTCCCGCCGCAGCTGTGATATGGTTTGAAATTGTGGTGAAATCAACTGGCCTGTAGGTAAGAAAGACGTAAGGCTGACCTAGCCATTCCGTGGGCCATCCCTAAGAGCCGTTTCCTCCTTGTTCCTCGCCGTGAACTTGGCTCCTTGTGGCGTACCTCTTTCCAAGTTCCTCGGTCGCTCTCCCGCGCATGGTCTGTTGGCTTTCTCTACCAGCGACAGCCTGAGAGAGAACTTGCGGAGAGATGGTTTGGGCAGGTGGTATCGTTGCAGGTGTGACAGACGGCAAAGGACCAGCAGGTCCCAACTCGGTTTGATGATGAGAGCCAGATTCTGTTAAAGGACAGTTCCGAAAGGTGGCCGTTGAAGGCATTTGCAGATGGCTCTGCTGTGGAATAGCTTTCGGAGGATGCCGAAAGACCCCTAAGGACGGAGTTGGAGCCTGACTTTGGATATGATCTGGGGCAGTCGGTGTCCCTGAAGTCGGATACGATGAATGTTCCTGTTCACGGGTTGTTCCAAAAAGATTCCGGCGTGTCGGCAATGATTGATTGAAGCTGCTGCGAGATGTTGCATCAAGAGTAGCGTCGCCACCGATGGATCTTTCTGGTGATAATTCGCGATGACGTCTCGTAGGTTCGGAGAAGTTCCGCCCAAGGGTAAGTGGACTTGTGTGCATTGGCTCTGATCGTGGTGTATTCGTCAAAGTGTTGCTCGGTTGGCTGACTCTCCGACCACCGATCTTGAGAATGATCTTTGTCTTCTTTTGCGAAGCCGGAGTTTTGGGTGCGGGAGGAGTTGCAACTGCGACTGGCTGTGTCTCCTCCTTTTGGGTCGTCGCTGCTGTTATCACAGGTCTGGAGCTCCCATCACCAGCAAGAGCATACCGGTGAGGGGTATCATTCGAGGCCCCTGCCTCTGTAGCAGCTTGCGGCTTCCTCGGTTGTTCCGGTTCTCTTTCCATTGCAGTTTCTGGGTTCTTCACTTGTCTTCGAGCATCCCTTCTCACTCTGTTGTTCTGACTTCTTTCCTCTACTGGCTGCCCCGGGCCTTCCTCTCTACTCATCCCTTCCTGTCCCCTGCGAGTTTCATGTGCGGAGCTAGAAGGGTTAGCAACGGTGCTCGCATGGCGATTACCTCTGGTTGTTCTAATTGTTGTAGGCGCGGCTGGCACAACGGAAGGTGCCTTGCTGGGAAGCCGAGAACTGTATACACTGTTACTTCGTAAGGTACGAGCCTCACTGACATTACGTAAACCGTAGGCGGGGATGGTTGGCTCGTCATCATGAGCATGAACCTGTGCCGGTTGCCGTCTTCGGCGACGAGCTTCCTTTTCGTCTTCCTTGTCTATGGCGGCAAGTGTGGCCTTGTTGGCCGCCAGAAATGCGGCGGTTCTTTCTTCGAGGGTGGGTGACCCCGAGGATGTTTCGACCGGTGGTGGTTTGTGAAGGGAAAGATCGATGCCGATGGACAGCAAGTAGTCGTTCGTTGGTGAATTACGAGATTGGGTTTCCTGGTCTGCTTCATTGGCCGATGACGAGGGGTGTCCCTTCCGTTGCTGTTCTTTATCATGCTTCGTCGTCCTGCTTGTGTTTGAGTTAATGTCCATCGGAACAGGAGCAGAGGGTATCGCTGCAGTGGAAGGAAGGGGCTGCTGCGCAAGGGTCGCTTGATCCCTGGATTGTCCGTCTCTGTGTGTTCTCTTCTCAGCTCTTGATGTCTCTCCAACTCCTTGCCTATGCTCTTTTCGGTTACCAACGAGACTCCCCGCCACTTGATCGAGTGTCGGCCTTGACGGTTGTCTTTCCTGGTTACTCCTCAATGCCGGCCTAGCCGGAGGTGCCATTGCGTTTTGCCTTCGAGCCTGCCGCATGGCTTCCAGCTCCTCATTCCAAATTCGCCGCGCTTGCAGGCCCTCCTCTAAGTGCACGGATTCGCCGTTCAAACTGACCGTATAGTGATCTGACTCCGGAACCAACAGCTCCAAGTCAGCAAGCCTTCTCGCCGCCTGTTCCGCCTCCTGAACGGTCAAAACATTGCCGTTGTCAGCGCTCCTGTCTGTAAGCTCCAGGACCGAGCGATTCACCAGGCCCGGCGGTGGCGGTTGCATCGATGCTCTTGCTGCCTCTACTCTTCTGGCGTTCTCGATCCTGCTCGCCCTTTCTTGCTCCTCCCTCCAGATGCGTCTCAACACATTACCGGCCACTTCAGCCGGTATATCCCCGTCCAGAAGCCGCCCGTTAATCTTGATGACATATCGCCCTTCGTCGTCGTCCCAGCTGTTGCTGACCCCCATGTACTCCGCCAACCACTCCGCCACTTCGTGCAGGCCCATGAACCGCAAGAACGCTTGACCCTGGCGGATATCCTCGGAGGATACGGAGTCGGTGACAAGACCTTGCGGCTTGAGGCGGTCTAGAGCGTCGCGGATTGCATTAATATCCTCGATTGCGGCGAGCTGTCGGTTGAGGTTGTCTAGGACGATCATCTTGCGAGTTTCTTGGTTGATCAAATACAAGAGAGATATGATCTCGTCGGAGGAGAGGGACAACAGCGTGCTCAGCTGCGCGAAGGAGTATGGCGGTACATGGACAGCTGTCAGAAGGTAGGTTGTGAGGTATTGGATATTGGCAGGCAGAGAGGGCCAGTCGGGAACCGCTACGCATGCTGTATTCAGTACCTGCCCAATGAATCTGGTTAGCTGACATTTCATAGGGAAAGTTGATTGTCAAAACTCACCATCACTGTCGAATGCTCTCTTCTGAGATCATTACCATGAACGCCCATGTTGGTCTCTTGGGGCGGCTGCGCAGGCCCAAACGTACTGTGATTCCGGGAAACCTCCCCGGGCACAATCTCTTTTCCTTTGCCCTTTTCTGCTGCTGTCGGCCGTCGAGGACTCTTTGCCCGAATGGATATCGTAAAGGCCCACCGCGGTTTGGGGAGAGACTCGACAAGCTGTCTGGTTAAGTGAGACGAACTCCCACCGCCCATAACCGTATCCCCATCGGCATCCCTTTGATTTCCCCCTTCCGCAGTCGCCAACGCTGAAACCAAAGGCAGTACCGGACTCACCTGCCCATGGCTGCTGGCCTGACTCTGAGCGCGACTTAGCCTAGCCCTCTCGACAGCAGCCACCGCTTCTTTTTGCTTCTTATGATTCGTGTTCCTCACGCTGAACATCAGTCTCGACGTCCTGACGTCCATATCCCTTTGCTGAATCTTGTCTTCCTCCTCCTCCTTCTCCTCCTCCTCCTCTTCTTCCTCTTCCTCTTCCTCTCCTTCAGAGGAAGACTCACCAACCGCCCAAAGAAACTCCTGCTCTCGACTCTTCTCCCACCTACGCCTATCTTCGTCGGTATCGGCATACAAAACACTAACACCGCGCGACCTTCCCCTGCTTCTATTATCAACCGCGTCGCCGGGAAACTCGCCAACATCCCTACGCCCCACCACTTGCTTCCTCAGACTCAATATCGCAATACGCTCATGGTACCAGGGCCCATACTCCACCATCCGCTTAATTTCTTGTTCGCGTCTCACCTGCCGGTAGACCTTGTACACCTCGCTCGGCCCCGGCCCGCCGTGGGTGACCGGGTCGAGAGAAGGGAAGGCGCATTCCTCGACAAGTTGAGGGTCGAAGGGCAGGCGGGTGTCGATGGGTCTGCGAGGATGCGAGGGGGCCTCGAAGTCGGTGAAAGTGTCTTCCTCCTCGTGGCCGTAGAAGACGGGTGGACGGCGGTTGCGCTGGGGGCGTTGGGAGGCCATTTTGGTGGTTGGTGGTGCTGCTGATGGAGGGTGATAGAAGGAGTTGAGTGGTTGGTTTAGGTTGTTGTTGTTGTGGTGAAAGGATAGTAGGTTGCAGGGTGAGAATAGCAAGGACGCGACTGTCGACGAGTTGCGGGTGACAGTTGAGTTACTCTCGTGTTAAACCTTTGCCAGAGAACAGGAGGGAGGTGTTCACCTGCGAGACCTAGTAATGGCTGTTGATCCTCTTCTTTTCTCTGGTAGGTTCTCTTTCCGTCAAGTTTCGCCCGTCCTGTTGTCTACAAAACTGTCAGCTGGATGTGTGCAGTTCTGTTTGGCTTTTGTTTCGGTTGATGGGCGGGTTTGTGGGTAGGTGGAAGGCAACTCACCTTTGTTGAGCAAGCCAGATATTTGCTATGGAAGAGGAAGCTAAAGGCTTGAGGGAGGCTGTAAAAGGTAGCGAAGGGTAACGAGGCTGAAATGTTTCTGAAAAGACAGTCGCCTGGAATAAGGTCCGTAAGTTGTCACTTGCGTATTGTATCTTCTGGTTTTGTTTGCCTGCCTGATATTCAAGAAGCGCGCCGTTTCAGAGTTGGGACAATACACCCCAGGTGACCATCAATAGCGACAGGTTGTTGAGACGGACAGAAGAAAAGCGAATGTTGAAGAGTGTTGCTCGTTGAGGCGTGACGTAGTAAGAAGTACGTCTGAAGACGAGAGTTTGGTCGTTGCAAACGCGTGTGTCAGAGGACGAGCAAGTGAATGGACGCGAAAGTATTCATGACGGTCTGTTATCGGAATTTTTCAGACCGTCAAGGTTCGTTGATGGGTCATCGTGGGATTTCATCCGATGTCTGACACTCCCACCGTGTTCCGTAATTTTAAGTGTTTCCATGGTTCAACAAGAGCAGCGTTGTTGTAAAATGGCAATGGAAGCATATGGGAGTTCCATTTCGAGGAGGAGGATGTGTTCGACAGCCTCGCTGGAAGCAACGAGGGACGATCACAATTGGAAAGCACTCTGATATGTGTTGAGACCTGGAAGTCGCATACTCCTATTGACATGGAAACTTCATAATATTGTATTAGCATGTATCACCTATGGTCCATCGACTTTTCCTCGACCCCTTACGCATCTTAATGAACGAAAACAAAAAATTGCATGGGTATGAAGGATAGTAACTACTATATCAACCCTTTAATGAGCAACGCAGAGAGCAACAAGGTAAAGGGGCAAATAACGTACTTTTTCTAGTACTACTTCTGTTCAACCCCTCTCTCTTTCGATATGCCATCTTCGGTCGACATCTCTCATCATCCGCTAGGTCGTTGATGGCACTTGAAGCCATAGACTAGCTTGACTTGCTTCCACCCTCGTTCAGTTGTTTCTGCGTCCCTCCACACGGGGCGGCCGCTCCACAAAGGGCGCAAAGTTTCTCCCTCGCGCTTGATGAGATGCCTCTTCGGACGAGCTGCTGGAGTTCTTGTATCTGTCCCACATCTCATCATCATCATCGTCATCATCAGAATAAAAACCCACAGCCGCCAACTGCCTCTTCAACTTGTTCATCCTCCTCTCATCCGCAGCAGCAGCAGCGTCCCTATCATTGGCCTCCTGATCCTGCCAACCCGTCCTCTTCGCCATCAAAATGTCCTCATAGTTCTTGAGATACCGCCTCGTATCATCATCCCACGCCACACAGAACCGTCTGTACAGCACAAACCTAAGCGCCTCGATCAGTCCCGCTCCCCAGACCTCAATCAAGTAAGCCACCACCACCGCTGCCGACCGATCATTCCCCGTCTCGCAACACACCAGCACTTTGCCCGTCTGGGAGCCAGAACTCCGCCTGTGTACTTGGACCAGGTGCCGAACAATCTTCTCGTTCAGCTTCGGAAACTCCCTGATCAGCTCTTGCAACCCACTAACCCCCACCGCCTCCACTTGGATCCCAAGCTCCTCGGTGACTTTTTTGGCTGCCGGTCCCAGCGTCGGAACGGTAGGCGGAACCCCCCCTTGCCCGTCCTTCTTCTGTTGTTGTTGTTGTTGTTGTTGTTGTTGTTGTTGTTGTTGTTGTTGTCCTCCCACAAGTCCAAGTCCTCCCATAAGTCCTGAAAGTCCAACAATCCGATCCCTCACCACCACCACCATCGTCACCTTTTCTTTCATCATAAACTCCCTATCCCGCACCACACTAAGCGGACCCAGGTAAAGCGAAGGGTCAATAACCTTCTGCGCCGACCGGCGGGCCGAGTACTCCCAGATGGAAGCCTGGTCGAGCGCTTCTTGCGGGCGCAGGCCGTGGGTGATTATCTGACTATAATCCGAGTCGAGATTGAACAGGGCAGGGTCGAGGTTGCGCGGCGAAGGGGTGATCACCACCGAGGTGCGGCCCATGGCGCGCGTGGCGGGGATGTCGACTGTGGGAGGGGAGGGCGGGCGGGTGTCGTAGGGGGCGGCGCGGGTTATGGACCCGGACTCGCGGATGAGGGACCCCGGGGAGGGGGTGTGAGGTGCGTTTTGTTGCATTTTGGGTTTTGAGAGGGGGGTTGTGTGGTTTGAGGTTGAGAGGGTGGTGGTGAGAGATGTCTTGTTTCTTGAAAGAGCTAGCTGTGAGCCGGTGGAAGATGTGGATGTGGTTTCTTGTCGTTGTTGGTTGAGATTTGGTGAGGCCTGGGTCAGCCGGTGATGTGCTGTCGACGAGGAGGACCTCGGCTCGCGAAGTGAGAAGGAATTAGTCTCGACTGGGAAGAAGTCGGTAAATTGCAGGCGAGGCTCAGAGATTAGTAGAAGTGTTGCCGAGCTCCGGTTTTTGCGAGTTGGTTCATATCTTGACGGGAAGAGATCTGGATAGATGGTCAACTTCCTGTGTTGATATGTAAAAGGTGGATCGTGGAGGTTGATGCCTGGAAAACCTAAAGTACCACTGTACTTGTACTAATAACGTGGCATGCGCTAGGCGGTCTTGGGCAAACGATACCTAGTGGGAAGAACAATGACAGGTGAAGGTTCTTCGGCCCGCGAGCGTTCTTGCATTCACTTGAGAATGATAGGACCTGGAAGCACTTTTCATCTCATTCTATTCACAAGTCTCGTGAAGGGAACCTGGAAAGGCAGTCGACGGCGAAAGTCAGACAAGATGAACCTGCATACCTTGGCTTGATCAGATGATTTCTTAGCAAACTACTGTGTGAATCACGCTGGCTTTTGTTAACAAACAAAGCCCAGACGCAGGGGACAATTAAAATGCAGGCGCAGGCACAATTGACCGCACTGTAGACCCTGCAGCTTGACCATCGGCCCAGGCCGCAGGTGCCCGCCACCCAGTGAAGCTTCAGCCCCTGAAAAATGAGAACCTTGAAGGTCTCCAAGCACCAGCGTACCCTGGGCTTGACCGTCACCTTATCATGATCACAGGAGTAAAGGGACGTTCAAGCAGTTGCAAACAGAAAGCCGACGTCGAGATGTGCCTGGTAGAACATCTATCTAACAATACTCCCACGCAAAATACACTCCACCATTACAGATAACATGGCCAGGCTGCATAATACACGTTGCGTCGTGATCCCGTCGTAAACTCTCAATGAACTTCGTCAAGTACTCAATAAGTATCCTCCGTCTACAAGTGCGCCTTATTCATGGGTTCGTGCCCTCCGGCTCCAGGCTGCTCTCCTTGGCCAGCGGCGACGGGTTCTCCGGCGTCACGGACCTGGATTCCACCCTCGGCCGCGTTTTCGTTGCCGAACCAGGAGGAGCCAGCGTCTTCTTTCTCCTGACCTTCTCCGGCGTGAGGCTGAAGGTTCCCTTTCTCGTCAGCCCGGGCTCATCATGCTCGCCCCTTGACGACGGTGTCGGTGTCGTGCTGCGCAAAGCACTTCCGTTCATGCTTCCCCTCCTCGTGCTGGTACTTCTAGTACGCCTGAGTTCACTCGACACGGCCGCGGCGCGAGGATGAAGTGCCTTTTCGGACACGGAGCTGCCGTGATGGTGATGGTGATGCTGAGTCTTTGCGGTCCGTCGCCAGGGAAGCCACCAGAACCAGCCGCCAGTCTGCTTGCGCAGCTTGCGATCGCGTTCCTTGAGCTTGGCCCTCAACAGCGCGCGCCGCTCGTTCTCCTTCTCCCAATACTCGCTTCTGTACAGCTCCCAGTTCTCTCTGAATGTGGGACTGAACGGCTTCGCCAGTAACAGCAGCTTAACGTAATCGTCTCCGGGGCTCAAATCCTCTTCGTGTCCTCCCTTTTCCATATCGTGACCCACGTTCACAACCGGCAACGTCGGGTGCCCATGCCCACTCAACCCCAACTCCCTGTCCACCTCCTTCAAGATAGCCGGCTCCACATAGTGATAGCTCGACGTCGCATTCGAGAACAAGCCGTACGTCAAGAACCAGCCGATGGTGCCCAGCGCCTCCTTCCACCAGGGTCTCTTCATCAGCACCACCTTGCAGTTGAACCCGCGCAGGCCGCGGTTGCTAACCGTCAGCCAGCGGCGGGGCCAGCGCACGCCGCGCTCCCAGATGCCCGTGGCCCAGACGAGCACGCCCGTCATGATGCCTCCCAGGAAACAGACCTTCTCGCCCGTCTCGACGACCCAGTACACACTGCCGCCGACGCCGCTGCCGTCCTCGCGCGGGGCTAAGAAAAGGGCGTACCCGAACCCGGCCGTCCACAGGCCCAGAAGGACCAAGAAAAAAGTGTGGTGGCGGCGGCGGGCGCGCAGCTCCAGGTATTGCGCCCGCAGCGAGGCTTCGAGGATGAGCAGGTTCAGGTAGATCATGGACGGCGACGAGGGCGTGTGGCTGAGCGGATCGCTGCTGGCGCCAGCGCCGCCATTATGGCTGCCCTTGGTGGGTGTCGAGGGCGCATTCGACGACGAGGCGATCGGGGTGGTGCCGCTGATGGCCCTGTTGAGGTTGTTGAGGTGAGGGAGGTCTTGGGGCATCGGCGCACCCTTGACGATGGAGTCGAGTGCGTCCGCCATGGTTGTGACCGTGTGTTCCCTGCTTTTTTATGTGGCCCGGACGGTAACTCGTCAGTCGGGGGAGCGCGAGGGATGCGCGCAGTGCTGGCTCGGTGTCCGAGGGAAAGGTTGGACGTCGGCCCGGCCGCGGAATCGGAGGAATAGGGTATTATTATCGGCAGTCGTCTAACCCAAAGTGTCACGGCAGCATGTCTGCCCAAAGCGGGTGGTCGGTGGTCGGACTTGTTCGATGTAGAGTCCAAAGCGGGAAGGGTTTTGCGCAATGCGCGTTCGGGTGTCCGCGGGAAGCCCCTGTCACTGTCACGGATGCGTAGAGGTAGCAATGCGCGGACTCGACCGGTGTCAGCCTTGTGCGACTCTTGGTGATGTTTGTTTGGTCTGAATAGAAAAGCTGTGATGCCTGTCGAGAATAGGATGAAATGGACCGTCTGGAATCTGTTGAGAAGAAGCTAGAATGGACAGGCTCTGACTAGTTGACCGCTACCTGGGGAATCCTTCCCTTCTTTCTAGGCGTGTTTTGGAAGGGACCGGACACTGCGTCACCGGTTTTCACAAGTCTAAGGGTTTTGTCTTGACCGCCTCAGACCACTGCACGCACGACTTATACCCTGATACTGATGTTAAAAGGGGCTTTAAAAGTTGTAATTGTTTATTTGGTTTACGCTGAACGCTTCCCGTCCTGAGAAGCCGAACCGCGAAGTATCTGGATGTTGGGGAGAAGGGATCCAAAGAAACCAGAAAAAAAGGGGATTCTAGTTTCTGCGCCGTTATGTCATTGCTGCAGGTCATCAAGATACTTCCAGGGTACCCTTTTTGACAAGCGAGAATAGCGCGATTCACGGTACTTGACGAGTACCTTCAAAGAAGTGGGGAATTACTGTTGTTGGGTTGGGCTTTTTGGCTCGCGACTTCACATTCTCACATGCAAGCAATGCAGCTTCTGGAGAGCACTCCTTTCCAAGTGGCCCGGGGAAAGGCAACCTGTCTTCGCAGCAATGGAAGCTGAGAACAAATGTCAAGAGCTGGCCAACTGAAAGCAACACTCTGGAAAGGTGTCAACAAACTTTGAGATGATATGCCGCAGCTACGGTTTTATCGCAACACCAGTTCCGGAGCCAGAAAAGTTGTTGAGACGTCATCGCCTCAGATCTGGGGCACTGAATCGAGACAAAGTGGGCTGGCCTGTGGAGGTTGAGGTGATCGGGGTGTCGGGCCCTGGGGACGCGCTAATTCCGAGGGAAAATGCGGGCAATTGCGGGCACTGGACCGCATCGGCCGCACTGGGCTTTTGGATTTTGAGGTTGGAAGGGAGATGGGAACACTAACAATGACAATGGATGAATCCATTGGAAGAATCAAAGACTGCGGGCAAATGGTCGCCAATAACAATTCCCATCCCCGGCTGCGATCCCAACGAATTGGGAAGCTGACGAAGGAACCTCCGGATCTTTTCAGCCTTCGTTGGGAGGCGGGAACTTTGCAACTGGCTGTGCTGGCCACAGCTTCTTCAACAAAACCTCATATGGGCTGGTCAGGTGGGTGGCCAAGTGAGCGGTCTGTTTCGCCCGCGGATTCGTGTTCGTCCAGATCTGTAATTGGTGCCATCGAGATCCCTATGTTAGTGCTCAGTATGAAGTCACTACCAAAAACACTATCTAAACCGGCTAGGCCATGCTTAACGCCGATTCACCGATGGTCCACTTACAAGATCGTTGGCTTGAACATACAATAATAAATGTGTCAGCATCCTTCCAACTAACAAGGGGGCATCCGTCCGACGCGCAAACCTCCCTGCTGCCTTGAGGATGCTCAAGACATATCCTACAGCCATTTCACTTCCTAAAAAATTGAAGCTCGCCTCCGCCATTGGGCGCTTCAACTCGACCACATCCACCTCCTCTCCCGATCCGACTTATACACAATCTGGCTATCGCCGAAGTCGATATCAACAAAGACCAGCCAGCACCACAACCACCACTTCCTCGACCATGTCTGCTTCCGACACCACTCTTCCTCCTCCCTCGTCGCGGGCAACGCAGACAAAGGCTGAGAAGGACTCAAAGTCTCGCGGCGCCGGCTCTGCCTTCTTTCCTCTTGGTTACAAGGAAGCCGCACAGCAATGGGTAGGTATTCCCTATGCCACATTACTTCTACAACTGCGAGACAGAACGTTTCTTTCTAACACAACACTCGCCACAGTGGTCCAGCGTAACCCCCCGCCAAGCAGAGCGCAACGTCCTCTGCTTCATCCCCTACCTCCGCGAAGCCACCGCCGACAACGCCTCAACAGCCTCCCAACTATCTGACCTCGCCAACGCCGACCCCTTCGGCCACCGAGTATGGCGCCAAACCATGGTCCCCCTCTCTGGCAAGGACCGAGCCCTGAACGAATTCTCGATCGAGCGAGTCGGCGAACAAGCCGACGACACTCTCGTCATGCTACACGGCTACGGCGCTGGCCTCGGCTTCTTCTACAAGAACTACGAGCCGCTCAGCCGCGTGCCCGGCTGGAAGCTCTACTCGCTCGACATGTTGGGCATGGGCAACTCGGCGCGCCCACCGTTCAAGATCCACGCCAAGGACCAACAGGGAAAGATCCGCGAGGCCGAGGCATGGTTCATTGATGCGTTGGAGGAGTGGCGGCAAGCCCGCAAGATCGAGCGCTTTACGCTCATGGGCCATTCATTGGGGGGCTACCTCGCCGTTTCGTACGCGCTGAAATATCCCGGTCGTCTCAACAAGCTGATCCTCGCCTCGCCTGCGGGTATCCCCGAGGATCCGTGGGCCGTCAACGCCGCGATGCCGGAACCGGAGGAGTCCGCGTATGGGAATGAGTTCACGCAGGATCAGGAGAGTATCGTCAACCGCGAAACGCCCGAGGGCGGCGCCAATACGGCGTTCATCCAGGCTGATCCCAAGGATAAGAAAGCCGTTGCTTCGTCGATCAAATCCAACTCTTCTTCATCCGCCAACAAAACCAACAACAACAACGGAACCAACACCAAAAAAGACACAGCCCCACCCCGCCGTCCCATCCCCGGCTGGGTCTCCTGGCTCTGGGACGCCAACGTCTCCCCCTTCTCCATCGTGCGCATGACCGGTCCCCTGGGCCCCCGCTTCGTCTCCGGCTGGACCTCTCGCCGGTTTAACCACCTCCCTCCCGACGAGAAGGAAGTCCTACACACATACTCCTACTCGCTCTTCCGCCAAAAGGGATCGGGCGAGTACGTCCTCCCTTACCTCCTCGCCCCCGGCGCGTTTGCTCGGTCCCCCGTAATCAACCGCATCCAGGAGGTTGGTCGGCAAATAATTGCCCAGTCATCTTCTGTTGGAGAAGTACAAAAACCGCTTAGAGAAGCAGGGTTCCCCATAGTCTTCCTCTACGGCGAAAACGACTGGATGGATGTTGCCGGCGGTTACGCGGCCGAAGAGAAAATCAGAAAAAGGGTGGAGCAGGCTTTGACTGACCAGACCCGAACGGAAGAAGAGAGGAAGAGGGAGAATGGGAGTGCGAAAGTGGTGGTTATCAGGAGGGCGGGACATCATTTGTATATTGATAATCCGGAGGAGTTTAATGAGGTTGTACGCAAAGAAATGGAGGAGACGAAGGAGTGGGGGCGGAGGATGAGGAAGGAAGGGGTTTTGCCGCCTCTGCCGCCGGTTGAGAACTAGGTCAGGTCAGATGAGTTAGGCTGAGGGGGTGGTGATGGTGATGATGGCTTTTTGCCTGGGCTTGGCTTAGACGGCGGCGTTTTTGGGTTTCTTTTGTCTACCCACTTTGCCCCTCTGGATGTATTTATATAGCGGCGTTGGGGGATTTTGGTATGGTCAGCCGGTATGATGCGCGGATATAGGGCATTGAAGGAGTTTTCGGGAGGGAGGGGAGCAAAGGCGTGAAGATAGAACTTCCTGTAGAGAGGTTACAAGAGCCCATGGGATATGGTTTAGTTATGGAAGTTAATGGATAGAAGTCTCAAGTTGTAGACCACAATCTCGATGATATATATAAATATTCATGGTATATATGTTTGAGCTTCGGCATGGTGCGGCACTGCACGGGCATTTCATTGTTGAACCACTCAGAGGATTGTTTGAACCAGCTATCATTTTTTACGTGTCTTCAGTGAAGCTGCTCTCTACTGGCTTTTACCCCCCAAAAAACACCATTGATAATAAAACAACGCCAATCAAATTAACTATCCCACGCATTCGCTTAAACGGGGTTCTCCCCTCGCCACATTACGCTGCCGTATCCTCCAAGGACTAGGAGAGCCTGGGGTTAACTAACCATCACGACGGCATTCGCGTTTGGCCCCCGTGGCACATGTTTTGCCGAATGTCACGAGTTTGAGACGAAAGGCCTCCCCTCCCCCTTTGGAAGATTCCACAGCAGCTACCTGACCAAGTAACAGTCCCTACTCATCGTCCGCAAGCTCCTCCACCTTCGGGGCAGCATAGTTTCGCTGTGCTGCCGCTGTAGGTGTAGCAGTAGCAACTTGAGTGTCGGTAGCCGTGGTCACAGCAGTAGCCGGAGCAGGTTGGCCGGTAGTAGCGGCAAACGTAGCATTGGCCTTGGCACTTCCAGCCGGGGTCTTGGACTTGCTCTTCTTCTTTTTCTTGGGGTTGGGCTGTTTGTTGTTCACAATTGTCAGTTAAGCACTTTTGAGCGCAACAGAGAAGAAAAACTCACATCATGCCAAGCCCAGACAGGCTTGAAGCTCTCCACGACACTGACGTCCTCCCACAGGTTCGGGAACAGCCAGAATCCTGGCGATAGCACAAAGTACGTGATGCAGAACAGAATAACGCGGAAGATGGCCATGGCAAAGAACAGACCCAAGAACATGAGGAAACCCCAGCTGAGGTAGTAGACGCCCTGGCGCATCTTGAGAGGCCACAGAGGGTACAGCACCACGGCAAAGATAACGAGCAGTGCGAGCGCCGCGTAGACCTTGCGCATGACCTGGCTGCCCTCCCACAGCCACACGTAGTACAGGTCGTCGGCGGCGTCCTGTTGCGGCTCGATCCGCACCGTCCACAGACCCTTGACGCGCTTGCCGCCGCCGTGCGGCTTCTTGGTGGGCGCGTGGTCGTGGCCCTCGTGCGGGTCGATCTTGGTGACGCGCAGAGCAAGCATGGACATGGGCAGCAGCTTGAAGGTGTTCTCGAGGGACGCGCGGTCGGTGATCTCGGGGAGGGCGGGGTTCTTCTTGCGAGCCTTCTCGTAGGCGGGGGACTGGAGAGCACGGAGGGCACGTTTGACTGGTGAGATATCAGGTTAGCAATTTGGATACTCGGGGGTCTCAATGATGTCGCATATGCTCACCTCTAAACATGTCCTTGCGTTCGCCATTGAGGATGACGGTACGGGGCTTGAGCTCCTGGCTGCGGAGGAACTTGGCGAGAGCGATGGCTTCGGGCTTGGGAGGGCCGGGAACAATGGGCCGAGCTTGGCCGGCTGGAGGGCCTTGCTGATGCTGGTGCTGGTGTTGGTGCTGGTGGCCATCTTCCTGGGGTGGTGCTCCTCCTTGTTGCTGTTGCTGTTGTTGCATCTGTTGTTGCATCTGCATTTGTCTCATCATCATCTGCTGATGCTGTCTCTTGAGCTGCTCAACAAACTCGGGAACGGTCATGCCAGCCTTCTCGGCATCAATGGCAAGCTGTCTCTGGATCGCCTGGATTTGCTCGGGCGAGGGCATCTGGCCAGGAGGCGGCATGGGCATTTGCCCTGGGCCCGGTTGAGGAGGACCCTGTTCCATATCTGTCTCTTCCGACGATTGCGATGTCGTGGCGGAAGGAGGTGACGGTTGTGGTGTTCCGGGAGGGTCGAGGTTCAGCAATTCCCGTCCTTGCTGCAGCGATTTTTGGTGTGTGGTGGTTGATAGAAAGATGCCGTTCCATGCACTAAAAGGATGACGGAACTAGTAGTAGACCCCCATTCAAAGCTGCGATCTGTACTTTACACGTCCCGACCGCCAGAACCAGGCCTATTGCGGCAGCTGTGAGCGCTAGGCCCGTGGCCCTTGCTTTGAGATCCGTGGCCATGGCCCAATGACATGCAGGCCAAGACTGTACAAAGCATATCCCACGCTTAACCCTGGCTCGGGTCTTTGTCTACTCCTGCAGCGCTTCATCAGTGAGATTGCCGGCTATAACCCTGAGAAGGATCGAGCCTCACGGAAACTGAAAGGTGGTGATTTACCAGCCACAACTGGGAACCTCATGAGGTGGCTTGGACGGTAAGTAATCCATCATCAATTAAACTCGGATTCATGATGCAACCTTCTCCAAGTTCCATCACACATCTCATTAAACTGACGCGCTTCAACGAGGACCAATGATCTCTCTTCGAAGAATAATTCCGCTGATGTCGGCGTCGGGAAGCTTGTATCATTCTTGTCTCATGAGTATCGCAATCTGCTTGCCTTGCTCGGTTCGAGTTGCCTTTCTTTTCGCTTCCAAGTCGTCTGCTGCACCATATCCTCTCTGAGGTCACGGTTTCTTCCAGCACATCTTCGCACCGCATATTGTGTCTTTGCACAGCAGCGACATTACCCGTCTGTGCTTCGCAATCCGCGCATCTCGGCGCTTAACCCAACAACTGATCTCATTCATATTTGCACGATCAAAATCACCATGTCAACATTGGCCACTCTCCATGCTCCCCACTCCAAAAGCGAGGTGAGAATTGACGTTGGAGGCTTGGACGCTGGTGGTTTGTTCGCCCCTCGGCCCCGCCGTTTCCGCAGCACACGAAGAAAGTATGACGATAACAACACTGGAAGGAAGCAGAGAGGGGAACAGACGAACGGAAAATTCACCCAACCTCGTGGGTTGCCTCTCCGGTGAAATAAGCCAATCCATTATTTGCATTCGCTGATGGAGAAACGCCCTACCCGTGTGGTGCCACCAGTCCCTTGCATCTGGACGAGCACCTCTGCTCCTATCATTTTCGTGTCGACGAGACGGACACACAATGGACGCCCAAGGGTCTGGGGACTGCCCTTTTTTGAAACACGGCCATTCTAGCGCCGTAAGCAACTCCCAAGGACCGACGGCATCCATGGGTTCGTATACGCACACGACTTGTTTATCACGACAACAGGTATGGCAGAGGGCCAGAGCTGCACCCAGAGATCGGATCCTAGCAAATCCACCAAGATCGCGGGAGCCTCAGAAGGACCCCAGTCCACCGCGTCTCTTTGGAGATCACTGCAAGTTAGCCGGCCGCGGGGCTGTTTCGCCTTGCCAGACCCCTGTTGGTACCTCTTCCTTTTTTGGATCATGTTTCACCAACAAGTGGCTTTCGTCTCTTCCTCTGGCTTTCTTCTGCTGCTTGTTTTGGGTCCTGTTTGTCTCTAAACGATGGGCCGGATCTAACATGGTCATGTCCCCATCCCACCAACGCCAAGTCGTTGTTCTCCCTCCAACCCTCAGTCTTGACCAAGTGGAATACGGAGTGACCTCTCGGAAAATTCTGTGGCAATGCCGTCACAAGTGGTGAATGGTATCCAAGAAACATCTGAGACACTGCTTTTGGGTGCGGTAGCTTTGGAGGCACGCCACTGGTGGGCGAGCCCTCATGGTGTGTAGCCTGAAGTAGCGCCGCCATCCGCTACATCATCAGGACCCCAGTTCTGTAAGCGCCAACTGGTTGGGCGAGGAAACACCCAACAGCCTATCACATCGTGTCTTGCTGCAACTGAACCGTCAGCGCCTCCCCTACTCCCAAGCCATCAACTAAAGATGGCACGCTGTAATTTTCCTCATCTCAGCCAAGTGGAAGTATTCCGGCTGCTAGCCACGAGCCAGCTTCTCCAAGGATGTATGTCTGGGTGTGTGGGTAGTGACAACAATGCCAGCAAAGGCACCTCGACCACCGCAGTGCATCATGGAGCATTAGTGTGGTACGGGATGGATGGGTGGTCCATATGCCATCTTCCCCGGGCCACTGCGTGTACATACATATGCGGTTGCTGTATGCCACACACTCACTTCCACTCAATTCTGTGATAAAGATGAGATACTCCGCCGTTCGCGCCCGAGCTCTCTCACTGTTCCCTTTCTCCCCCTTCTGCACCGTTATGCTGCTGCCCTAGCTTGTTGTTTTCTTTCCTTTGTTCTCGTTTCTCGGGTCCCTGGTCGCTGGTCGTCGGTCTCTTCACTTACCATTTTTGATGCTTCGATGGCCTAAACTCCCTCTCGACATCGTCCTACTCTTTTATTTTAACCGCCATCCTTCATTATCGTAATCTTCACCCACGCTACTAGATAGTAGCAATGAGCACGCTGGGCAGCATGCTTTCAGACACCTGCGCCTTATGGATGCGTTCCATGAACTCATGTTTTGGACGGGGGGATAAGTCCAGCTTACGTATGTCAACATATCAAAACCATATATCAAACTTTACTGACCTTTGCCTTAGACTCTGAAAAACCCATCGTCATCTCGAGGGATCAGCAGCCTCCATTCATTCCGCCTCTGTATGCCGATCTAGTCTTCTCAAATGAAAGGCCATTAGAACAGACACTTGAGGGTCAGAGGGGAAGGTCGAGGTCTATCAAAGGGGCTAGGTCCTCGCGTGGCGGTTCCGTCTCTAGATCTAGGGCAAGGTGGTTGTCGAGATCATCATCTCGCCCACGACAACGGCCGCAAATATCAGCCCCCACGAACTTTCGTCATGTACATTCCGAGTCGGCTTTTCACTTCCCTAGTCCTGATGACCACCTTTCACAACAATGCCTACTACCGCAGCCACAGCCACAACTACAACAACAGGAACAGCAGCAGCAGCAGCAACCGAGAAGGTCAAGGCCGCCATCTTTTCACCCCCTCGAGCTGAGCGTTCGAGCCTCGCCATTACTACCTCACTTTGTCGCCGACGAGAATGAGACCACAAGCCGTATCACCCCTCCACCGCCAGCACATATTGTCGAGAACAGCAACATCACGCAGTGGGACATTAGCAGTGCAACCATGGGTCCCAATGATGTGGATTATCCCACCTCGTTTCATCTTACACGTCGTGCAGTTGGACAGGTCCAACAATCGTCGACCAATAGCCAGTTCCCACCAGGAATTCCGCCAAAGTCCAGAGCCCGAGCTTACACCGCGCCCAGCACCGAGATCATGTTGGAAAGGATAGCAAGTGCGATGCTCGAGAAGGAGAAGTTGCAGGCTGAGATCGACGAGCTTGTTGAGCGGCAAAGTGTATATAAGGGCAGCAGGCCCGGCACTCCTGTCGGTTACAGTGGTATGACATAATGTTGCCCCAATAACTGCTTGATTTGCTAACAGACTATACAGCGAGTGAGTCAATGCCCATGTTCGATGTTCCCGCTATTCCAGCTGCTGCACCATCCTTCGCCGAACGTGTCAGCTACGACGAGCGTAGACCGAAAACTGCGCCCTCGAGCAGTCAACCCCAGGGGCCCGGGATGTTCTCAGCTATGAATGGTGGAAGTGCTACACCGGACGGAACTACACTTGCTTTGGCGGCGGCAGCGTTCAACTCCCACCCACCCATGATCAACTTCGCCCACCACTGGTACGGCCAACACGGATTTGACCAAGCAGCGAATGGAGACCGGGAATCGTCTCCCACCTCAACCGTAAAAGCAAACGAGTCCCGCAGCCGAACCTCCAGGCCCGCCCCGCCGCAAAGAATCATCACCTCAGAATTCGATCGCCCCCTCGCTCCTCCGCTCCCGCTCGTTCTCCGCCCACCCCTCCGAAAGAAGAAGTCCTTCTCCCGCGTCTCCAACTGGCTCTTCCCGGGCGGTGGTGGCTCTACAGTTTCCGACCACTCCAGCAGCAGTCCCACTGACACATACCACAGCCACAGCAAACGACAGGACAGCATAAGCAAGGATTCAATCACCAATGTTCCGAGGCCGATTAAGGAAAACGAGGGGTATTATCAGTGCTTTTCTCCGTCGCAGGGCAACCAATACCAACAAGCTCAGCAGCAGCAGGACAACAAGCATAATAACAACAACCACAGCGACACAGTATCCACATCCTCCCTCTCCTCATGGCGATCCGAAGAAGAAGAAGTGCCCACCACCACTTGGTCGCTAGGCAGCAGTCCAGTGCGCCAGACGCCCGGGCAAACGCCTAAGCAGACTCCGGTGTTGAGCGCTGATGAGGCTAGTTTTGCTGTGTCTGCTGCTTTTGGTGCACAGTCTACTGCACCAACAATCAAAGTTCAAGGGGGAGGGGAAGGAGCAGTTAATGGCAGCAGTTTTAGGGGTGCAGGTGCAGGTGCTGGTGAAGGTGAAAGAGAAGGAGCGACAGAAGGAGATACCGGGACATGTGTAACGATTACGGGACTAAAGATACCCGAGCATAGGAATGGACACCGGCCGCAGAGCGTGGGTGTCGCATTTTGAGTGCGAATAACGAAACAAACCGCTTTCCCGTTCTTCATCCTTACTGGTATTTTTTTTATTTTTTTGGATGCATCATTACATTATCTTTTTCACGCTTGGCGGTCCGCTGATCACGGGTATTCAGCTGTTGTACCATCTTGATGATGGGATACCAAACCAGCTGACTGGTAACGACGGGCTTTATCTTTCTTGGAAGATGAGGAGGTACTCTGTTTAATTCACTATTCGACATTTTGGCGCAGTGGAGAGGAGCACGGTCTGTTCGATCTGGATCTGGCACTTGGGCGACGATGGCGTACTTCCTGGTATCCATGACCGGACGGACGGACGGATGGACCGACGATCATCGGTATCAAAGGGGAGTTACCACAATGGAGAGGCTGCTGGGAAGGCGAATGGAAAATGGAAATGGGAAAGGCATTCCGGTCGATGGGCATTGGAATCGGGCGGGACGGGACGCGTCGGGGCGGATATAGTGCTTACGTCTGGCTTCATCTTCTGATCTTCTGAAGCCCGGTATATACAAAACGGAAGTAAGAAGGAGTTTTGGGGGGGGGGCCGGGGTCGGAAGGAGAGGTGTAACAATAACAACACACAGCCGACACCGTGACCGTATATTAGGGGCAGGGCTCCTTATCTTGCGTTTCGTCGGTCAGGCTGTTGGTAATTGACATGATAGAGAGGGATGGTTGGACGGACGCAACAAGGGCAAAAAAAGGGAAAAGGGTTCCCAACAGAACATCATGGAAACCGGGCTTGGAAACTGGGATTTGGAGGCAACAAACGGCCCCCTTTTTGTCTATTGCATTTATGATACCAACCGACCGACCGATGCTTAGAAAATACCTACCTACCTACGTACAACAACCACACATTCTTATATGATGTGGATAATACCATTCATTCTTTTGACTACATTTTCAGCAACAATCGTGAATCTAGTTAGCATCAACTGTATGTATTTCAACATGGGAACATGATTTGCAAGAGGCATGTCGCCAACCCAAGTACATATTATACGAACAGTGCAGCATATCGCGACACGGCGGCAGGCCTACCTACCTAAGTAGGCGTTGAACGCCACTGTGGTTGCAGTCGGCCAGGAGGGGGTCGTTTTGGGAATAAGGTGGTGGTTGATTACAAGTAAGCGCACAGCGCACCTTCCCAGCGTCTCTGCAGATGAACGCATCCATCCACCCACCTCCTCCATCCATCCCATCCAGCCTTGTTTGCGGTGATGCCTCTGAATGACCCTGCCTACCTGCCTGCGTACGTTCAACAGCAACCTCCCAAGTTTGAAGGAAGGAACGGTTTAGGCGGACTTTGGGGGGTGGGATGAGATGAGATGGAAGGAGCGGCTGACGGAGGGTGGGAGAGGTAGTGAAGTTCAGGACTAGCCTTCCCACGAAGGGATGATCTTATCATTGACTTGGAAGCAGAAGATATGCCATATACGTAGCTGAGTGTTCGCTATTGGCAAAATTATCCGTCGTAAGAGGGTTGTACCACGAGTGTTTCCATACCAACTTCCATGTCCACCTCATATAGGCATTATTACCTCCTGTCCACCAGAAAATGGGGCCCCATGAACGTTCATACTTGACCAGATGACCAACTCAAAAGAAGAGAACCACAATACGTAATAACACTTGACTGCTCAAACAGCCTTCCACCATGTTTCTCAACAGCCCAACCCCCCCTAAAACATGTTCTCACAACCCATCCATGCAGATTCACGAGCCGGTTAAAAACACTAAAGTGTCGAGACTCTACAGGCTTCACTCTCTCTCCGCAGCTTCCTGCTCGTGCTTTACAAGAAGGTGGATGGTCGGATCCGGGCAGATCAGCTGCGGTTTGTCCCTGCTGGCGGCAGACGACGACGTATACGCATCAGGCATGTTGGCCCACACGGTAGCCTTGGCCGTGTGAAACCGCGAGAAGCAATTTTTGAGGACATCATCCACTCCTTGACCGACTTCGACAATGCCCGTGTCGAGGAGTTCCTGTTTTTCCACAACACGCCGGCTGATTAGCACTCACCAACATGACGGATCTCAAAATGACTTGACCGGGTTGGACGGAAGAAACAAACCTTAAGATGATCCGCCACCTGCTCAAACTCAATCTTGTTCATCCTCAGCCGGTCCGGAAGCCCACTATTATGCATGAGCGCCAACAGCCCAGCAACTGTGGTGTTTATAGCCGCCAAGATCGTGATTGGCGTCCCGGTACCGACGCCCTCACTACCTCCCCATGCCCCCAGAGCCGTCAAGACCGCTCCTAGCACGATCTGCAGGATCATCAAGAACCATCGCATGATGCTGAAGATGTGGTACGAGTACATGTACCGGGTTCGTTGGTAGATGACATCCCGGTAAAGGCCCTCGGGCATGCCGCGAGGCGGCCAGTACCAGCAGGTGGGGTGGACAACGGTGTTGGACTCGCAAGAAGGGTCCGCGATGCCACCGATACTGTGAGCGATGCGGGCCCATTCCGAGGGTGTCAAGAAACGGAGCTTGGGATGGATTGAGGTGCGGAAGGGGGTAGATATGGGGCTAGGAGGGCTTGAGGCGGAGGGCTGTTGTCCATTTTTGTTGGCGACAAAGGTACTGGTGTTTCCCGTGTTGTTCATATGGGGAGCTGTAGAGGTTGAGAATGGACGGCTGGGAGGTCGATTTGGGTTGGACGGAGCACGGTTTCCATGGTTGGTGTTCACACCGGCATTGGTGGTTGGGATGGGGATGTTGGACGGCCGGTCGGACTTGTAGATGATGCTCTCGACGCCGAAGGCTTCGGACTCGGGGGACTGGGGCGGAATCTGAGGGATGTTGGAGTCACGGCTGTTGTACTTGGGGCTGGCCATTGTGGCAGTTCTTCTGGCAGACGAAAAGATTGGCGATAACCTGTTTGGGCGATTTGGCAAAATGGAGTATCTGGCACTCCGACTCCAAGATACCAAAAAGGTACACCAACAAGAACGATGAATAACGAAGCAGCTTGTGTTTCACAGAGAGGACTGAACATTCAGTAAGTGAGGAGAGAGAAATGGAAGAAGTTGGCCCATGACCAGAAATAATTGATCACGAGAAGGGCCTTCACTCGAAGAACAGCCTTGGGAGGGAAGGAGCGACCCATCTTGGGCAGGCTGCAACCACGATACGCAAGGAAGGAAAGAGACAGCAATGAAATGCAGTATGCAGGCGGGAGATGAGAGCACTTGCCCTCTCGAAGAAACAATCGTAGATGTGATAGGCGAAGGGTCATCTACTTTTTGGCCAGTGTCTCTTGGTCCAGCGAATGTCCATATAAGTTGAAGCTATTCACAAGATCCATGTCCCTTGGCTTGTTTACTTTTGGAAGAAAAAGGAAGGAGGAAAAAGGGGGAGGGGCCTTGAACACCAGGGGTACGTTGCACTTGTACTCTCACCGCCCGAGGGCAGAACTCCAACTCTTGGCACAAGTGGGTCCAAACTGTTTTCTGCCATTCACTGTTCTCCACAAAAATGTTGTTTCGCGGAGTGATCAACGAGGGTCGTGACTGCCTTCTGATTCTCTTTACTCTCAATCAATTTGCGCCTCGACTGATCAAGTCGTCAACACGCGCCTGCGCCCTTCTATATGCGCGCCCTTTTTGCTGCCACATCTTTCCGGCGCATATTTACACGCTTGATCAGACCAGCCCACCAAAAGGTCCTTCCCCTCACTAACTTCCGCGCAATGGCTTCCGAAGCCAAGGACATTACGGCGCCGCCCGCCGACAAGCAGATCATCGCCCACGAGGGCAAGCGCTACGTCACAGTCAAAGAAGGCCTCGCCCACATTCTCGTTCCAGAACCGTCCGAAGAGGACAAGGAGAACCTCAGGCCCGACCAGGCTGTCCGACAGGTCTTCTACAATCCCATCCAGCAGTACAACAGAGACTTGACCGTCCTTGCCATCAAGGCCTACGGCAAGGAAGCGGTCCAACAGAAGCAAGCCAGCCACTCCAAGCTTGAGAAGATCATCGAGAAGAAGAGGAAGCGACAGGCACAGAAGCAGGACCAGCAACCGAACAAGGCCCAAAAGGGGGCAGACGGCGAGAAGGCGACCACCGAACCCGCGACTGATGCTACGACAGAACAAGAGACCGACGTTCCCGTCGACAAGGGCGACGAACAGGCTACGAACGGGGAAGCCAAAAAGGGAAAGCAGCCACCATTTACCGTCCTCGATGCGCTATCAGCCAGTGGCCTTCGTGCCCTGAGGTATGCCCACGAAATCCCGTTCCTCACCTCAGTAACGGCGAACGATCTCCTCGCGACCGCTGTCGAATCGATCAAGCTCAACGTGAAGCACAACCGCCTCGAAGACAAGGTCAACGTTTGCCACGACGATGCGTTGGCCCACATGTACACCCTGATTGCGAAGGAGCTTCGCGCCAAGGATCCCAAGGGCAAGCCCACCATGAGCGAAAAGTACGACGTTGTCGATCTCGATCCCTACGGCACCGCTGCTCCCTTCCTGGATGCCGCCGTTCAGTCTGTCCGCGATGATGGAGGTCTGCTCTGCGTTACCTGCACTGATTCCGGTGTGTGGGCCTCCAACGGATACCCAGAGAAGTGCTACTCCTTGTATGGCGGCGTCCCTGTCAAGGCGTGGTTCTCCCACGAAGTCGGCATTAGACTTGTTCTCTACTCGATCCAAACGGCAGCTGCGAAATACGGTCTCACCATCGAGCCACTGCTCTCCCTGTCCATCGACTTTTACATTCGAGTCTTCGTCCGCGTCAAGAAATCTCCCGCTGCTGTCAAGTTCCAGGGCGGCAAGAACATGATGGTGTACAACTGCGATAGCGGCTGCGGAGCTTGGTCAACACAGCTCCTGATGAGAAACAAGCCTTCGCCGAACAAGAAGGGCTCCGGCGTCTTCTACAAGCACACATTTGCTCAAGGACCTTCGGTTGATAAGGGCTGTGAGCACTGCGGTTCCACAATGCACATGGCTGGTCCGATGTATGGTGGCCGCATCCACTCACCCGATTTCATCAAGCGTGTCCTCGGCGAACTTGAAGAGGCGCCCACGGATGTTTACGGAACGACGCTGAGGATAAGGGGTATGCTGCAGACGGCACTTGAGGAGATTTTGTTGACCCCCGAGGAACAAGAGGCCGAGAAGGCCAAGGAGGAGGCAATCAAGGCCGGAAAGAAGCCGGATCCCGCCTTCAAGGAGGCCGAGCTCGCGGCTATTGATCCCTACCCATTCTACTTCCACCCTGCTACCATTTCCGGCATCCTCAAATGCTCATGCCCACCAGAGGCACCCCTCAAGGGCGCGCTGCGCGGTCTCGGTTACCGGGTTACAAGGAGTCATTGCAAGCCGGGTAGCATCAAGACAGATGCACCATGGTCTATTATTTGGCATGTGTTCAGGGAGTGGATTCGTCAGAAGGCACCCGTGAAGGAGGATAACATCAAGCCTGGTACGCCTGGATACAGGCTGCTGCGACTCGGTGAGAAGAAGAAGCAGGAGGAGCAAGCAGAAGGTGCCGAGGCTCCCAAGGAACAGCAGAGTGAACAAGCGGAGGGAGAGACGATGCCCGAGGTGGTATTTGATGAGCAGCTTGGCCGGGACGACAAGACTATCAAATTAGTCAGGTACCAGGCAAACCCAAGAGAGAACTGGGGTCCTCTGAACAGGGCAGTAGGAAAAGTGCCGTCTCACCACCGCAAGGATTGATGATCTTGAGATATGAGCGTCCATATTTAGAGGTTTGGCATCAGGAGCGAGCTCCCTTTCCCAGGTGATGCGAGAAGGATGCTGGAATCCGAGGATAAAGCGATCCGACAGCCAGTAAGAAGTCTGGTTCGGTAGGCAGCAATCAATTAATGAGATGCAATCCTAACAACAATCCAAAGCTCGAACCTAGGCTTAAAAGCCAGGCACCTGTGTTGTTGTGCGATTAACTCCGATCATCGCGCCGTAATATGGGTCGGGGAATGATGCCGAGTGGGTGACCCACTCCGTAACGCATGTCAGCATCCCTTTTTGGGTCGGCACCGTTCTGCCCGCGGATGGTGTGAACCGGGGGTGATAATAACGCAATTCGGCGGCTGAGTTTGTACATACAAGGCAGTGGGTAATATGATAAGATGGATTTGGTGTAACTATACGTGCTTGATAGCGAGCAATGAATGCGCATCTCTTCTGCGTGTGTTTCTCCGTGTTTTGTTAAGGCGGCTGCTGATCTGAACCTCCACACCTGGAGCTATCCTGCTATCATCGTCATTGACTTGCACTCTTTGTTCTTCCTCTTCTCTCTTGCTTGGTCGAGATGCCGTCCTGGCTCAAAAACATTGTCTCACTTGGTCGTCGACGAAAGGGCTCCACCACTGTCACAAAACAAGATCAGAGCCACAGTCAATCCGATTTCAAATCCTCTTCTCCTTTAAAGGCGTCCTTTTCAAACGGACAAAAAGTCAACGCCCGAAAGTCACCCGGATGAAAGAGTTGGTGAACGGAAGAAAGGACAACCGCAGGAAACTTTACCCCGCAACACCAAGGATAGCGAGGAACAACCCCGCGATACCGTCAACATGACCGCCGCCGCCACCACCGTCGTATTTCCCACGCCAATGACCGACAAGGCATCTTCAACCTCCACCTCAGCACCAGACCACATCCATCTCAGTCAAAGGACCGGAGACCTCATCCAAACATCCGCTCACAATGACATCGGGGATATTGAGAACGCAGGAAGCGCCATAAATCCCAACCAAATCATCTTCATCCTCAACAGTGAAACCGGCGGTTATCGCATTTACTCACTCCTCCAAGAGGAGCCATCGCCTGCCGCCGCCAAGTCTTCCGACGAGAGCGCCGCTGACGACGGCGAGAAGGCCAAGAAGGCCAAGGTCATCAACGGAAAAGCCGGTGGTGAGGAAAGAGCGACGAAATCATCGCCCTTCAAGCTCTCCGTCACATATGCGCGAAACTTGCCGGAAGAATTGACGCGGGAGTTCCTGGTTGAGAAGGCACCAGAGCACTTGGCTGGGGTCGATGAGTTGCATGTGATTGTCTCGACACGGTCGGGGTTGGGGCTGGCGGCGGGGTTCTATGAGGGTGTTTTGAAGCCGCTGTTGGAGGAGGGGCTTGGGTTTGAGGGTGTTGGTGATGTGGTTGGTGAGGCTTACGACAATGAGAAGGAGGAGGAGAGAAAGGCCGAGCCCAGTAAGAGAGAGGACAAAAGAACATATCAAATCACCGTGACCAAAAGCGCAGACACAGTCAAGGATTTCGCACGGGGACTGGTGTCATCATCATCTTCTTCTCAAGGGAAACAACAACCAAGCAGGACACTCATCCTCCTGTCCGGCGACGGCGGCATCATTGACCTACTCAACGGTCTCGACCATCCTGGCCATGGTCACCACACTTCCAGTCAGCAGCCCGACGTCGTCTCTTCTTCACCACCGTCACCATCACCAACCCCAACCCTCGCCACCCTCCCCCTAGGCACCGGCAACGCCCTCTTCCACTCCCTCCACAAGCCACTTTACACACCAGACGGTCCATCACCACTAGTCCTCGGCCTCCGCACCCTCTTCAAGCGCGGCGTCTCAGCTCCTCTCCCGACTTTCCGCGCCGAGTTCTCACCGGGAGCCAAGTTAATCTCCGGTCAGCCGGAATTTCTTCCCAATGATGAAAATGAGCCCAAGGATAACCTCTTGTTCGACGTCACCAGCACCAGCACCAGCACCAGCACCAGCACCAGCACCGAAAACAAAGAGGCGAACGCACGACGAAGAAGACCAGAAATCACCCACCTCCTAGGCGCCATCGTCTTCTCCTACGGCTTCCACGCCTCTTTGGTGTACGAATCCGACACGCCCGCCTACCGCGTGCACGGCGACAAGCGGTTTGGCATGGCGGCTGGGGAGTTATTGAAGGTGTCGCATTTGTATGATGCCGAGGTTTTTATTCGTCGTTCTTCTACTTCTTCCTCCTCCTCCTCTTCCCTTTCCTCTTCCCTTTCCTCCTCCTCAGCAACAGCAGGAGCAGCAGCAGCAGGGAACAACAACAACTGGAAATTGATACCAAAGGATTCCCACTCAACCTACATCCTCCTCACCCTCGTGTCCAACCTCGAAAAAACATTTTGTATCTCTCCCGCTTCGAGGCCGTTGGATGGGCAGTTAAGATTGGTGCATTTTGGCTTTGGCGAAGGCGAAGCCAACGCTGAAGTCAGAGGGAAACAAACGATGGATATCATGATGGCCGCCTACCGAGACGGGTCCCACATACACGACCCCGAGGAAAAGTTCAAGGGGGTGGTAGAATACGAAGAAGTGGAGGAGATCAAAGTGGTGATTAACGAGATGGATGAGAGGTGGAGGAAAGTTTGTGTGGATGGGACTATTGTGGAAGTTGAGAGGGGGGGATGGGTTTCTGTCAGGAGGGAGGAGGGGGGAGGGAAAGAGAGGTTGAGGGTTTTGGTTGATGAGGGGGTTGTGGTTGGGAGGGGGTGAGTGATGGGTAGTTGACAAGGGAATCTGGATATAGACTTGGATGGTGGGATCTTGACGGAAGGATAGTTAAAGATGGAGTAAATCTGAGCGAGCAAGTTATTTAGGCGTATTTATGGTTTAACACAGTCTTGGTACCAGAAGTCAATGCGTAGTGAGATATGGACGTCCAGCAGCAAGGGTGTCGTGCAAAGAATGAAACAAGTTCTGGTATCTTTACGGAGCAAGCTACAACAATGCCAACCACGCCTTGTTCGTCCCTATGAACCAAGCCTACCCATCAAAGCAACTAAACGGAAATACATGTACACGAACAACAAGAGAGTCATGATTAGAGACACTAACGGAAACCCGTTTGTCTCAACCCTAAGCAAGCCATATCTATAAGGTATGCATAAACTTCCGCAAAGCCTCGTATCATCATCACACATTTTTTCCCTCCCCCTCACTCATCTAATCACTATCCTCCATATCAAAAGCATCATCAGCCACCTTCCTACCACCCTTCTTCGCCTTGCTACTCACACCAATATCCCCAAACGAGTCATCATCATCTTCACTCGCGCTGTCAATGACAATCGGCTTCCTAGCAGCCGCTGCGCGACCAGGCCTGCTGCGAGCCGGAGCAGGCGCGGGATCCTTCATGACGACATCATCGCCATCAAGGTCATCCTCGTCATCGCTAGCGAGCTTCTTCGCCTTCTGATTCTTCTTGGCATAAGCCTTAGCCGCCGGCGAGAGATGGACCAGCGTCTTGAGCTTGGCTGGGACGGCAGAGGCCGTCTCGCCAGCAGCAGCCTTCTTGGCGGTGACCTTGGGCTTGGGCTTGGGGGCAGCACCGTCGTCGTCGGTGGCCTTGGTCTTGGTGCTGGCAGGGCGACCGCGCTTCTTGGCCACTACGGGGGCAGCGTTGACCTTCTTGCCGATGGCATCGTCTTCGGAACCCTGGTCGGCTTCGCCAGTCTTGGACTGCTTCCGCGGGGACGACATAATGGCAAGAGCCTCGTAGTTGGTATCATCCTGGCTATCGTTGTCGAGGAAAGCCTTGGTGTGGAAAGCCCTGCTCTTCACCTTGGGCAGGCCGATACCGCTGCTCTCGCCTTCCGGGCGACTCATGGAGAAGAGGCTGAGCCTCGGGCCCTCGCTCGTCGCGGCAGGGGCTCCTATGCCCTTGACCAGGGAGCCGACGTCGAGAAGCATGTCGTCGTCATCAGAAGCTTCGCTCTCGGAGTCTTCCTCGTTTACGGCGAAGAAGGACTTGGCCTTGGCGGCTGCCGCGCGCTTCCTGGGGTTGGTCGGCGCAGGCTTCTCAGCCTCGCTTAGCATCTTGTCATCACCGTCGCTCTCAAAATCATCGTCCTCGGGAACGACTGCCTTTTTGGTAGCAGCCGCACGCTTGACAGTAGATTTTGCCGGCGCAGGCTTTTCGGCCTCGCTCACGATATTGTCATCAGCGTCGCTCTCCAAGTCATCGTCTTCGAGAACAGGTGATTTTTTCGAGGCAGCAGCGCGCTTGGTGGCAGGCTTGGCTGCGGGCGCGGGCTTCTCTGCTTCGCTGATCATCATGTCCTCGTCAGAGTCATCAAGAATAATCGGCTTCTTGGCAGCAGCCTTCTTGGCCTCCGGCTTGGGGGTCGGCGGGATCGGCTCTTCAGGAGCGTCCTGGAACTCGATATCGGAGTCTTCATCGTCGAGAGGGGCCGGCTTCTTGGCAGCGGCAGCTCGCTTCGTGGTGGGCTTAGGAACAACCTCTTCCTCAGACTCGTCGTCGATGAAGTCATCCAATTCGGAATCCGAATCCTCATCAAGAACGATAGGCTTCTTGGCTGCTGCAGCACGCCTCGCGGGCTTCGCTGCAGGCTGCTCAGATTGTTCCGCCGACGCAACCGAAGGCGCAGTCGAAGCCGAAGCCGACGCGGATGTTTTCTCGGAAGCAGTTGTAGCTTTTGCGATGTCCAAGAAGTCATCGTCCGATTCGTCGTCACTGAGCGCATATTTGTTAGGCTTCGCCACGGTGGCACGCTTAGCGCGCACACTGGCGATGGTAGTAACGGGCTCTGAATCCTCATCCTTCTTCTTGGCTGCAGCCGGGGCCTTCTTGTCCAGCAAGTCGAAGTCATCGTCTGAGAGGTCATCAGCTCCGTCGGTGAAAGCGGTTGACTTAGGCTTAGGCTTCGCCATGCCGGAGAACTTCTCCAGGAAACGCTGCTGTGTCTTGATCGTCGCAGCCTTAGGAGCCGCCTTGGCCTTGGTCTTCTTGGCGCCCGGGTCGAAGTCCTCGTCATCCTTGGCAGCTTTGGGCTTCTTGAGTCTGGAGACAGCACCACCCTTGTATGAGACACGGCGTCCCTTCTGCCTGATCTCTTTCCGTACTTCGTCTTCCAGCCTGAGCTGCTCTTCCCACTCTGCGGTGAAAGCATCAAGATCTCGGCACCACAGATCCTTTTCGCCGAGTGCATCGAGCTCATCGTGCTCAGCCTTCTTTGCGGCGATCTGCTGCTTGAGCTTGTCGAGGCGCTCAAAGGTCAACGACCAAATGGGCATCTATCATCACGTTAGTCTTCTCCGCAACACATAGCAGTAGACTCCACATCACCTACCGAAAGCAGATAGTCATAATCACGGGCTCCACCAACGGCATCCTCCTCATCCTCGTTGTCCGCGGCACCGAGCTCCTCATCAGGAGACTTCACATTCCTTCCATCCGATTTCGGAGGGAAGGCCTCGTACTTGCGTTCGCGAAGTTCCTGGACGAGGACCGACTTCTTCTTCTTGGAAACGACGAGCTTGTTCTCAATAATTTCCGAAATGAATCGATATTGATTCTGCAGCTTGCGGTAGTCCGCATGGTAGACCTTGAGCCAGTGCTTCTTGCGCTCACCGTACAGGTTGAGACGGTAGTGGTAGTATTCCTCCATGATCTCTTGTGGGTTCTCATATTTGTGGATTTTACCACGAATGTCGAAGGCTACTAGATTTGTCGTAGCAACTGTCTTGGTAAGCTTGAACTTTTCAATAAGACCGTCCCTGAGAGCCGAGGACATCTGCTTCTCCTCAAGGGCGATGATGAAGTGGACAGTTTGGTGGTCGTTGTACTCTTTGTAGTCCTTGATCCAAGAAGGACCCTTATCGCCACGGATAATCTCTTCCAGCTTGGACTTGAAATCATCGGTCCACATGCGGATGGGCAACTCCGTAACATCAACCTCATTGGGGTTCTGAGGGTTGACCTCCACGATACCGTTAAACTTGAATCTGTTGGGTCCTTCTGGCTCGGGAGTGCCCTTCCAACCACGGAACCATGGAGTCATGGGTTCGAAGGGCTTCTCCTCCCCGTCGCCAGATGAGTCTCTGCCCATGCGACGCTTCAAGTTCTCGACGATGTCAAGAGGGTGATAGTTGGGAATGGAAGTGCTCCAACCGGTACCGATACCATCTGCACCGTTGACTAAAACCATGGGGAGAATGGGAGCGTAGACCTTGGGCTCAATCAATTTGCCATCGTCGAACTGGAATTCCAGATTGGGCTCATCGAGTGGGTGGAAAATCTTTCGCGCTAAGGGAGACAGTCTGGTGTGGATGTAACGAGCGCTGGCAGCATCGGAACCACCGGAAAGACGCGAACCGAAGTTACCGCTAGGCTCGAGACAGTTGATGTTGTTTGAGCCGACGAAGTTCTGCGCCAGACCAATGATGGTTTGCTGCAGAGACTGTTCACCGTGGTGATAGGCTGCCTCCTTGGACACATAACCGGCCAATTCAACAACCTTTTGATCGTGAATGAGGTTTTGCTTGAAACAGCCGAACAGAACCTTGCGTTGACCGGGCTTCAGACCATCCACCATGGATGGGATCGATCGAATGTTGTCCGCCATACTGAAAAGAATGAGTTCGCGATTAACGAAATCAGTGTAGGAGATTTTCTCGGTCGAATGGTCGAGGTAGGTGCCCGGCTCGCACTTGGCAAGCCAATCTTTACGAGCGTCGGCCTTCTTCTTGGAGAAAGCCAGCTCGAACATTGCGGATTCCTCTCTGGTCATGACATCGAACTCCTTGAGATGCTTGTTCAAGTTGGTGAAGTAGATCTGGGCATCGTCTGTTGTCGAACTACCCAAACCCTTGAGATACTTGTACTTCCATCTGCGCAACTCGTTCTTGTGTGAATCCTTCCATTCCTCGTACTGGGGCAAGGTAAAGAAGCCTTGCAGCCTTTGAGGCTTCCTCGGGTTGGGACCCTGCCACACCTTGACGACGGGTGTGATGAACTCCTGGAAGAAATTGGGAATGCGCAGGAGGGACGGGAACTGGCACTCAAAGAAGTTGATAAGAAGACCCTTGATATGACTACCGTCAAGATCCTGATCAGCCATGATCATCAGATGGCCGTATCGTAAGTCCTTCGTGTCGGTGTAGACTTTTCCGTGCTTGAGACCAAGGAATTTTTTGATGTTCTCAACTTCCTTGTTCTTCAGAATTTGATCGGCGCTGGCGTCACGGACGTTCAGCATCTTACCACGCAGTGGGAAGACACCGATACGGTTAGGGTCCAAGATGGCACGACCAGCGACAGCAAGACCTCTGGCGGAATCACCTTCGGTGAGAATAAGGGTGCACTCTTGCGAAAATTTTCCACCAGCATAGTTGGCCTCAATCAGCTTGTCATTGCTGATACGCTTTCGCTTGCTGCCATCATTCTTGGCCAAGTCCTTGTCTCTCTTCTTGTCGGCAAAGCTCAACAAGTTGTCAATGGCCTCCGACTGTCGGACTTTCTTGAGGAACTGGTCACCAAGCTGGCACTTGCTGCCAAATTTGGCGGGCTTGGTCGTCAACTGCTCCTTTGTCTGCGAGCTAAAGGCCGGGTTGTCGATCAGGCAGTTGATGAAGATGAAGAACTGATTCTTGACGTTTGCCGTCTTGAGACCGTGTCCCTTGCCCTTCTTCTTTTGTAGCTCCTTCATGAGGACTTCGATGATCTGATCGGCAATGTAGTTGACGTGAGAGCCGCCAGTGGTTGTGGCAATATTGTTGACGAACGAGACTTGCTGGAATGCGCCATCCGAAACAGTAAAACCAACTTCCCATAGTTTACCCTCTGACCTTTGCTGCTCGAAGATGACTGTGGCAGGAGTGACGTCTTCGCCGTCAGCTACCTCATCACGCTCCTTGGCAATGGCCTTGGCGTACAGCCCGCAGTATGTCTTGAAGTTCAACTTGAGGTGTTCGCCGTTCAGCCAAACCTTGACGCCACTGACGGTACCTGCCATGTCGTAGACACGTCGGTAGAGCAAAGCTTCAAGGTCGTCATCGATACCGTCGGCCATGCCGAACTTGCTGAAGTCGGGGCGGAAAGTGATGCGCACAAAATCAGCGGCCTTGTTGGAGGTAATCTTGGGAGTTGACATCTTGCTCATGTTGTCTGTCCATGTCTGCTTGTATCTCTTGCCGTTGACGGAATCCTGGCACTCGAGCGTGAACTCTCGGCTGAAGATGTTTGTGAGCTTGGCACCGTAACCGTTGCGACCGCCGACTGTCTTCTTTTCGTTGTCATCGAAGTTGGAACCAGCCAAGAGATGACCGAAGATGAGCTCGGGGACGTAGCACTTTTCGGTGCCGTGAATCTCTACGGGAATGCCCTTGCCGTTATTCTCGACCGAGATTTCGCCAGACTCGCGATTTATCGACACCTTGAGGAAGGTCATGGAGCTATCTCTCTGGCTGTTATCGGCGGCGTTGACGAGAATCTCGTCGAAGATCTTGTAGAGACCAGGAACGAAGGAGATTTGGCGGTTTTCCATGAGACCGGTGGCCTTGTTGAATACCCACATCTTTTGCTCGGAGCGCTCGACGGAGCCGATGTAGGTGTCGGGACGCTTCAAGATATGTTCGAGCTGGGTGAGTTTCTGGTACATTTCGGTGGCCGTCTTTGCAGCGCCCGTCTTTTTGGGGGCGACACTGTCGATCTGCATACTATCGTTCTCGATTTCGGCCAGAGGCTTGCCGGCGGCCTTCTTGACCGGCGCCTTCTTCTGCTTTTTGGCATTGGGAGGGGTGCTGTCGAGAATGCCGTCGTCCTTGTCGCTACCAAAGGAACCGTCTTCATCCTCGCTGTCGGGTTTTGGTCGCTTCTTGCCAGCGGCCTTTGCGCCGGTGAGAGTAGTCTGGGTCAACTTCTTTGCGGCGGGCGCCTTTGGTGCGGCAGCCTTTTTGGCAGCGGGCTTCTTGGCCTTGGGCTTCTATATTGCGGGAGAGAGAGAGAAGGTTAGCATATAAGATGATAGTTATTGGAACTTGACAAGGAAAAGCAAGCAAGAGCGGAACAAAGCAGCAGCGCGTGAATCGCATAAATCGCATAACAGCAAGGGGGTCTCGGTTCCAACCCACAGCAGCAGAAGAGATCATCACGTACCACCTCTGGTGAATAGGCGTCGGACTCCTCGAATACGGACTCGACGTCGGAATCCATCTTGGCGGTACTAGGCGTGATGACCGAAGTAGTAGTGGTAGTTGTGTTGTTGTTGGTGTGGTTGTTGCAGAGAAGTGTCTACGGGCGAGAGTGCACAGCGGCTGTGCGAGTCTGCTGCCTCCAAGACGCAGCAACGGTTGGTCCCAGGACGACAACAGGAGAGGCGTGCACATTCACAAAACGCGGTGGGATTTGCCGCGACCGTGACGGACCAGGCGGACAGGTAGAGGGCGGCGATAAGAGACTGATAGAGAGAAAGACCAGCGCAGGAGGGGCTGGGAGGGGGTGGTTCCTGTAACCAAGGGAAGGTTCGTATTATTGTTTTGTTTTGCGGGTAATTGGTATAGAAAACAAAGTGAAGTAAAGGTGACAACGCGGTTGCAGTGTGGTGCAGTGAGACGTGGTTCCTGCTTGGAAATGTGGAAGGATGAATGCGAGACGAGCAGATGGAGGGGTGGCGGCGCGTCAAAAATGTTCAGGGCCCCTCGAGTCCAGACGGGAATGACAGTTGGTTGGACAGACAGTGACAGTGGTCGCTACAGTGGATGATGGAAAAGTAAACAGCGGCTGATGAGCACTTGGCAACTTGTGTTGGGTGTTGTGCATAAACTTGCATTTCCAAGTCTCCACTCCACCGTCCCATGTCTTGGCGCGACAGCAGCGCGACACGACGACAACGAAGGGATGAACAGGGGTAGTGGGCTCACACCTGGCAAAACTCGCCTGGCAGTTGGCAAGTAAGAGCACCCCTCACGTGGAGATAATCATCGCGTCAGCCACCAACTGGATTACAAGCCACACATCTCTATTACACCAGCCACAAACACTGTTCGTCGCCTCGACGTCTTGACTCTTGTTGCTCGGATGGCCGACCCATGAATGTCTCGGCCACTTGCTTCACTCGACAAGCTTCCATCGACCAAGTCAATTTCTGCCCATCTCTCAAACGTGTTCCGACAATGACGGTCAAACAAAAGTGCACCCAACCAAAGAAATGAGACTCGAGCCTGAACCGTCGACACCTCAGCTCTTTCCAGGAGACCAGGACCTCCAGCTTCCCACCTCGTCGTCTTTGTATCCAGGGCACCTGTTCCTGTGGCTCTGTTACCTCGTCTTGTCCCAAGCTGGGTTCTCCCCGGGTGCATCATCCATGCTCATCCATGCTCTTCCTACCCATCACTTCTCACACGTTCGTGTCCAATCTCTCACTCCCACTCTCTCTTACTCTCCCATTCGATGGCGGCCCGCCCAAGGTCTCGCAAACAACGCGGCGAATGGTTGTGTGCCTCCGTCACAGAAGAGCACAAGAGGCGCAAGTGAGGGAGACGGGCTACGAATCTTCCTTCATCTGATCCATCCAGTCATCCATCTCCCTCTTCCCACCGGCTTCCCATGTCGTCACTGACGGCCCGTTACAGTACACTCAAGACACTCACTTTTACTCTCTCCCGGTCTGCACAGGGCAGTTACCCAAAGATTCCGTTACTATTCCTGACATACAAGCCCGAAGATCACTTGTTCTGTCTTGGTATTTCCCCGACCCCGAGTGTGGCCATGATGGATGCTTGGGTCTAGGGGTCGCTTCTGTGATCGCCTCTGTCCCGGAACATCAAACAAAGCCCCGTCCTGTCAACAGCCTGCCACAGGTATTCAGTCAAGCAGTGTTTTGGGGGCGCACAAAGCCCTCGATATTAATGAAGCCTCGAAGCAGTCGCTCCTTGCAAGGTCGTGCCTGGCCTAAGGGGCATGCAATGGGCTCCCTGCAGCACGAGGTGGAAAAGGAGTCCGTCGAGCAAGACACTTGTCGAATTCTACACCAGTCCTTCTCTGCCTGACAAGTGTTATGGCATAATGCCCATTTGCATGCTGGGCCCTCATAGGGCGCTCATGGACCTGCCGTGTTGCTTGCCGCTGTCGTCGCCCCCCATGCGTGGGGCTCTTTTGCACGAATATGTGGCGTACGATACTGCACGGAAGCATGTTGTGTTACGACGTCGTGGGCCAGCCCCCGGAGACGGACAGCATCAGAGAGAAAATGCAAAGCCAAGACAAAAACCACCTGGTCAGGGCTCTACTATGTAAGGCATTCAGGGCAGTCAGAGGTATATCAGGGTAGTCAGCTGAGCCATTACAACCCCCATTGCAACCCCCAACACAGGGCGAGCGGGAGACAGGACGGCACGGCGGGATGGGCAGGAAAATGTCCGGGGTCAAATGCGTCGATCCGCAACGGAACACGGCTACATCAGCTTGCTCACGATGCACAGAGTCCTGGACAGAAGGGTTCTAGAGACCTCTTTCCCCTAGGCCTCCTCATGTTCTGCCTTCCCTTCCGTCCTGTTAAAATCCCACGCCGTTCCACAAGGCTCATCTGAAACCGGAGCATGGTCATGAGGTAACAGAAGCCTTTGACGAGAGTTTGTCAGAAAGATGGCGTTCTTGATCAGTCCTCCTGACTAGAGATCTCAACTGTGTTCCTCATATTTGGAATCTCAGACGCTTGCGACGTGCTATTGGATCATCGCTAAAGTTGGCTTGGGAGTCGCTTGCTCGGCGGCATCGGTGTAGCCATTTCTGCGAAGCACGAGTCCTGTCATGCTAGACCATGTACATCTCGTCAAGAGGCTCTCACGATTCCCACGTCCAGGTTGGCGGGTGGTCTTGAGAAACTTTGCTCGGCTGCAATTCCCTCCCGAAGCGTATTGTTCTTTGACCTCAGGGGCTAATTTCAATCATCTTCAGCTTTGCCCGGCTTCTATTTGCGGGAACGCATCAGCCACGTCCTCACAAAATCGCCGGCAGTGGCATCCATGGTCAACTTTGAGAGGAGCGCTCCGGCGGGCCGTTGCAGCAATCATGGCTGGTACTTTCACTACCTCCCGTCGCGGAAGCTACCCATCTCAGGCAGGCCAGGATTCTCAAGACAAGGTATCTTTGTCTATCCACTGGGCGCTGGCGAGAAGCGAGCCTTGACTCGAGCAATGCTGTCTGGATGCCACAATCTGTTGTGCTCACCTCTGCGGGCTCACAAGCCCAGCCAAAGGGCTTGGTAGACGCCGTTGCTGTCTACCACACTCCCCCTTCCGGTCAAAGCACCCAACAGTCGATTTCACGATTTTGCGCTACTCACTATCTATTGATACTGCCCGCCCATCAAGTCTTCGGCGCGGTCCATCATCGCAAGTTCTCGCTCCTGCAGCTTTCCCCTTCTTGGCTTTTGGCTTGCTAGCACTTGATGCTACGCAACATCAAGCATATCCTCCTTAATCTGGAGGACAGAACACGGACCCCAGAATTCATCAACCCGTACCCCTGGCCATATTTAGGGTCTTCCAATCGGGCTTTTTTCGCTTGTACAAGTTTGCAAGGATCGAGCTTGGGCTCGTGGAAGCAAGGGGTATCACTTGTTGCTCCGGATGTTCTAAAATCGCCGTCGACAACGCAACACTGCTTGCCTCTCACTGCAGCGAGTAATCTGCTCAGTCGGTCCAGGCCCAAGCCTAAGCCTGAGTGGTGATGTAAACACAGAGTGCTGATGGGCCTTCCTCGATGCTGACGCGCAAGTCTCTCGCTCCGCTTGCTCTTTGCTAGTGATATGGAAGCCATGACCACACCAGTCCCTCGCAAACGGTTTGTTACTTCGACTGTAATCATACAGCAAGCCTCGTTGTAACTCTCCATGCCGCCTCGCTCATCTCATTTACTTGATAAGCGGGTGAACCATGGTCAAGAGGCCACGTGTGTCGAGTCAAGGATGGATTTTGGGCTGTGATGGATATGCCTGAACGACGGTCAGTCTTTGTTCAATCCTCACCCAGTTACTTTGCCCGGGCTCGTCGTCCAGCGGTACATCCTGCAGCCATCCGGCACCTTACCTTGTGACAGAAGCACTCAACAAACCATTACTCTGCCGGCTTGATCTTTGACCGGTATTTGCGCCCGCCAAACTCGCCTGATGTTTTGCTTTGGTCACGGACATGCTGCTTCACCTCGCTGCGTGTGATCGTTCCCTGTCTTTGGGACCAGTGCCAGTCCTTTGCTCGGTGATATCCGTTCAAACATGACACTACGTCTGCTCGCCGATTCCCCTTTCTCCTTCTTGTCGAGCCGCTTGGACTCCGGTCGTGGGTCCTCTTCTTTCCCTTGTATGTAACGGCATTATACACAGAGCAACGCAACATAGTCGGCCACGGCGGTTATGACGGAGTCGTTTGGTTCCTCCGGACGTCCCAAAGCCGAAGTCAGGCCTGGCAAAAGACGTAACGTTGAATCATTCTTTCTTTTGGCAGATGTTACCCAAGTGAGCCACTGTTATTTTTACCGTTACCGGTCCGTCACAGCGATTTGTGTCCCTCTGTCGGGCGTTCAAGTTGTGGTTTCAGCGTCACTTGCGCCTGTCAGTAATCATTTTGTGGCTTCACCTCGACCACCAAAAGAGCGGTGGACGAACCAAACGCTATCCTTGCCTCTGAAGTCGACTCCTGGGAACCCCCAGACAAAGGAACTGCACCGAGACTGTCGAGCAACAAGACGGAGAGAAGGAAGCCGTCGGCCGGGGCTGCAGACCGCTGCATGGTGGAAGTCAAGGTAAAAGAGGGCCTTTGGTTCCTTGTCGTGTACAACAAGACACCCAGGCACAGCCAGCTCGCGAGAGTCTGGTGAGCGTTTTGTTGTTTGCGTATTGACGGGCAATTTGACCTTTTCGCATCTGACTCCAAATATCAAGCGCCGTCCGAGCTATAACATCCTCAGCCCCATCCCATCTTGTTGCCTCATCCTTTCCTTTTCTCTCATCTCTCTACTCTAAAGTTATTGTTGGCTACAACACATCAGCTGGCATAGCTACATCGACCTGAACATCCTTCCCCATGATTTCGGTAACTTCTTTGCTCAACCCGACGCCGGTTGAGCCTCGTGTGGCTCCGGTTCCATCATCTTCCGACACTTGTTTCTCTCGGCCGGTAGCCTCGAGAACCACTCCCAGGACGGAGGAACTACCCGATGTCAACTTTCCCCCTTTTGAAGAGGACCTGGATACGATAGCACTCCAAGAGATTCGCCGGTATCGCATCACGCCGTTTGGGGAAATTCAACAAAGACCTGAAAACATCCCGTACAATGCTGGAAAGAGAGACTTCCAAAGCAAGACTGGCCGAGAGTGTCTAGATGGTATAGATTTCCATCCTCCTCCATGCCCTCAACTACAACCGAAGTGGCAGCTAACATTAGTTTGCGTAGTCTTCCAATACAACTTCCAACGGCCCGGAGACAATACTGAATTCACTGTCATGTGGGATTACAAAGTTGGCCTTGTCCGTATGACCCATTTCTTCAAGTGCTGCGGATACTCTAAGGTTCGTTCTTCCTTCTATACTGGTGCCTTCAAGGCTCTAACCCAGCTGTGTAGACAACACCTGCGAAGATGTTGAACCAAAATCCGGGGTTAAAGGATATCGCCTATAGCATTACAGGAGGTGCTATCAAAGCACAAGGTACTAATCTGAGAACTCTTCCCTTCCTATCTCTACAATACTGCTCTAATTAGTAATACTGATTGGTCGCAATAGGGTACTGGATGCCATATGCTTGTGCCAAAGCAGTATGCGCAACTTTCTGTTACCAGATCGCTGGAGCACTGATACCCTTGTTTGGGCCCGACTTCCCATCAGAATGCATCTCGCCTGGCGAGCCACGATACGGCATCATGATCATCAAGCCAGAGCTGATAAGCGATACAATGAGGAAAGCACAAGAGCTGTATCACAGATACGGCAACTGGGGCGGGGGTTGCACTTCATCACCGCCTGCCAGACGTCCGCTTCGGACTGTCTCCTCTCGGCCTGAAGAACGTCATCACTATCAGCCTTACCCCAACCAAGATCACCGAGACCGCCAACAGCAACAGCAAAGGGTAGGGCGTTCTAGAAGAGGCTTCTTTGAAGAGAGCTCTTGCGTAGATAATAGGCCGCAGCTGCGTGGTATCTCGGCGCCGATGACACCAGCTAACGAGTGGGCATCACACCCGCCGCGGTCAAGTGCCGGACCTTGTCCTGCTATTTCGACATCGACACACCCCTCTTTCTCGTATCCTGAAAGGACACCTCACCGTTCAGCATGGACAGCGGTAAACCACCAACCCCCAAGCAACTCCCTCGATCGGTATTCACTCAAGCGCCCACTTCCCTCGAGTGAGCCTGACGAGTCAGTATTGCATTCGGATTGGTCACCCCGTAGCCAAGCTCCCAACCCATGGCTTACTGCCATTCCACGCTCTCCTCAGAGAACATCCTCCTCCCCGTGGACTTCTCAACCAGGCAGCGCCAACAGGAGCAGAGCCGGCAGCATCAGCAGCATGGCCAGTCAACACCCACAGGGCTTGCCATCTCCTTCTTCAATCTTACCCTCGCCCTCATCTTCCATGATATCACTTGCATCATCTAACGCTTCAAGCCCGAGACCTCAGCTACCCCCCATCTCCAAACTCTGCTCACTGTCCGCGACTGGTCGGCGAAGGCTTCCTAATGGGAGGCCTTCCCGAGTAGGAGGTGAGGAGACCACCCATGCTCGTGACGGACACACCCGCGGCGTTTATCAATTCTCCGCTGGATACCAAAGAGCACTCACTCCCCCTTCAACAACACCAGTGATGGATTGGAGGAGCCAAAGGAGGCCAGCCCTACAGCACCAGCATGAGCATGAGCACATACAAGACAGCCAACAACCAAGACGGATAGCAGTAGAGGCAAACATGGATGGTGGCGACGACAACGAAGCAAATTCCGCACACCCACCACTATCTAGGACTCCTTCCTCAACTTCCATTGTTACCGCAAACACAAGCAATAGCAACAGCAACATCAATCGTACTGCCAGTGGTGGTCGTGATGACGGGCAAACGAGCCTCGCTGCTCGCAAGACAGCGGCTTTGACACTGTTGCATTTGAGGCAGCAGGAGGAAGAAAAGGAGGCTGCTGCTGCTGCTGCTGCTGCTGCTTACTCCTCTACCAAACGAACAGAGTCCCCTTCATCTTCTCTGTCATCACCCGTCTCTCCCCCACCCACTTCTGGGCAACCATCGCCTACATTATCTGCTATGGCCACTACAACTACTTCGAGAGGAGATACTGCCGCTACTACTGCTACTACTACTGCTACTACTACTGCTATTACTGATACTACCGAGCCATCGGCACCACCTCCCTCGCCCAGTAGTCATTACCTAGGTTCACCTAGTTCTATTGCTTCATCTTCTTCTCCTTCTTCACAATGTGGTAGTACTAGGGAGAACTCCGTCGTTGCAAATGAGAGGCCTAGGTATGATGGGCAAGATGCTGGTGCTGATGCTGCTGGTCCGCGTCACTGCGATGGCGATGCTGATGATGAGGATGATTACGAGCACGAGCAACACAGGAGGAAGAGGAGACGGTTGTTAGTCATCGGGAGGGCAAAGTCGTTCTAGAGTAAGAACACACACAAAACCAAGATTGGATTGCTTGCCTTGGATAGGGTACATTTAGCCAGAGGTAAAAACGGAGTCTTGTGCTGGGGAGAAAGGGGTTGGCGGATTCTTTGCTTGATGTTGGTATTGGTACGTTTAGGAACAAACCACGGTTAGGAAGAAAGTACTACTACCATTAGAATAACTCTGCCTAGGTGGCATTTTTTTTTTTTTTTGGCTAAGCTAAGGGGATGCAGTGAATGGAGGAAGGTGTTTGAAGTTCGCGAAGCTTCTGTGCCTTGTTTTCTTTGATTTTCTTTGCTTTGCTTTGCTATTGTAGTTGTTGCGTCAAACTGGCAATCCAGAGAGTCTGTACTTGGCCATGACCGCGGATCACGGGCATTCGTTCCGGTCGTTAGTTCCCTGTTTTGAATGGCTTCTTACCCAGGTTTTGCTGCGTTGTTAGGTACCTTGCGTTGAGTTCCATGGTAAAGTAATCGTTTGCTATGATAGCCTCTCTTTGTTCTGATTTCTGACAATGCTTTCTTTATTGAGACTAATCGGCAATGCACGACAATTTCTTCGACTATCTGAACTCTGAAGCTCGACGAGATGCTGTCTAGGGATTTCGATGTGACGGATGACACAGCATTGTAATCTGTGTTTTGACATATCCGATACACTTCGCTGCCGAAGATGTCAAGAATAACTGTCAACCGTCCACTAGTGCTCGATTAAGACCCAAGGCCATGCCCCCCTTCTGGATAGCTCGCAAGGAAAAGGTAGAGCTTCACCCTTCAGAAACGACAAGCGTGTGTATCGTCTGCCCTTCGCTTCTGCCTTCCCTGTTTACCCCCACAGTCACTTGATCGCTTCACCGGCTTGGATCAGATCTGTTTGGTTGGTCTCCCTTGGCCACAGGCAACTATGCCAACCTAAACTCACCACCCAACATCACACAACGCACGCACACACACAACCACAGCAGAAGCCAGGGAGACAGGAGGCAACAGCTACCACCAGACCTCTGGGCTGCCGAGAAGATAAGGGTAACCGAAAAGAAGAGAACCTTGACGTCTCGGTCATTACGGTAGAATAACATAACACCGCGTCAAACATCCCCCTCAGCCATCGAATGGAACGTATCCTCTGGCAGAAGGAAGCGCAGCCCGAACACAAGAGAAGGCACGACAGGCAGCGTTACCTAGTAGGTACCTTCCTATCGTACTTCCCTGTCATTCTCTATCGCCCTTGCCCATCGTTCTTGCCTAGGTAACGGGTTATGTATTCATACAGCACTTGCCTTGACAGGACGAGCACGGAGGTACACTGGCACGGCGGTTGCTCTCCCCAACCGAACTGTCTGAGTTTGACCGAGGGGATTCTTTTCCCTTTCCCTTTCGCCTGGGCCACCCATTGTCTTGTCAATATTCTCTAATACCATATCTTGCTTCATGGTACCTAGAGGTACCTGTATCTGCTTAATTTTTTGGTACCTCTGAGCACACCCCATACGACCCCCCACCCTTTGACCCTATGACTCTGCTTCCTCTTCACCGTGACTGGACACGTTCACACTTTTCCACATCCACCCATCGATCCAGTCATTGATTGTCTGATTGCGTGAATCAAAGTCTTGACTTAATGGTCACAGCGAGTCAAATGGCTGACATCTGGCGCTTCACTCTCTCTCTCCTTTTAGTTTTGTGTACCCTATCTTCATTCCCTACAGTAGCCGCCCACTGCCTTCCATCTGTCCATCCCTTCTACTGTGGCCTGTTTTCCTTCGATCCCGTGACTTAACAGCGCTAAGGCATACAGAGAGGGAGTTTCTCCGATAGCGTCTACTTGATGGCGTAGACAGGGGCATGATCTATCCATCGGTAATCCACAAAAGAAAACACTGGGATACAAAGGCATCTTTACCTTGACTTGTGGCTCGGTGATGGATTGCGAAGCATGTTCATTGTGTTGGACCTTGCTAAGGGTGTGCTGGGATTGGATTACTTGGGTTTGGCTCTTTCTGTGTTATGACGAAGATAGAGGAAGGGATCGATGGACTTGCAAAGAGGGAGAGTTATGATAACTCCTTGATGATGGATGCCCAAAGAAGAGATTAGGAAGAGCGTTGGAAGCTGGAAAAGAAGTAGTGATGACTGGAGAATGCCCTACCAAGAGTCGAGAGGAATACTTTCAGATAACAATAAAGATCAAAATGGAAAAACTTAAACGGCGGACAAGATTATCCTATGACCCTATTTTGTGACTGACATTGCAACAGCAATCTGCACCTTAATGTCTATCTAGTAAACAGCCCATCTATCCAGCCCCCCCATCATATGCATCCCTCCACTCGGCTTACCTTGGGTATCATAACTCCTTTTTCCCGTCACCCCCCCCCCCCCCCCGTCCTCATAGATTTTTACTTTAACTTCTTCTCCCCCGCCTTCTTCTCCTTCCACTCCCTAATCCACCCCTCCGCCTTCTCCCCCTTCGGCACCACAAACACTCTAACCAACTCATCCACCACCTCCGTCTTCCCACTACTCAACACCCTCAACAGACTCGCATTTTGCGGCACCCTAATCAGCCCGCCACTCACACTCTCCATATAACACTCCACCTTGTCGGGTCTATCATACTCCCCCTCCTCATCCCACGGCATGTCCGGCAGTATATACTCCAAATGCTGCCCCACGCTCTCCGTCTCCCTAAACTCCTTGATAAAATCGCTCTCCAGCTTCAAGGGGTAAAGCAGCATTAGCGGAAAACTCAGCTCCGATTGAGGGTCGAGCGGATCAGGCACAAGCTTAATGCAAGCATCCTCCATCTCGGGCGGGTCATCAGTCGTGCGGGTCTTGATACCGCGGGCCTCAAGCGCCGCTTTTTTCAGGGCCTTCTTGCGCCGTTCTTTTTCGAGACGGGCCTCCTCGGCCCGCTGCTTGCGCGTGATCTCCTCGTTCTTGGCGATCAGGTCGCGGGCGAGTTGCTTGAGGGCGGCGTTGTCAGGGTCGATCTCGAGACCGCGCGCGCAGGCGTCGTCGGCTTCGGCGATCTTGGAGACCGACAACAAAGCGCGGCCGGAGCGGTACAGGGCTTTGAGGTTGGCTGGGTTGAGACGGAGCGCGGCGGCGCAGTCGAGCGTGCAGGAACGGTAGTTGGCGAGCGACAAGTGGCAGGCGGCGCGGTTGCAGTAGAGGGTTTCGAGGAGGGCGGATTCTTGCTTGATCGTCTCCTCTTCGCTTAGTTCGTTTTCCTTCTTTTCCTCCTCTTTACCTTCTGCTGCTTCAGCGATAGGCATCTCAGCCTTGACATTCTCCAAATCCGCCTCCATCTTCGCCTTGGCATCACCCTCAGCCCGGGCCTTGCGCGCCTCCGCCTCCCGCTTCCGCTCCTCCTCTTCGACTTTCGCCTTGAAGGCCGGATCCCGTCTTTCCCTGTCGGCCTTCACCAGCACCTGGATGCCCTTGCCGTAAAACTCCTTGGCGTCCTTCCACTGCTTGGCCTTGAAGCACTCGTTGCCCTGCTCCTTGAAGTTCTGCGCGTTCTCGAGGGGTGTGCCCTCGTACGCGAGCGCCTGCAGGGCCGCGAGCTCCTCGTTGCCTTCGTCGGAAGGAAGAGAGGTCATGAAGAGGGGGTGCTTGTTCATCTCCTCGAATGTCTCTTGGACTGTCATGGGCTTGGCGTTGGCGGCGCTGGCGGCGAGCGCACCGGGGGGAAGGTTGCCGAAGAGGGCGGAGAGGTCGGCGCCGGGCGGGGGCGGAGCTGGGCCGATGACGGCTGGAGCTGATGACTCGGAGGCGCCATTGTCGGTGGAAATGGTGAGGGACTCGGCGGATTTTGTGACGTCTTCCATGCTGGGCGTTGGTTGTGTTGTTGGGTTGTGGTTAGGTTGTGGTAAGGTGAGACTCCCGCTCGCTCACTCGGTCGTTGAGTTTGGACTTTTCTGTTGCTAAATGTCAAAAATGACGTAGCCTCTCAGAATGAACTCAGAGTTCCAGGTTGTGACGAGAAGAATTCAGAAATGTCATAAGTTCTGTATATAGCTTGTAAAATCTTCGAACTACCCGTCCAAAAATAGAATCAAGTATTTTTTTCCAGAAGTCGAATAAGCCCCGAAATAAGGGCTCACTTCAGTGACATTCTTCGGGCTTCTTCAGGACTTCTGCTCCGGGGAAACTTTTAAGTGGGGCCAGTGGAAACATTTTTCCCGCAGCGGGGCCGGCTCCGATGTGGAGCAAACGGCCCGGACGGGAGCTGCGGGGGCGGGGCACCAAATCGGAACCGGTATGGAGCAGCAGCAACGATGAGACGTCTTCCATTTTCATGGTCCGGAGATTGTACCAAAGAGCTCGCAAAAGTGAAGAAAGAAGCGATCAAAAAGGCAATGAGGAGCATACGCAGATGGTAGGACGGCGTGGAAACATGCAAAAAAGAATTTTTATTTTGATCCGACTGAGGCTCGATCTCAGGACCTTCAGTGTGTTAGACTGACGTGATAACCAACTACACCATCGGACCGTGTTATTGTTGAAATCAGGTTGAGAAGCAAACCTTTATCAACCTGGTCTTCAAACTGCGCTATTTGACACACTTTTCAGATGATGCCTTGTCTACCATGGGAACTTCATAGAACTGGGAAAACGAGTAAAGAGGGGCTGAGAAATATTGTTCTTGTATTTGGCTGATTCATGGCCACGCACTTCTATTATAGACCTGAATCTGGTGGCAAGTCTACCACAGAAAGGAAAAAGTAGTAAGAACATTCCATGGTCGACTTTTAAGGACACATGGATGGCAGCTGTCAGTGAAATGCTAGTGGGCATTTGAATACCTAACAGTTAATACTGAAGTGTATACCGCGTTATAGATATCCAAGTGTTTCAAACTCTTGTACTACCTGTGACTCTCTCGGCTGTCCCCGAAGCGCATGAACAAACATAAAACGGTGATCGAGAGGAAAAGAAGTGTGTATAAAGCTGCAAGGACTAACGCCCCAGTGGTCAGCTACGTCGGGCATGTAATGCTTCTGACGTATTCAATGACTGCGCCGCTTGGTGTGATCAAGGACTTCAAACCTGTGATCTTGTCTGTCCAGTGTGAAAGATAGAACCGCAAAAGAAATTAAGATCAAACCATCTCATCCCGGTTTCATGCAGCGGCATGTTGCGAACTTTGCACTTCCATGACACCCCCCCGAGAGTCCTCTTCCTAAAATACATTCCTATCCACAGAGTGATAGAGGTATCACCTTTCACCTGCCTTCCGGACAAGTGATTCATCCGTTGAGAGAAGATCAGACGATGAGACAAGAACAGTCATGAGTGATGATCTGTTCACGTTGTTTGCGCCGTACAGTTTCCTTCTTTGACGCAACACCCGTTTCCGACGCGTCCCGTTTTTTGTGCTGGCGACTGGCCTGCTGGTTCTTTTCTTTTTGTGTCCTTGTCCTCAAGGCATTCATTGTGCTGTCAATGTTGTCGAAGTAGCCATAGCCACGTCGTTGAGCGGCCTTGTGTTGTTATTTGGGTTGATGATCAGATATCAACAAGATGATGATCGGATTTGTTTGATTTGTTTGTCTCAGGCTCGCCGTCAACCTCATCGGTTTGCATGTGGATTGTTCCAAAAGAGCCTAAGAGCCTAGAAGAAAGTTGTAGACACTGGGCCTCTTCCGAGATAGCTCCTCTGGTCGACTTCAAGAACGCGGATTTGAGGATGAATGGGAGAAACGCTTCAATTCCGGGTATGCTACCCTTATCAGTCTCGCTTGAAGACATCTTTTCGTCCAGCGCATGGTAGTCTCATCAGAAAGGGAAGGAGGTAGGCTTGGCTGAGCTGACTGATGTCGTAGCGAACTGTTTTTTGCCTTCTCGGGATGACAGATATGGTACTTGTCCCCTCCCACAGCGGCCCGAAGCCCTAGTCTAGCTCGGAGAACAGTTGCTTCCGGCTTCTTGCATGGAACACTGCAAAACCATCGAACACCGATATGACCAGGTACGTCAGTATCCGTGTCTGCCACAGGGCTGCATGCATGTGATATCTCGGCAATAAAATAGTTCGCCCGGCCGTTCCATGCTTGCGAGGGGGCGCCAGAGAGAGATAGGGGCGCAACCCGCAACGGTCAATCCGCAACGGGCAATCCGGCGGTTGATACCCTAGCTCGATCTTTCTGCTGTGTAAGGCGGCGAAATTCCTCACGCTCGCTGGTGTCATTGCACCCTGTGGCTGAGGCTTCGGACTGGGAGGCGCTTCTGATAAGGTGATTAACCGATTCGAGGGGTGTAAGTATACATGAATATCCCAATGTTTGAAGGTTTCGCCATAACAGGAGGCGAAAAGGGACGCGGAAATATTGATAGGGCAAAGACAAGTATATCCCACTATGATATGGCCTCCAAAAGGCTGTAAATTCAATATGTTTGCGATATCGGATGCGACTTGGTCTCAGACACAAAAATTGATCGAAGTCCAGTTCAAGGGACGCGCCCCCGGGATAACGTTTTGTCTTGCTTGATTCCCCATAAGGCAGACGAAAGGAACGGTGCCTAGGTATTCCTACGTTAGCGGCCGTTCGAGTACGTAGTGCTTTCTCAAGATGGCGTCAAGCTAGTGCCCTCATCCCCAAGCTATCGAGTCTTGATGCATATGCGGTAGGGGGAGACAAAGATGTGCTTGCATGAAGGGCTGGATGGGAAGACAGGGTGGGTACGGGTCGACTTGATGGAGAAACCGTGATAACCTCGGGACAAGATGATGGCTAAGACCTTTTGGGAGTATTCCGATAGAAATGATAACAAAAATCCAAATAGTGATACCTCACTTCCGGGTAGCTCACGAACTATACCTGTTATAGTTGACGTAACCAGTTGGTGCCCCTTTCGTACAGCAAGGCAGTCGGGCCTTGCAGGAGGATTGATTGTGTGAATAGAATTGAGAGGATGTCGTATAGGTATCTCGTAATTACTCAATGTATTCTTGGAGGTAGTAGTAGAAGACGGAATGGGATGAGCTTTCATCCATCCGTGGTTGCATCTTCAGTTGATGAACAAGGGTCAGAAGAAAAGAGAACAGGATATCGATGAGCTAGCTAACTCCGAGAACAGGCCCGGGCGGGTGCCCGGGTATATTTGCAAAGTGACATCGCCCTGGAGGGTCCGGGAACATGCAAGCCGCATCAAGGTGCATTGCAGCAGCCAAACCCGACTCTGCAGGCGGCAGCACTACCTATACTATATGAAGTGGTCGAAAAGGCCGAGTGCTACCATGCCAGTGAAAAGGGGACTGCAGGTATGCAACATGATAAGCTTCTCGATCTTTATTGAACCTCTTGGGACATTGATAAGTCGCAGTGTATCGGATGAGTTGTCGTTCCTTGTTCTGCGAGACGATAGAGGTAAAACAAAGTCTGGCGATTTGATAGTGAAAGCACCTGAGGTCATGATGGACTAGATGAGCAGACTCGGAGAAAGAAATGAAACTGGGATGTTGAAGTGAGCCGGAGATATGGTGAAATAGGTGCCCGGTGAATTTGCTCGAATGAAACACAGTGCCGTGCTGGATCGTCATCATAGGCCCGGGTTGTATGTTTCAACTGAAGCCAAGGTAAACGACACGGGAGGGGCGAGAGCCTCAAGAATGCTTTTCCGGTGTCGGCCACGATGCGCATATGATTATCATGTGCGTGTAACTGTCAAGGGTCCAGAGATCAACCAGCACTTTCCATTGTTGCGTCTGGTCTCACCGCTAGACGCCCTGTGAAAGGCTGGAACAATCTTCGGCGTTGGCACTTCCGCTATCCAGAAGCCGCACAGCCCATAGGTTTGAGCACGGTTGACGTAATGGACTCAAAGAGTGCCTGGTTGAAGGACGGGCGACTGGGCGGCAGATAAGACTTTTTGTTGACCATCTACACGCCTCTTTGGCGCCTTCTCTATGCCGAAAACCGAGAGAAAGTGTAAATATCGGGAGAGAGGCAGGAGCAGCGAGATGCCTTGGTCTTTCTGCTAGAGGAGGAGGAGCAAGGAAAGCAAGACTGGTAGTGACGAGAAAGAAAGCGAGGGACGACGTTAGAGGTTATCGTGGCCCAACCAATGCGAACAATCCATGAAATCGACGATCTGGACCAATCAAGTGGGCACCGCAGCAACTCCACTTATGATTTCTTGTAAGTCTCGCGCACAGATGATTGGCTGCAGCTGCATTGCCACCCCTGCCCATCATGCGCTCTTGCATGATGCGTCCCAGCATCCTTCAATTCTCGAGCAGCAAACGCAGAAGGAACACCCCAATGTGCCAATCCAAGCTCATTTCCCCCAGCGTTGTCAGTGCCAGTGGCAGTGGCAGAAATTCAAAGTTTTCGTGTCCTTTTCATGATCATCATGGCCTGGGGCATTCTGGTACGGACGGACCGAGCTACCGATCAGGCGAGCAACCAACGTCTCGATTTTGACGGTGTTGCGTTGCACTGGACTGGAAAAGAAGCCGGATGGAAGACGAACTGTTGAGAGGATCTGAGTCGGACAGAGTTAACCTCCAGATGCGCCTCGATGCGCCGCGATGTGCCGGGGAACCCTTCCAGCTTCCGTGGTTGTGCGTGGCTCACCTCCAGACAGCCATACTCGACCTCTTATCAGCCTGTTATCGGCCGTTTATCGAGCACGGCGTCCCTCGGCCACTTTGTGTCACTGCGTCTACATGCTGCCGTCCTCCATCGCCCAACACATGTTCAAAGATATGTTGTTTCTCAGAAGGGATTCGCGCTGTAACCGGCTCCCGTCACTTATCAAGAAGCAAGTGGCTCGGAAACAGGATGACAGGATGCCATTGGCACGGCGATGTGTCGGGCAGACTGCTATGTACGGTACTGTCACGGTACGTCTCTGGTTTCTGGTGACAGGAACCATGCCGTTGGAATGCAGCCGGAACGCGAACCCTGAGAACGGCCCCCGGCCCTGGAACCTTGGCCGGTTCTGGAAGCACTCGCAAGCGGATTGGCCAGAAGGACCCTCTTCTTTTCTATGGTTTCCGTATCTTTCCAAACTTTCCCATTCCCGCCTTCATCTGATATCAATGCGCAACGCATGGCGTGCGCCTAAACCGTCCATTGAGTGAACGGGTGCGGTTCGGGACTTCCCTGCGAGCCAGGCCGAGTCTATAATTTTTTTTTTCCCTCGTTCGTCAGTTCCTTCTCACCTCGTGGTGCCTGGTGCCATCCACTCATACCTCAACGTGTACATGCGGTGTCTCGACGAAATATTTTCTATACTGGTTATAATTCCTAAACTTGTTCTAACTCCCATCTCGACCTCTCCCGTTTGTGTTCGGTTCCTAACGTGTCTGCTTTCCACACTCCATTGCCCTGCCATCACTCTCCAGCTTCCATCCTTCTCCGAGTCCTGTTGAAAACAAAACCGTCTCCATCTTCCTTGCTCCTTGCACCTGGCACTACTTCTTCCTCGAGGAGGTATTGGACAGTCGTAAGACCTCACTCTTTCTGTGAAGCAATGAGCCTAACAAGTACAAGCCACCGCGACCCGGACAAGTTCCCAGCCGTCCAGCTATTCCTCCTTGGTAAGCCATCTAGGTCCGAAACTCACTGTCTGCTGTGCCAGTCCAGCAAGCTGACCTCGGATTCCCTTCAGCAATCGTCCGTCTCGCCGAACCGATCGCACTTACCTCCATCTTCCCCTACGCCTGGGCTTTCATCAAGCGACTACAAATCGGAAACGAAGATGACGCCTCGTTCTACGCCGGCCTCCTCATCTCGTCCTTTGCCCTGGCCGAGGCCTCGATGGGCATGTACTGGGGAGGTCTGTCCGACAGAGTTGGCCGGAAACCCGTCTTGCTTCTAGGATGTGTCGGCACCATGTTCAGCATGATCATGGTTGGATTCGCGACCAACATCTGGGTCGCTGTGCTTGGCCGTGCCATCGGCGGGCTTTTGAACGGCAATATCGGTGTTATTCAGACCATGGTTGGTGAGCTCGTCACAAAGCCAGAGCATGAGCGTATGTCTTGCCCGCCATCTCCAAGTTTTCAAGATCTTTGCTAACGGAACAAATATAGCCAAGGCATATTCCATCAGTACGTCGTCAACGAAGAATTATACCCGGCCTGGTTTAGTTTGCGGTGTTGCTGACATGTGAAACAGTGCCTTTTGTTTGGAGCATCGGCACCATCATTGGTCCCGCTATTGGCGGTACCTTTGCTGACCCCCACGAATCCTTCCCAAACATGTTCCCCAAGGGCTCCCTATTCGACCGATTCCCGTACCTATTGCCCAACCTTATCTGCGCCGGCATGCTTCTTATGAGCATCGTGCTTGGTTATTTTCTCCTCGAGGAGACACATCCCGATATGCAACCCCGCGTTCTGCTTCCCGACGATACGTTCCTTTCCGAGAACACGCCCTTGATCGAGACCTCCGATGCGATGAAGCGCCCCGCTGTTGACCTTCGCGACGAAAACTATGGTACCATGCGGGCTCGGGATATTAAGAATACCACCCCCGCGCCGAAGACTATCGGGAAGCAGCCGAGCTATAATGTTTTCTCCAAGAGAATCATGGCAGTCATCGTTTCCCTGTCGATCTTCACGTATCACTCGATGACATTCGATCACCTTCTTCCCATCTTCTTCGAGGACGATAAGGTCCCTACCAACCACCCGTTCGGTATCTTCAAGGTTCTGAGCCCCTTCTACTCGCCTGGAGGCCTGGGACTCTCTCTTCAGTCAGTCGGCATGGTCATGGCTGTTCAGGGTGTCATTGCCCTTTTTATGCAAGCCGTCGTCTTCCCTTTGATGGCCGAGAGGGTCGGAGTTTACAGGCTTTTCATCCTTATCACGGTATTCCACCCTATCGTCTACTTTATCATGCCCTCGCTGCTTTTTGTTCCCGAGAGGTTCCTATACCCGGCCATCTACCTCTGTCTCGCGGTTCGCAACTTCTTCTCCATCCTCCTTTACCCTCTGCTCCTGATTCTTATCAAGGAGGCCACCCCCAGTTCTTCTGTTCTGGGCAAGGTGAACGGGCTCGCTGCCAGTGCAGGTGCAGCATGCCGCATGGTAGCCCCACCAGTGGCCGGATATTTGTATTCGGTGGGAAGGAAGATGGACTGCACTGCATTGGCCTGGTACGGAAGCACATTTGTTGCCATCATCGGAGCGATCCAGTGCTTCCAGGTTAAGAGAAATAGGTCGAGGGATTCGCTGCCCGAAGACGGCCTGAGCCAACACTCCGACAGCGATGGAGAAGTTACTCCTGCTGCGGAGGCGGCCTAACGGTCAAAGGCCATGCATTATTCTTATCGTTGGGGTCTATAGCGGCGGAGGGTGCGACGGTGGTGCCGAAGGGAGAAGGGGAGAAAGGGAAGGAAATTAGGGGAGGGAAGAGGGGGGGGAAAGATCTTATACTCCTAAATTCCCTCGTCCCGAGGGAATAAAAGTTTGGGTAGAATTTATAAGGGGGAATGGTAATAAGGTGCAATATGGAAACAGGCGGAACAAAATACCCATCATGGAGGAAAGGCAGGTAAAGAAGGAAGGAAAGGATTTACTAACGACCACGGCTACATAAAAAGGGAACGGCATGGCGTTTTAGGTACGGGTCATGGTGTGCTTCTACACCAGTGAGTGAGTGAGCGTCCACTGCTTTTATTGCTTTTCAACATGGACAAATCATACCTGGAATGGGTTGAGTCCGCAACTAATGGAGACGCTGAACTAGTGCTTGGGATGGTAACGGATGTCAATGTACATGTCATAGATGGTTAGAAGGAACATAGAATGGACGCCTTGATTTCAGACAATTCCAATTCAACTTCGAGATACGATAACAGTGACTATAACATTACCCACGGTCTCCTTCGCCCTGAATATTGACAGTCATCTGTCTCGTGACAGCTAACTGCCCACGTCTCAACTTCGCAGATAGATGTGAGTCCAGGTCCCAAGACGATATTACCCGCTGGTCTACAACAGGACGTAGAGGAGAGGTTCAGTGGAGTGGACTATATGCCTTCCTCACTCTTTCCTTGTTAGGTATTTGTTTTGAAAAGCAGGTGCATTGCGTACCTTAAGGTAGGTACCTACTTACTTTGGAACAGTCATCATGTTCTTCGCAATAGAAGGCACCAAACTGTTGTGTGGTACTTGCAGTAAGTTCATTTACAGTCATGGATCGTCACTGCTTTGCCTCGCTCCTTCCACGTCATTCATTTATCTGACGGGATGTTTCCCACCCAGCTCTTTCCTTCCACATCTGCATTTCCACTATTCTATGTAGGACCCGAGACTTCCATCGGCAGGACGGGACCTTCACTGAATGGAACTGGAACCAGAGCATATAAGCCCCCAAGTTTGTACCTTCCAACAATGGACTCCCAGTAGCTTACGTGATGGGTAGGTGCCCGTGCTGGTAGCCAGAAAACGCGTGGTCGTGGTTGTTTTCGTAGGTAGGTAGAGGTATGCGCATAGCTGGCCTCGAGTTCAAGTCCATGGAGGCTTGGGCAGCTGAGCTTTTTGCTTTTGGTTTCCCCCCCCCTTTTTTTTTTCCTTCGTCAGCTTTCATTTTCTCTACTTTGAGTGACTGACGTCCGTGGCGATCCATTTATTTATGTTTTTTTGCTCCCGACATGCTTATTTAATGAATATAATTGAAATACCCCCTGTCTCAGGTCATCGAAGACGGGAGATTTACGATCCCTTCCTTACACGGCGTTACTAATTTTACTATTGCTCTTCTCAACTCAACCCGGAAAGAGAGTAACAATGTTAAGTTGTCGTAATAGTTTGGTGACTGTAGAGATGATATACAGATACTGGACTCTTAATATGTATTGTAGTTTTGGAGTTGACGACGGTGTTTGAAGCTCTCCTAGCTACCTTTAGGTATACATATCGTCATCGAGATATATCGTGTATCATGTCGTATGGCGCTCAATGAAACCAGGCACTTGCACTTCATTTACAATTCGGCTGTTGTATGTAAACCATTGCACTGACATATTATTCAAGCTCAAGAATTTCTACCTCGTCATCATTCATCCGTTTTCTTTCTCCTTCACCCGCATCCTCATGCCCCATGTGTCCAAGGGCCATCTCCCAGTCATCATCACATCTTAGGTATAAAGCTTGCTCGTCAGTTCGTTAAACGACAACCCCTCCTTAGCCAAATCATCCACATCAATCAAAAAGTTCAACGGCATCTCCACCACCGTACCGCGGACCCTACCCAGCCACTCCTTCACCTCCTCCACGCCACCAGGGAACTCATCCTTTACGACATGCCCGTAGTCAACCTTACCCTTCTTGTACCCCTCCTCAGCCGGCTTAGCCTCCGTGCCCGGCATCACGAACTTCTCGCTAAAGAACTTGTCATAGTCATCCCACGTGCGCACCGTGTCGTCGGGGACGGCATGGAACACCTTGCGGAAGATCTTGGTGTTAGCCTTCGCCGTTTTGTACCAGAGCGCCAAAAAGTCGTCGGCAAGCGGATCCTCGACGAGCCGATCGGCGTCCGAGCCCCAGTCGTACTCGTTGACGGCGTGCTGGTTGACGGGGGTCCAGTTGTTGTTGGCGGCGTCCCAGCGCTGGTCGGGCAGGAGACCGAGGTGCTTGCGGAAGAGGTAGCGACGCAGCGAAGCGGCGAAGGCGGAGGCGCGGTAGGGTTGGCCGTCCATGGAGGATTCGACGCGGTTCTTGTCCTGGATGATGACGGCGATCTCCGAGTCGTGGTCGCCCATCTGCGAGCGGTCGTTGAGGTTGGCAGACCCGCAGATGACGACGCGGTCGTCGGCGATGAGAACCTTGGAGTGGATGTAGAGCTCTTCGCAGACGAAGGCGTTGATCTCGGATTCCGGGGAACCGTTCCAGGGAACGCTGTGCAGGTCGGGCCCGTTTAGCATGTAGCAGGAGGAGATGGTGTCCCAGGTGCTGTCGGTGATCTTGCTGGCGGCTTCTTGGTAGCGCTCGTATTGGCTGTGCTGGCGTCCGCCCCCTTGGCTTCCACCTTCGTAACCGCCGCCTTCGTAGCGACTGCCGGGTCTGCTGCTGCTCTGGCGGTAGTCCTCGTCGCGGTGTCCACCTCCGTAGCCGCTCTGCCTGCGGCCGTACTGGTCATCACCACGGCCACCATCATAGCGATCGCCATATCCGCCGGAATGGTACTCGTCGCGCTCGGGTCTGCCGTCATCGTAGCCCCTTTCATATCCACCTCTGCCACCCTCATAACCGCCTCTGCCGCCTTCGTAGCCGCTTTCACCACCGTAGCCCCGTTCACCACCGTAGCCCCTTTCGCCCTCGTAACCCTTCCCACCCTCGTATGCGCCCCTGTTGCTCTCATACGGATCGCGGCTGCTCTCATATTGGTTCCGGTCATCATCAATGGCACGTTCGAACTTGTCGTCGTAATCCCGACGGGCTTCCTCGTAGCTGACTCCGGCATCCTTTGCTGCCTGAGCCATAGCAGCACTAGTGTTGATGCGGTCGTAGTTGCGCAAGTTGTAGAATCGGATGTAGTCCGCTGGGTTCTCAATGCCCTCCCTTAACAGACACTCCATAATACTGTTGCCGCCTCTGTTGATGCTGAAGTACTGGAACTCCATGATCGCACGAGTGCCGAGGGCGCCGTCAGACTTGAGATCGCCAGCGAAAGCGGGGACAGCGGGCATCATGACAAAGATAACAAACTTCTCGCCCGCGCGGTGGGCCCGAATGATACGGTCGACGATGGCCTTGCCGATCTTATTGCCAACGGGCTTTTGAGCGTCGGACGTAGCGGTGATGAAGAACTGCTATACGTCAGTACTAGGAGAGTGAACGAGTGTACTATCTGACTTACCTGGTTCTCAATGTAGATGAAGTGCTTGGCGTTCGTGATGATCTCGATGTAGGCTTCGGCGATGGAGGCTTCCGTGTCATGACCAGCCGACCATTGGGAGCAACTATTCTTGTCAGGCGCTACAGAATATCAAAGAGAGAGAAGGAGTCAAAATACCTTCGCACTACTTGAACCTTCATGCTACGTCTCGGATGCTCGCTCGAGCGCATGCGATCGTCATGGTCCTCGTCGTCGTCGTCTCCTAAGAAACGGCGGGCATGCTGGCGCAAATGGAAAGGGGTTTCGAATTCACCGAAATCAGGGTAGGGAGGGTTGTCTCCATATCCACGATCACGGCTCTCTCCGTATCCGCGATCGCGGCTTTGCTCTTGCTGAGGAGCGTTCGCACTGATAAGGGCGTACTTACCGGGGTCCTTCTCCTTGTACTTTTCGTTCCAGATGAAGGCCCTGTGACTCGTTAGCAAGATCATCGGCATTGAAAGATAGGCTTAGACTAACCAGCGGTCAATGAAGTGATCAACTAGGTTATCAACAATGTGGCCTTGCAGACTGATGCTGATGTCAGACCAGCCCATTCTGGAGCTCTTGGTACGGTCGACTGTGTCATGTTAGTCCGAATACTTTCAGTATCAGCTCTGTTAAACTCACGCTTGTTGTTCTCCCAGTTGGCCACATCCTCGAAGTCGTAGACACGAGCGTTGTTGAAGTCCTGACCGGGGAAAATGATGTCGTCAAGGTTGCTGGGATGAGCATCGGCGATTGGGTGACTGTTCGTGTCCCATCTTCCAAAGCCTGTCCGACTGTTAGCATATTTCATTGGTAAACAGCGTCAAAGAAAGACCTACACATATCCAAGCCTCCCATGAATGCGAGCTTCCTATCGACAACGCAGAGCTTCTCATGATGAGCCCAGAACAAGGTAACGTCATCCTTGGTTCCGTACAAGGCGGCCAGGGTATCCCCCGGGAGCTTAGCCAAGCTGAATGTGCCCATCTGCATTTTGGACCGGAGATCGGCAAGGACATCTCTGCCTCTTGGGATGTGATCAGGATGTCTGAAGACCTGGATGTTCTTGTGGAGACTTTCCAAAGCTTTCCTCGTGTGCTAGAATTTGCTCATGGTTAGTTTTTGGTCTTGCAACTTTGTCGATGCAATATCATACCTGAGAATTGACTGTGGTGATGTTTGTTAGCCCTGGAAGTGCATCAAGAACCGATCTTTTAGGACTTACGAGTCAAAGCCTGTTCGACCTCCTTGTAAACAATGATATTGACCTTTACACCGCGCTCCGCAGCGTTGCGCAGCATCCGGTCAAGCCGGTACTGCTCATTCTTTGCAGGGGGGCGGCGCAGATACAACTCAGGACTGTCCATTTATTAATCAAAAGGTTCAACTTGCAAGGGAATGATAAAGGCATACCTCAACCACCAATCAAGGATGTAGATGCTCTCCTTGGCCTCTGTGATAGTGATTAGCGGGTGAATGGCCAATATGGCAAAACAGCTGTTGCTTACGCTCGAGAGCGATGGAGACGGCCCAGAAATAGGAGGCTCCATCGACGTACCACTTCACATCGCCTGAAGATTCAGGTGCGAAGGATCCGAAGCGGTTGGCTCCATATTGGTAAGGATAGGAAGTCTCGGGGACTTCATCGTCTCCGGCTTGCTGAGACTGAGCGTTGGCGGCAGTGTTGGCGTTATCGTCATGATGGAGCAGACCCTCTACACCTGCTGTAACCTCCTCAAGCGTCTGCTTGAGCTTATCACGCAGGAAGCCCATGGTGGAGATGTCGTTGAGCGGGCGTATGAGTGATGGTGATGGGTGATTTTGATGGTCGGGAGTTGCAATATGGCGTAAGTGCGGGGCGCACTCTGGCAATTATCGATGCTGTCGTATCTAGAGACAGGCGCCTGGCGTCTAAACAGGCGGCCGTTTGTGTGAGACGTTGTTGTACAAGGCAAGTAATCGAGCGAGGGAAGACTGAAGAAGGTCCGTCACAGTCACAGGGAAAAGAGCTGAATCAGTGACAGAGCCGCAGAGTGGACACTGAGCTGCGTGTGTCAGGGAGCTGAAGGTGAAACGGAGACTGAAGAGATGGCATGATACGATAGCTTAAATGTTTGTTAATGGCCAACCACCCAACGAGCGGGGACTGTTGGTGGGCACTCTGGCCGTTGCTCTGAGAGACCAATTAGAAGCTGAAGCGAAGCAGTGTTTACGACGACAGGCTTACGTACAGATGTCCTCAGCGGTACTGTTTCCAGCCAGCCAAGAGGCAAGCGAACCGAGGAATCCCATGAAGCCAACCAATTCGGGTCGTCAAGGTGCTGAGTTCAGCTGCCCTGTGTCAGAGTGGACCACAGGCATTGGTAGGGCTGAAGCCCGCATCGCGATCGTTGTCCTCGTATTCTCATTGGTTGTTATTCGGGTTGGCACGATGTCACCGAACAAAGTCCCTGACGGCCCGTGGTGATGACGATGAGGTGCATTGCGGTGCGATTCTTTCATATCCGTTGGTGTATAAGCGGGAGATGATGTTTTTAGAGGTATTCGGACACACATTTCTGGAGCGGCCACTTCAAGGGCAGTCCCGGCTTCTGGAAGTTGGACGTCCGCAGTCGGCAGTGTAGATCAGGGTCTTCGTTGCTCGTGTTCCCCTCCACCTTTTGGGCTTTTCACCCCGCCTTTGGAAAAGAAGCTCTGCCGAGGTCGACGCACTGTCTCGGGGGCAGAAACGTGGCTACCCTTGAGCTTCCCATATGAGGACAAGAAATGGCCATGAATTCGATGAATATGGCATTATCATGCTTTTCGTGAAGCCGAAGTATGCTCCGATAGGATAAGTTGCACCACATCGAAGCGCAGAAGAGAGCAATACAAAGGAACAACACAGTCCGGGCCAAGGTAAGTTTAAGAGATATGCAAGATATATGCGCAGTATGGTCGGGTTTCAGAATGGTGATGAGGCTTTGAAATATTTTCTGCCGACTGCTTGGAGTTCACAGAACATACGAGTGGAAGGATCGATTGAAAGTGCCGTTGGTGACGAGTTGGGATATTTGCCCCTGGAATTTTACTCGAAGGAAAGAATGGACCCCCCGCACTAACAAAACGTGCTGTGGCGTAGGTGACTGCCCCTTGAAGCTCAACATTTACAGGGCCCCGCCGTTTAGTCCTCCCACTCCCGTCCATAACGTGACGGAAAACTTCCATTCGTGTGCCTTGAGTGATGGAAACATTGGAAACTTTCACGGTACAATTCAGCCTTGAAACGCGTGAAGGAACGTAACGTAAGCGAACCCCCCTCCTCCACTGCCCGTGAACGCGTGCCTGGCCCTTGCTGCCGCTGCCGCTGTGACGGAAAAATGATCAGTCCTTTGCAGCTGTTATAGGCGCAGGTACAGTACATTCGGTTTCACTATCATCACGTTTCGAGATTTGTCCCGTTCCTGACTGAGGTGAGATCGTGACAGAAAACATCAGGTACAAACTTCCATTGGTAAAACCTTGGGCAAAGACTTTGGACCCTCAAGGTTTTCAAAGCTCCAGTCTCTGGTATTCACGCTGCATCTCAAAAAGGTAAAGTACTTCCAGATCTTGGCACTTTTTCTTCTTCGTGTGTGATTACCGTTCCTGAAAACAACCATCATCACCTCGGTCACTCGTCTACTGCACCTCCATCACCCATCCACCCACCCACACCACTGCTTCACCCTTTGGAAGTCGGAACGGGGAAGCGTGACTTTGTTGGTCCTCTCCCGTCTGTCCGGTCAGACCCCCGATCTGGCTACAACCGCCGTCACCGTCTGCGCACACCGGGTATATTCCCTTCCCAGATCCGAGGTAAGAGGGAGGAGGAGGAGGAAATGGCACACACCTCGAGACAGGGAAAGCCTGAGGTTGGCGTACAATATTTCCTGTTTGAGGCCAAGGTCAGCAATTTATCACTGACAACCTCAAGTCCCGGAGTGGTTTATCACTCATCACTCATGAATTTCCATCACGTTGCTCCCTTTTAACCCCCAATCTTCACCCACACCTTCATTCCCCCCTCCCACATTTTCCCGTTGACACATTTTTCTTTCTCCTACCCAGTTTGGCCATTGCACCTTTTATACCAGAAATCTTTGGCTGAGACTGGCTGACCGGCTCAAAGTACTTCTAGCTCGTGACTGCCACCTCCTCTTGGGCCAGAAACAGACGACCAACTCCATGATATCGACAAAGATCAACTACACCTCGGCACTCGTTACAGGAACATACTAGCGTTATCATCTTCTTCGCCTATCCACCACAATCTTCAACCAAGGGTGAGAGAGACGTTCAGTTCGCTCTCAGTCACCACTCACCATGGACCTCCCAACAATGCCGCCCCCCACCTCCCCCTCAATGACCTACGTCTTCTCCCCCGACCAACACGGCCACCTAGTCCCGTGGATCGCCGCCCTGCACGCCTCCTGCATGACCATGGACCGGATGATCGGGCCCTTTCTGCCGCCGCTCGAAAACGGGAAGCTTCTGGGGTGGTGGAGGGAGCGTATAGCCGAGTCGAACCGGGGCACCCGGGTCATCGTTCTGCTTTTGCCCGAGACTCCTCCCGGTAGCAAACCGGTGGGCAACGACCTGAGAGGGTTGGCGATGCTCAAGTTGTCCGACACGGAGACGGGTTCGTTCCGGGGGAAGATTGATACCCTCCTCGTAAATCAGAAATACCGCAGGCAGGGAGGCGCAAAGGCGTTGGTGGATGCATTGGAGTATGAGGCTGCTAGGAGGGGGAGGACTTTGTTGGTGAGTTTTTTAGTCCAGTCCATCCCTTCTCTCTCTGTCACCTTAGAACGAGAGAGAGAGAGAGAGAGAGAAAAAGAGGAGAGAAAACAAGAACTGACAGACTCGAAAACAGCGCGTAAACACCGAAACAAACTCCGCCGCCGAAGCAGCCTTCAAGAAATTCGGCTACATCGAGTTCGGCCAAGTGCCCCAGTTCAGCAAAGCCGTCGGCGTTCCTCAAGGCAGTCTCAAGAAGAGCGAGACGTTTTTCTACAAGGATCTTCTCTCGCTTTCGCAGCAACCACAATCGTCTGACTCCAACTCCTCTTCTTCCTCCTCTTAGTCTCGGGAGGAGGAGACTACCAGGGGGGCTATAACTAGGTGGTGGTGGGAGTTCCGAGCGGTCTCCCGCTCACTACCGCTCAAAACACTTTGGTTCTCCTTTGTTGTTCCTCTCTCACTCGGTACTTACCAGTCTTTTTCTTCATTTGTTCGGTGGCTTACTTATACTTTGTGCTCTCTTGTTTTCTTTTTGGGCTCTCTTCTTGTTTTCTGTTTCCTTCCCGAGTATGTATGGTTCTGCTTATTGGTATGGGTTTCGGTTTCGGTTTCGGTTTGGCTTTGGCTTTGGTTTTGGGATTGGGTGATGTTCTAGAGAAAGAGAAAAAGATGAAGCCCGCGCTTTTTTACACACACCATCTGGGGGAGGGGGGGGTTACCTCCTTTTCCTTTTTTTTCCTTCTTCAGTTCTCCGTCGTTCGTGATCGGTTTCGGTCATGACCTATTTTCAAACGATATGTACATAGGGAAGGAAGGATCTGGTTGTTTAAAGCGGTTGTATTTTTGGTGTTTTACTTTTCTGTATTGCTTGTCAAGGTATGTCTGGTTGAGGTTGGGAAAAGGCACACACGCACACAAGCGTTGGGGTTAGAAGAAGAAGAAGAAGAAGAAGAGAAAGCGAAATCATTGATGTTCTTTTCATCGTTAGAAGTCTTGTCACACATCCAGTAAAACCAGACGAGGACTGTAGTTGTAGTATATAAAGTGCTACACATCGTGGTTCAGGGTTCCAACCAGAGCCTCAACGGGATACATATGCGGCCGCTTATCGAGGCCAGCTCTACCAGCCATTCAACAAACGGTCAACTCCCGAAGCGACGGGCGGGCCACGAGCGGCGGTACACTGGCAACTTAACTGACCAACCGGACTTGAACCACCAGCTTCGGTTTGACCCGCTGTGTTGTTTGGTTTTACACAACCAACTATGGATTGGTCTATCACCAACGGAACAACAAGCGATAGAAAGTCACCGAGGCATCTCATCACTTCCCATATTACGAGCAGATTCAACAAATATCCTACACGCCAACTCTATTCTCCACCAAGTGTGGTTCCAAGTCTTAGGATGAGGGAACCCCCACAAGTAACCCAGTGTAATGGGATATATAAAAAAGCATGGCCAAGGAGGAAGGGGAAAAAAAACAAGAGAAGTGTAGTAATATCAATACCAATACCCAGTCAAGGAGGCTTTCAGGTCGGTTCGGTTTTTCCTTTTAATAAGCCAAAAGCCACCAGTCCAGTGATGCTCTGTCCGCCAGATATCCCTTCTATCCATTCCTCCCATCCCCCAAAATCCAGCCTTCGCGATTATACACAAATTTCCTCGCTGCCTCCTCATCTCATTTGAGCCCCTTTCCCCACACACAACCATCAGTCATTAACTACAACAAGCACGCTCTACATCCACTCCCACCGCGTGCACATATGTAAAATCCAGATCATTTTCCTGATGAAGTATAAACCAACACAACCACCAACAGACCAAGCCCGTAATTTAATCGGCCTTGGGTCCACTGCTGCTGCCACCGCTGCCGCCAAACACGCTCTGAATGAAGCCGCCGGTGCTGCCCTTCTCGCCGGGAGCACCAACGCCGCCCTCCTCCAACTTGAAGTGGGTGCCGTGACCGGCCCTCCTCTGGGCGCGAGCGCTGTTGCGGAACCACGAGAGGCAACCGAAGGCGATGCCGAGAATGCAGCCCATGGAAAGGTAAGGATGCTCCGAGAAGGTCATGCGGATGTCGAAAAACATCTTCTCAAAGGCAGAGATGGTGAGCTTGGGCTTGATGTTGAGGGGGTTCTGGGAGATCTTGGTGATGGTCTCGAGGATGGAGGTGCGGCTGGGGACGATGGGGTTGCCGGTGGTGGTTTGGTCCCAGTAGCGGCGGTTCTGATTGGGAAAGTATGTTAGCAAGCGTTCAACGAGTGCCTAAAAGCTGTGAAGTGGGGGTTGAACACTTACATCCTCATCGTTGATGATGATCCGGTCACCAGTGTCCTTGACATCAATACCGTAGGTGGTCCTGATCCACCTCTGCCAGAAAACGCCATCAACCCAAGCAAAGGTGATCTCCTTCCTGTCCGCCCTGTCCATGTTGATGCGGATGTTCTTGGCGTTGCGCAAAGCACGCTGGTCGTTGCGGTCCTCGGCCTCCTCGATGCGCAGCTGCTTGGCGTTACGGAGCTCCTGCCTTTCCAGCTGGAAGAGCTGGATCTGCTTGTCCATCCACTCGCCGGCGGCCGACTTCATCTCGCGGATGGCGCCGGTAAACGACTCCTCGTCGTCTCTGTTAAGGAGTCCGAGGACAACGATCTTGCCATCCATGATCTCGCGGGCGTTTGAGGCGGTCATCTCGGGAACAATGGGCAGCCAAACGGACTTCATCCAGTCAAGGACCTGGCGAGTGCCGCGCATCTCGTTGGGCGTGAGAGGCTGATAATAGGTGGGACGGCCCTCGCGAGAGACGAGCAGGCGGGGCCAGGTGGTGATCTTGAAGCGATCATACATTTCGGGGTCGCGGGTCTTGACGAGCTTGGCACGGCCGATAAGGCTGAGAGGAAGACGCTCAAGGGCGAGGAAATCCTCGGTGGTGGTGGCATGATCGTAGAAGTAAACAAAGATGACCTCCTCCTTCTCCTCAAGAGCCTTGAAAGAAGCGGCATCGACGTCCTGTACACCGTTAGAGATGTCGATGGCCTTCTCAGCATACGCGAGGAAGTCTCCGAGACCACGGAGGCCAGTGTACTCGGCACGCTCGCCTCCCCGGAAGAACTGAATGGTGGGGTAACCGGTGACACGGACGTCCTTGCAGAGGCGGACCTCCTGCTCGCAGTTGACCTCGCCGATGTTGAGGCGGCCCTTCATCTCGCGAGCGACCTGAGCCCAGTTGGCGGCCATGGCTTGGCAGTGATGACACCAAGGGGCATAAAACTTAATGAACCAAGGCTGCTGGGTCATGGTGACCTGGCTCTGGAAGCTCTCGGCAGTCAGGGGCTGGGAGATACCATTGGGGTTAGGAGTAGTCTTGGGCTTGTTGCCTTTGATGGACGCAGCAGCAGCGGCAGCGGCAGCAGGGGCCTCGTAGTAAGCAGCAGGCGTAGACTTCTTCTCCTCCTCCTTGGCCTTCTCGACCTTGGCCGTCTCGACCTTGGCCTTGGCCTCAACAGAAGGGTCAGCCTTGGAGACGGCCTTGGTTTCCGTGGCCTTGTCTGCCACCTTTTCCACAACCTTGTCCGCGACCTTATCCTCGGTCTTGGGAGTCGGCATCAAGTACTCGTCGTTTCCGGTGATGAAAGTATCCTTAACAGGCTGTTCAACCTTGGCGGAGTCCTTAACAAGATCGACCTTGGGCATATCCTTGACGGAATCAACCTTGGTGGAGTCCTTAACAAGATCGACCTTGGGCACGTCCTTGACGGAATCAACCTTGGATGCTTCTTTGGTATCCTTGATGGCGCCGACCTTGGGGACGTAGCCAGGAGCAGAGATTTCGCCGGGCTTAGGAAGCTCGAGCTTCGCGGGTCTCGATCCGGGCTTGGTCTCTTCCAGGGCCTTCTCCACCACCTCGCTCAGAACAACCATGGACTTGACGCCCTTAAGAGCCTCGACCTGTTCGCCATTCTTGTAGAGAGTAGTTGTTGGGTAGGAAGATGCCTTGTGTGCGCTGCACAGATCGTAGTACGCCACGCAGTTGATGGTGCCGAAGCGGAAGTCGTAGAAATTGGTAAAGTTCGCGTTCTCGTTCCCGACGGGCTTCGATGTGTAGTAGAACTCGTATAATGTTTGGTATGTAGGAGCAAAGTCAATGCAGTGGGGGCAGTAAGGGCTGCAGGTGCGAGGTGTCAGCTAACGCGGTCGCATGCTTACCAGACCAGAGTCTTGATGATCAAATACCTGTAGTGCTTAACCATCAGCCATTTGCTGGCTTTGGATTCCTTCTCCCAGTTGTCGGGGGTGAGCTCGATAAGTGGTGGTATCGATACATCGTTGAACTTGGTGTACTCTGTCACCCCCACGTCGTCCTCTGCTTCTGTTGTTGTCGTCGTTGATGCGGCAACGGCCACACGGGCCGCGCCCAAGAAAAGGGGAAGCCACCTCATGGTCGTGGCCAGGTGTATACGAAAGATAAGTTGTGATGTTTAACAATGTCGGGGCCTGATTGTCGCACACTGCATCGAAGAGTGAACCAGCACCGCCTGGGTGGGAAGAAACGCCTTAGAACCTAAATCGAACCCACTTCGTGCTGTACGGGTCGATCGCGACGGGATGGTCGTCGATGGTGGCGTGGTGGAATATGGTGCACTGAGTGGTGTTCACAGTCAACCAAAAGATGAGAGACGAAACCGCCTTTGAAAATAGTAACAGCGTAGGTGGTGTTTGTCTGCTGGCGGCATGGGACAATTCCACCTCAATCCGCTACTTGCTTCAGGCGACGGGGGGCCAGGGGGTCAAAGGGATTCAGGAGGCGATCGAGGCAATGGCGGCCGGCCGGCCGTGCTGGCCCCTGGACTCTCAGGGCCCGCCCAAGGGGGCTAGAACGATTTCAGCCAAGACTTATCAGTGGAGCCCACGTCGCGGAGCTCAGCCAAGCCACATGAGGCTGAAATATGTAAACACTTCTCCAAGTCATTGTCGAAGGTGAACATCATGGAAGCCATTGTTTCTTTTCGTGAAGAACATTGTTTCACTGGGAAAAAACAAAGAGGGATTGGACTTATTAAAAGACTGATTTATTTCAGTTTCTCAATCTCGCGAAATCTGAATTGAAAGACTTCCAGTTGGCCTATCACGCTGTGAGAGGAGTCACCCTTAGCAGACAACACCTGGGCAGCTGGACAACCCGAAGGGAACGGAACGGCAACAACGACACGTCAAAGACTCTGTCTCGGAAAGAGCAAGGCATGAAAAACACACGACGTTCATGGTTTGAGACATCCCATGTTCACAATTTGCACAAAGCTGTCAAGATACACCAATACACCTCTCATCCGTCGAGTTCCAAGTGTGCACCGTCGACGACCCAATCTGATTGTTCGTGGACTGGCTATGACTCTGCCCGTCACGATGGAGAACAGCTGTTCGTCAAAAAGAACAGTCCAAGATGCTGACCTGGGTGAAGCCGGTGAAGCCCAGAATGGCGGAAGTAGCAGGGCAACACCGCGATCCCTCAGTCGTGCTGTCAGTCCTCCGCTCAAGAAACGCCGCACAAGCCCAGAGAAAGAAGAAGAATCCCTTCCCGCAGAACAGCAGGCAGAACAGCAGCCATGTCCATCTCGAACGATTGTCAAATCGCCGTTTCATCTTACCACGATTCGCTCCTTGGGACAGGATTCCAACAAGGATACCGTATCACTCAAGGACCTTCTCGGTGACCCCCTGATCAAAGAGTGCTGGGAGTTCAACTACCTTCACGACATTGACTACCTCATGAGCGCGTTTGATGGTGACGTCCGCCATCTGATCAAGGTTCACGTTATCCACGGCTTTTGGAAGAAAGAGGATCCCAATAGGTTACAGATACAGGTATATCAAAGTCAAATTGCCATGCCGTTCGTTGTTCAGTTCTGACCGACCGACCACCTAGTCTGACGCCGCTCGCTATCCCAATATCACCACGCATCATGCCTATCTTCCGGAGCCTTTTGGCACCCATCACAGCAAAATGATGGTGCTCTTCCGAGCAGATGATACAGCAGAGATCATCATCCACACTGCAAACCTGATCCCGAGAGACTGGGGTAACATGACGCAAGCCGCTTGGATATCTCCCCGACTTCCGCTTCTGAAGCCAGACACCCAACAGTCTACTTCCTCTACTCGTGCTCCACCACCAGCTGGGTCAGGTGAGAAATTCAAGATAGACTTTCTGAACTATCTACGCTCCTACAGGGCTGCATGTAAACCTCTTGTTGACCAACTTTCCAAATATGACTTCTCCTCAATACGTGGCTCACTGATCGCCAGTGTCCCAGGGCGACACTCTATCGTTGACGATTTCCCGACCCGCTGGGGCTGGGCCGCGATGAAGGAAACTCTCAAATCGGTGCCCGTTCGCCAAGCAGATCCTGATCGTAATGACGGCGAGAAGCCCGAAATCGTAATCCAGATTTCCTCCATCGCTACCCTAGGTCCAACCGACAACTGGCTCAAAAACACCCTTTTCGAAGCGCTCAGTGGTTCCCAAAGCCCCAAGACCCTGTTGTCGTCGTCCAAGTCTAAACCAGACTTCAAGATCATCTTCCCCACGCCGGACGAAATCAGGAAGTCACTCGACGGTTACGCGTCCGGTGGTTCCATTCATACCAAGATCCAGTCTGCTCAACAAGCCAAGCAGCTCCAGTATCTGAGGCCGATGTTCTGCCACTGGGCGAACGACTCGGCCGATGGAATCGACCTAGACCCCGCAACCACCGTACCCATCCGCGAGGCAGGCCGCCAACGCGCCGCACCCCACATCAAAACTTTCTTCCGCTACGCCAACCATAAATCCAAATCCTCTATCGACTGGGCTCTCCTCACGTCCGCCAACCTTTCCAAACAAGCCTGGGGCGACGCGCAGAGCAAGAACAACGCCGGCGAGCCGCAGGTGCGCATCTGTTCGTACGAGATTGGCGTGCTGGTTTGGCCGGAGTTGTTTGCAGATGGTGATAGTAGCAGTGATGGCAAAAAGGGAGGGAAGGCCGAGATGGTGCCTACTTTTCTTACGGATACTCCAAGTCCAAGTCGTAATAATGGGACGTCTTTCGGCGGAGAGAAAGAGAGAGGCAAGGGAGGTGATGAGAACAAGGAGGAGCCAACGGTGGTGGTAGGATTGCGGATGCCATATAACCTGCCGTTGCAGCGGTACGGGCCGCAAGAGGTGCCTTGGGTTGCCACGGCGAACCACTTGGAGCCGGACTGGATGGGGCAGGTTTGGCGACATGATTGAGTTGCGGAAATGGTACGCAGCTGCCTGATCAGTCTATTGATGTGGGTGGTCTCCGGTAATCTGCCTTCGAAATGAACTTCTGAACGAGAGCGTATGTGGTCAGTATTGGACGGCATACCTAGTAACCTTCCCGTCTGGTGTTAATATTGACGATACCCCTTCCGTTTTCCTCCCATATGGATGTGGATTCCACACGCGGCTCAAGCCGCCATGTCATGCCATGTCATGTACACACGGGATACCACAGACGTCTCAAAAATGTAGTGTAACTGAACCCGCAGAAACCGGGGAAATTGTTCTTTGCAGATCTCGACATGTAGACAAGATGTAGGTAAGTAGGTAGGTAGGTAGCTTGAACTACCAGGACTACCTACGTACCTCGTCACGACCAGAATGCCTGCCTGCATGTTAGCAAGACCTCTGCCAGCGGTAACAGTAGGAACTCACTGACAAATCCTTATGGTTTTTTTTCATCCAGACAAAGATCGACACGACAGCCTCTTGTGATAGTGGAACCACGGCTTCCATTCTACCACGAAGGGCCTTCGCCGCTTTCCCATCACCGACTAGTCTCCACAGACAGACCGCGTGCAGACATGGATGGCCTCGAACACTCTTGGATCTTGGTAAATTGGCATTATATTATTTATATAAGCTCAACGGGTATCTAAGCCTTCCACGCCTTAGTTGGAGCCAACAGCCTCGGGGGCCTTGTTCTCGTCGTAGCCGTACGTGGTCTTCATCTCCTCGACCTTGGCGACGTACTTGGTCTGGGCCTCCTCGGCCGTGAGGGCCTCGTCGACAATCTTCGACCAGGCGTTGTACTTGGCCTTGCCCTGTTTTGGGGGGATGTCATGTTAGCTTCCGTAGTTAGGCGTATAGGGGTGGATGTTTGGTTCATGGCATGGTCTTCGGAGGGTAGGGACAGGGCGTTGAGTTGTGGTACGTGTGGATGGACGGATGGAGGTTCGTGACTCGACCGACGGCTAAAGAGCGAGCGCGTGATGGAGAGAGATGGGATGGAATGTGGGGGGTAAACGGCGAGAGCGGAGACGGAGCGGAACGAACCTTCAGGTCGAACATGCCAGGCTTGTCAGCCTTGGAGAAGTCGGCGCCGGTAGCGACCTTGTAGAGAGCTGTGTGATGACGAGAGAGAGAATGTTAGCTAGCTGCTGCCTTGCCCGTGGTCGTTGAGTCTTGTTCGGTTGAAGCTCAAGCTCTTTCTGATCGCGCGCGAGACTAATAGGTAACATAGTCCTCGGCTGCTTTATAATTGTCGAGCGAGCGCAAGAGAGAGTATGGGAGTGGGACGCGACGGGACGCGACGCACCATAGATCTCGAGGAGGTCATCGTTGGAAGGCTTGGAAGTAAGCTTCTTGGAATCGGCAACGGCCTTCTCGAAAGCGGCAGACATTTTGATTGTTGGGTGGGTGGGTTGGTTTGCTTTTGGTAGAGGATAGCTTTGGGTTAGCTAAAGACTCGAACGTACTTGTAGATAGGTAGTTGCGCGTCGCGTACGTACAATGGGTATATATGAACTTGAAGATGGAGATGGAGAGTGGAAAGAAGAGAAGAGTTCGGGAGATTGAGGGTTAAAGCAGGGCAGTTCTTTAAGTACGCCAAACAAGTACCTTTACCTTGTACTCTACAGCACGAACTTGTTGAGGATCCAAGGATGGGATGAAATGCAACTCTCGAACCGGATTGGCGGGGTAGGTACCTTCCAGGCTCCAAAGTGCGGAGTAAACACTCGCTGTGGACTTTCCCGCAACGAGTGGTGGGGAGGGGTCTTTTCTTTTCCCCTGGAAGCCCGGGCTCTTCCATGTGACCATGAGCGTCATTGCCCCACTAGTTATCGATGATAACATCTACAACACCCTCTTTAACTCGCGTCTTCCTGACCTGACAGCCTCACTTTAGGACATGTTGTAAGGGATTCGAGTACCAGGGGGATAACGCCGAGAATGGCACTTCAGAATTTATAAAGTTCCTCATCCTTATAGACTCTTGAAATGTCTGTATTTGACTTGGTTGTGCAGGAATTGACTGCTCTGCTGGTTTCATATTTTCGTTTTGTCTCTACGAAGCGGCAACAAGCAAATCCATTCCGGTGCTTTTGGCTTGGAAGAGGGCACGGCACTTCGCTGATGAGTACAACCAGTCTGAGCAGCTGTGCCCTGCGACTTGGGCTGGCGTTGGAACACTACTGTACTCATGTCGTTGTACCAGAGGAAACATCATGGGTTAAGATATGAACCATCAGGTAGCTTGCTGTGACTCCACTGAATACCATTAAGAGATTATGCTGTCTTAGAAAGTTAGACACAAGTGAAAACCCAATCATTCCATGATCCTCATCTCGAGGAACCCAACAAAATCATCCAGCCCGCTCTCTCTCTCTTTTCAGCCCATCCCCTCGTGCTAACCCTCACAAGCTTACCTCCCAACCTTCTCCTCCTCAATCTCCCTCCTCAGCTGCTCCAACACCTCCTGCCTACTCCTCAAATGCGCCTCCAGCCCCTCCACCTGCTCCTTAACCGTCGCCAAGTCATCCGCCACGCTCTTCAGGCTCCCACCAGCCGCCGCCTTCCCCTTGCCCTCCTCCAGATCCCTCAATTCCTTGCGCTTATAATCCAACAGCTGCTCCAGCTCCCTCTTGACCAGCGCCGGCTTCGTATCCCTCTTCCCGCCCCTGCGACGGTTCGCCGCCTCCTCGACCTTAGCCATCTTCTCCTCCAGCTCGGCCAGCTGCTTCTTCAGCCTGACCTCTTCCCACTGGTCGTCCTTCTGCTCGGACGAGAAATCCGTGCCGGCCGTCTTGAACGAGGAGCGGCCCAGGCGCGTCAGGTACTGGTCGCCGAACTTGGCCTTGCGGCCCGTGGAGGTCTCGTCGTCGGCCTTTTGGGCCCAGCGCGACTGCGACGGGTCGTTGACGTTGTAGCTGATCTTGTTGCGCTCGAAGGAGGCGCGCAGCGAGGCGGGAACGGTGCGCGGGATGCGGAACCCTTCGTGGCGGTAGTTGAGGATGTGCAGGAAGGCGAGGCAGGCGTCTTTGTTGATGGTCGAGGAGGCGGACGGGTTGATCAGGTTCCAGGCGGAGCGGATGTCGGTGTCGGGAACGGAGAGGGAGTCGTAGAGGTCTTGGAGGGCGGCGACTGCGGGAGGGAGGGTAGGTTAGCATAGGTTAGGAATAGGAAGGGAAGGGGAGTAAACATACAGGAAACCTCGCCGCGCATATCCCGGTTTTCTTGATAGATCTGCTCGTACTTGGACTTATCCGCCGGGCTCATGTACCAGTCGAACCCATCCTTCAAGCCGGGTGTATCATCTTCATCTTCGACTTGCTCGAATTTCGGCGCCTTGCCGGTCAGCGCGCGGTTCGCCTGCACAAGATGGGCTTTGGATTCGGGGACAAGCCAGTCTGGGAGAGTTGTCGGGACATCTGCGTATTCCTGTTTCCGTATCCCGTGTTAGTTCTCTGATATAGCTGCTATTGCTGCTCCCTCGCTCGCTCACTCGCGGCTTCAGGAAGGAGGTAAACGAACCCCGTTCAAAAGGTCAAAGATGACCCTCATCGCAACGCAGAACTCTTCGAAATCAAGGTTCCCGTCATTGTCCACATCGGCCAGATCCCACACGCGCTCCAACTGGTCATCGCGCAGGCCACTGTTCTTCAGCACGGGCGCCGCCTGCTCGCCCGTCAGGAACTTGCCGCCATTTGTTCGCGCCGAGAAGATGTTCCAGTACGTCTCGATTTCCTGCGATTCGATTTTTGGCGGCATTGTCGCGGTTGACTTCGTAGTCGTTGTATAGGTAACGTGTAAGTGAGTTGGAAAGTTGGCGAGCAGCTACCTCTCTAGAGCCGAAGGGCCGTGAACCGCAATGGTGACCTAGGTCCGGGGGCAACGGCTTCGGGTTCGGGTGGTGATGCGGTCGTCGACGGGACTGAGCGCTGATTGACCGTACTCGAGATGATGGGAGCAATTGACGTTCAATTGGACGAGATGGTCACGGAGATAAAAGGGACAAGGCGGAGATTGATACTCGGTCAATGGGAATCAGTTCGATTGGGTTGAGGTTATCTCGAGGAAATCAGGTCGGGTTGTTGCAAGTGTACAGCCCCGTAGCGCGGTGTAATTACAGTGGGAAGTTGTCAGGCGGATGTCCAAGCTCTCGGTGGATGATGCCCGGGCCTCGCAGCATGACCGGGGGACGGATATGCGCACATGGCTGTTGTGCCTTGCCGTAGCTTCGAGGCGCATGGGGCTCCACTTTTTCTCTGCCCCTGAGCCCCTTTTCCATCCAAACAATGGCATCTCACTTGTCGAAGGTCGAGTTGCACATTGTGAGGCTCGTCATACTTCAGTTCCGTAGCTGACTTCGAAATAGCCTTCTCAGAAAATAACGGAACTTTGCTTCCAGCATAGTTCGGGTTACATATAGGGCGCAGGTGCTCGCTTGGTAAACCACCCAGCTCAGCTGCCAGGTCGTGCCGGCTTCTTCCAGCAGTGAAAGAAAGAGCGATACGCCAGAATATGGCATGAAGAGACTCCGGCTTCATGAGTCGAGGGAGTGCCTCTAATCTTCATTCACAAATACGGTCCGATGGTGTAGTTGGTTATCACGTCAGTCTAACACACTGAAGGTCCCCAGATCGAGCCTGGGTCGGATCAAATGTGAATTTCTTTTTTTGACCTTTTTGCAACGTGCCTTGCCATATCGAACGACGTCAAAGAACGGGATGACTTTTACTTTTCGACCAGCTATAGGATCGTGGTGCAGCTGTCACTCACAATGCTGACAGGCGAACGATTCTTTGCTGGATATCGCACCCCAATCCAGCCCCTCTGACGATAACCTTAACTCGTCTAGTCGACATCTTTCTAATCCCGATATGCCTGCTCATTCCTTGGCCCAATACTAATAACCTAAACCTGTGCCATCCCCTCTCCATGTTCACCGTCCATTAATGCTTATAATCCATCTTATCATCCCCAATAACCCCCCAAAACTCCTCCACAATCTCCTTCTGCCCGCTCTCCGCCCCCCTAATAGCCAAGTACAACCTCGAATCCAGCTCCGGATTCCAATCCCCCGGGTTCCCACTAACCATAATCCCGCCCGCCTCCTCCAAGATACACCAACCCGCCGTCACATCCCACGCATAACACCCGCCCTCCCAATACATATCAACCTGGCCCGCCGCCACGGCACAAATATTCAGCGCCGCGCTGCCCAAACTGCGCAAGCTGTGCACCATGCTCCCCCCATTCTCCTTGGCAGCAGTCAACTGCCTAAACACCCTCGTCTTGATATCAAAGTTTTTCCCATCGCGCTGACTACCCCACTCCACCGCCACCAGGGACGTGGACAAGTCTCCTAGCGGCTGGCCCCCATTCAGCGGCAACTTTTGCTTCTCTCCTTGCCCCTTTCCTGGTTCGAGCGAGGCGTTGCGCTGACAGTAAGCGCCCTGACCCCGGATGGCCGTCCAGAGCGTGTCGAGAGCGGGGTTGTAGACGACTCCCACCGCGGGGCGGCGGTCGAGGGCGAAGCCGAGCGAGATACAAAAGCCGTGCGGGTAGCCGTGGACGAAGTTGGTGGTGCCGTCGATGGGGTCGACGATGAAGGTCGGGGCTGAGGTGACTTTGGTTTCGCCGGGGACGTAGGTCTCTTCGCCGACGAAGGAGAAGGAGGGGTATTTGGAGCGGAGGGTGGTGGAGACCATGCGCTCGACGGCTTGGTCGGTTTCGGTGACTATGTCGGCGGCTGTTGTGGAGGGCAAAGGGGTTGTTAGTTAGCTGAGGTTGCTTGCTCAGGATGGGTAGGTAGGTAACTGCTTGGGAAGAACTTGGAGGATAAAAGGAGAGGCACGCACAGTTCATCTTTGAACCCTTGTCAATTTTGTTTGGGTTGGCAGCGAGGATCATGCGGCCAGCCTCGAAGGCGACCTCCACGAGGGTGTCGTGGATCTGTTTGAGGTTGATGTCGGACATGGTGATGGTGGTTGCCGTAGCTATTAGATATCAAGAGATAGTGGTACAGTAAAAGACAAGATTAATCGACAGTGCCGTCGTAAAGGGTGGTTATATATAGGTGAACAGCCTTTTCTACAGTTGGTGAAGCTGAGTTTCAATGAAATTGGTATATAGAATGTTGGTTGGAAGCTTTCAAAACTCGGGGTATATAAGCTCCAAGATGACATGCGCGGGGAAGGTGGAGAGCAATAGAGCTTCCATGTCATCGGGCGTGTGTTGGTCCATCCCGTCAGGGGTTCGGCTGGCCAGCTCGGCGAGGGTGGGGCGGGATGCGACCGAAGTGGGGTCTTAAACATGCTCTCTTTTCAGTTTCATCCCATCATCCGGTGTCCCGAGCGAGACATTGGACGGCCGCAAGGTCGGTAACGCACGAGGCAAGGCCAGGATGAAAGAGTTTGATCGTGTCCGATAGAGTACTGCATGTATCATATGTGCTCCTCCTTTGATTCTGGGAAAGTTGTTGTTGTTGGAATGCGAGGTGTGCCGTTCGGTCTTTGTGTGATAACTCGGTAAGTTGTTGTTTGAAGATCCTCCCTGACCGGCCACGAGTGTCCGCGCTGGTATGTTTGGCCTCAGCCCATTGATTGATATTGACGACTGGTGCGTTGCTTCTCGTATGGCTTCTGTCATTTCAAGTAACTCTTGCGGAAGTAATCGAACACATAGATAGAAACAGAGCCGTGTCCTAACTCCCAACCAATCGCCCTTCCCAGAAATGATGAACAAACCAATCCAAATGTTTCCCTTGCCGCCTTTTCGGGTAGAAAGATAAGAGTACCCGTCAACAGGTACACGCACACCTTTCCCCCTTAGAGACATGGCCCTCTCATGAAAATGTAGCCGCGCCTTTAACACCCCGGTAGACCATTCCTCGTGCTTTTCGTAGTGATCGGAGAGCCGAAAGGCTTTTTTTTAATCCATTTTGTTGTGCCGCCAGTAATATCCATCACTTAGTTGATCACCGCCTCACACATCCTCTCTGAAGATTGACCTCCTCTCCGCATGGCTCTCAGGCTCGCCATTATTGTGGCCACTCGGCTTCGAGGCTCCCGTGCCCTCAATCGGACGGGGGCTGACGCCTCTCATGCTAACGTTGCTCTGATCCGCGGCAGCATCATCGAAAGGGTTTTGGGAGGCGGGCGCACTCAATCCCTTGTTCGCAGCCGGGCCAGGAGAACGGCTCCTCTTTCTGCCTCTCTCCTCATCAGGATCCGCGAACGGGTTGCTAGTGCCAGTGTTGCCCGGGTTGGTCGCTAGGTTCATCTGGTAGCTGCTTCCTCCGTAGCTGGTATCGTCGCCAAGGTTGTTGTGCCGAGGGGGCTGCATTTCCGTCTCCTCGTAGTATGTGGGTCCATAGCCATCCGCCTCATGTCCAACGCGCGCATCCCATGCCTCATCCGGGTCGAGGGGTCCGAAACCGCGGCTCCGGGCGGCGTTGGCGTTAGCACCGGAGGGCTCGTAGGCACCTGCCGCAGTGCGATTGTTGTTCTTCTTGAACTTGCCGAACCAGCCCTTGATACCGCCGGAGGAAGAAGAGGTGTTGTTGGCGTAGGGAAGCGAGTTCGAAGGCTCGGGCCAGAAAGGGATGTAAGAGGTGATGGGTGGTGGTGGGAGCTGAAAATACGATGTTAGTCATGTTGTCAATCATGGTTCGTTCGTAAGAGGAATTGGAATCCGCAACCGCAAATTTGAAAGAACAGCCGACGTTGGAGATGGAGGGATGACATACCCCCAGCTTTGTTGCTTGGATGCGTGTGATTAGGATATAGAAGATGGCGGCAGCCACCACTGCGAGGAAGACGCAGAGGACAATAACGCTAGCCGGCCCCATGGTGAAGGTCGAGTTCGTTGGCTCAGTTCCGTTTTCCGCTTGTCTGTAGTTGGATAGGAGAAGGAAGCGGGCGGAACGGGCGGATCGAGTTCAGGAGGAAGTCAATGGAGTCGTTGGTCGTTTGTGGTCGTCGGCTCGCATCTGTCGTGGTTGAAGTTGTCAAAGATAATTTTTGCGGTCGCTCGTTTGACGGTTTGGTGTGTGAGTGTGGGTAAACCCGTCGTAAAAGAGAGGCTGGCGCAAAACCGGGAAGAAGGCAGCCGTTTCGTGGAGTTCCGTCGCAGGCGGTTAGTTGGGTGAGGGTCCCGGGGCGTGGAGTACAGGTACCAGAGTCTTGTTTGTCGGTATGTAACACGAAGAAGAGAGAACGAGGCTTTATTCTGCGGGCGATACGGATTCCGGACCGGTAATGGAGGAGGGTGGTGAAGTTGAAAGCTCCGCGACCACCGAACTGAAGAGGGAACGCACTGCGTCAGCGGGGCTTCCCTGCCCACCGAGCGGGACTTTCTGAGCCAAGACGACAAGGATGAGTGGCCGCAAACATCCAGATCAGCGACGGCCGATTATCTAAGCCCAAAGGGGCAGTAAAGATCCACTGTTAGTGACAAGCTTTCGGGCTTTAGCGGGTGGCTGCCGCCCTGCCCTGTCCAGGTACAAACTGTGCTTGGCAAGTCAACTTCCATGGCGACCTCTTCACATGTGTACCACTCACAACATCGTTGTGTCGAGTTTCCTCTTTTTCTTGTCCATTAAAAGTTTCAAGCTCTTGGGTGCCCAGTACGGTGTCTTGCTAGATGTACACCACAAAAGGGCTCTCATCCAGCCCAGTGAAATACCAGTCTGGCATGCCCAGTACAAGAGAAGTCGAATCGTTGACTTTGAGTGGGGAGCCATGAGGGTTCTTCCTTCCGTATCATCCGTCAAGCCGTAGGGCATCCTGGGTAAAAAGACTTCGAAAACGCGAGGGCGACCGAGCGAGTTCGAACCGTGGATTGACCGTGGGTCGATACCGTCAAAATGCCTGCAGCTAACATCAAATGTGTCAGAGATCCGGTGCCACTGGCCAACATGCCATTCCAATTCACCAACTTCGTAACACTCCAACAGTTACAAAGCCGAAGAGGAAGACCAACGTCGATGCTCTCGTTGAAAGCGTCACGTATCTGGCGGACGCTATACCACTCAAAACAAGGCCGCCAGGGAGACCACCGAAGAGGATGTTACTGAAGGGGAGCCTATCGAACAGGAGTATGCAGGCCGTCACATCGAATGGTTGTCCAAGGCGCTGAGTGTGTTCAACAAAGGTGGCTGGAAAGACAAGGTTGACGAGGAAGTTGCTTTGTATGCCTTCCGGCAATGGGAAACCTCGCCAGAGGCAGTGACTTATATTTTGTTACTGGATCGGACAAAAGGCGGGAGGCTTACTTTAAGGTCTCTTTTACCCGTTGGGGCCAACGGCTAGTTGAACAGTGGCGTCTGCTCTTCAAGATGAAATCGTCCGAAGGAAACAGGTTAGACAATGCATTGCATCAGGTGTTGATGACCTTACATCGTTGTATACAAGTCCAAAAGCTCCATTGCATCATGTAAGAAATCAAGATACGTTGGTCATTGATCTTGAGTACAGAACAAGAAGCCAAGGTCTTCATCTCTCTCCCTGAATTTCTCTCTTTCCCCCTCAAATTGGAACCGACCTGTTCTTATCTTTATTTATTCACTGCTAGCCAGAACGTCAACATGCCGAACGTGAGCACATCTTCCTTTCTCCTCAACAATCCAAGGAGAACATACACGGCGTCATTACTAACCCCCAAGAAGTTTTATCAAAACATCCAGGAGGACCTCCGCAACCGCAGCACCGAGCTCTGGGTCATGTCCCAGGACACAGACTACTATAAAGATCATGCCATATATTCGAAGGAAACAAGTTGGACAATGCATTTGCATCAGGGTATACAAGTGTATACAAGTTCCAAAGCGGTCTTGCATCATGTGAATAAGCTAAACACATCTCTCATGAGTATAAAGCAATATTCCATATTCTTCACTCCTCCCTACATTTTCCTCTTCCTTCTTCAAGTTGCACGTCCTACTTTTTTTATTCTTCCTCTCTGCTAACAGGAACGACACCATGCAGAACGTGAGTAACCTTTATCACCCCTCAACTATCCAATCCTATACACCACAAAGAAAGATTACCAACTTCCCAAGAAGTTTGATCAGGACATCCAGAAGGACCTCCGCAACCGCAGCACCGAGCTCTGGGTCCTGTCCCAGGACACAGACTGGATTGAAGAACCCAATCTGTACGAGGAGCCCAACGCGTACCACGAGCCGCCACTAGCGAGGAAGGAGAGGCAAAGGCAGCAGGCAGATGTTCAATTGAGGATTCGTGTCGCCGCTATGGAGAAAGAGAAAGAGAAGGAGCTGGAGAAGCTAGCTCCCTGGGTGAAGCACAACCACAAGGCCGCCCCCGACCAAAAGGGGAAACAGGTCTTGGCCAAGAGGAAGCCATATAAGAAAGTAGTCGGCAGCGATAATCCCAAGGGAGTTAAAAAGGTGGACAAGAAGAAGAAGGAGACTCAAGAGAGTCAGAGGCGGCTGGCGGAGAGAGTAGAACATCTGGCCAAGGCTGTGCACAAGGCTCAAGTAAAGAGTCAGAGGCGGTGGGCGGAGATAGTACAACAAGTACTAGCAGAGCCATGACTTGGATGTTTTGTGCTTGGCGGGTGTTTTGCTGCTAGGGTGCTAGACAGATAGGTAGTGGTTGTGCCCGTCTTACAGTTTCCCAAGGGTTTGGCTTACTTGGCTTATTAGGTATTAGGTATTATTCAGAACAGAGATGTCTTTGGCTTGCTGTTACCTTCCATCGCTCGCTGATCGCCCAAAAGAAAAAGAAAAGGCTAACGCCTGCTTATTATCCGGACCAAATCCATAACCTACCCGAGCTACCTTTAACGAAACACTTATCCCAATCCCCTCCCCTCCTAGCAAACTCCATACTCTCCACAAACTTATCCAACCTACACCTCCCCAACTCATCCGCCTCACATCCATTCAATCTAACCACCCTATCATTAACCAAGATCCTCACCAACTCTTGTTCCTCTTCTTCCCCTTGGTCAATCTTCCCATCCCCATCATTGTCACCATCACAAACCATCTTCTCAAAATACACCCTCCCCGCAAACGGCACCGCCCAACCCACCTTAAACACCCCCTCCCTCTCTTTCAATCCCGGCTCATCCCCCGTGCTTCCATACTCTTTTGGTATCGTCGTATTATCCATCATCTTCTCCCTATCCACCCCCTCGAAGATTCTCAAAGCAGTCAATATCCCCATCATATCATTATCATGACTGAAATCCGCAAACACGGTCCTATTCTTATTCGTCAACGGGAACGTCTCCTCGTTTTGGTCTAAAGTGGAATTGGTCGTCGTGTTATCGACCACGGGTGAGTGGGTGAGTCGAGCCAAAAGCTCGTTCACGTACCCCACCCCCTGCGTGGCACCCAGAACATTACCCGGGCCGAACCCGTAAAACTTGCCGAGGGATTGGAGGTAGTCGTATACCGTCAAGTCTTGGGCCGTAAAGAGGGAGCAGAAGGGGGAGATCCTCTTGCGGGTAGATGATTCTTGGGAAAGAGAGGAAGGTGGATAAGCGACGGTGTCAAAAGGGCAGAGATCCATAAGCGAAAGGACGTCCGTATCAGAAAGAGTGACGCCTTTGAAACCCTGCGCATTCAAGCGCGCGGTGATAGGCGGGAAGTTGGCGGCTATAAAGGTCGCTTGGGCCGAGTCGCCGGTGGTGGAATCCTCGAAGGCGCGGCAGAGGCCGTGGTGCATGGTGTTATTGGCCGTGGGCGATTCGGAAATGATGACCATTTCCTGGCGGGGAAGCGGGAGGGAGGAAGGGGGTGGGTTCTTGTCGGCGAGGAGGGCGGAGTAGAAACCTGTTGTGAAGTTCTCGGCTGAGGCGATGACGCGCTCCTGCCCCGAGGCGCGGACGAAGGGGAGAGAGTCCGGGTCGGTGTAGTCCCGGATGAGGGAAGCGTAGCGCTGGTAGAACTTGATGCCGGAGTTGACCATTTCTTGCTCGCCGAAGGCGGTGAGGTCGTCTACCCCGAGGACGTAGTTGTAATCTTTGATGAACTCGAAGTCGGGGCCGTACCAGGTGGCGGAGGTTTTGATCTTGGTGAGAACGGCGGAAATATCGTCGGCTTTGCCGGGGGTTGGGAAGCGGGCGCCGTGGCGGGAGAGAACTTGGGCGAAGGTGAGGCGGCAGCCCTCGGGAACGGAGGGGGAGATCTCCGATGGGACGGAGAAGAAGGGCGAGTATTGGCCCCATGTGTGAGTGGTCTTTTGGTCACATTGGTAGCCAAGCTCGGGGGTGTCGCAAGGTACTGAATTTGGGGAGAGTACCCGTCTGATGAGATGATTAGTATTTTTGACGTGAAGATATGGCAAGAAAGGTAAAAAAATAGGGCTCACAGAGAAGCAGCAACCAGGTAGCTGAACAACGGAATCATCAAGAGGAGCATGATAAGTTTGACAAAGATGTTATTAGGATCTCCCCATACCAACCGATAAAGCAAGCCTCTCCCTTTTTGTTGTTTAAGTTGACTTTCCTCGTCCAAGTTCTCGTCTGTTGACTCGCCTGGAAGCAACCGAGTCTGACTCTCTGGAGCTACTCCTCCTGAAGCTTCGCCATCGTGATCGAGTGGCGAGTATTTATGCTGCGAGCCTCCTCCCATCCTAAAGAGGGAAGTAAATACAGAGGAGGCCCTGGACGTTCCTTTGGTGGCCGGATCCATGTTCGGTTCGGCGCAACTGTGAAGCGATTCCTTATTCCACCTCTCCCGTCTAGACGTGTATTCCCGGATACGACTCTGCGCGGACTCGTTCTCCCTAACCGCGAGTATTGCCGGAAGGTGACGATGTAAATGGGGATATATAGGATATCCTTGCGGGGACCTTGATGGCCAGACAGACGGGTTTGATCAATGCCGAAGTTGTTGTTCTTCCAGGATGTGATTATGCGCAGTGATGTTTGTTGATGCGGCTCATCATATATCAATGCAATATACTTGAGTGTTGATCCACGTCCCAGTCGCCATGAGTCGAGGTCTTGAACCACTAACTAGGTCGACCCAGTTCAACAGACGTTTGCCGCGAGAAGGTAGAAGAACTCAAGTAACAAAGAATAGTCGAGAGATGCAACCTGCAGAAAAAGGATCGGGTCCCATTACATATGTAAAGTTGACTGCAACCACCCACGTGCAGTGTGCTTCATGTCGTGGTTGGTTCGTCGAATGGTTGGGTGTTTGTCAAACTGCCAATCGTCTTGTCGTCTCACTGGATGCGCACGGACCAATGATGTACCTATCAGGGGTCGTCGGTGAGAGCTGAGACTTGAGGGGGAATAGAGAGCAAGCCCCAGGTGAGGAGGTGAGGAGGTGAGAAGGAATCGGTTGCGGTGCCGAATGTGCCAAGAAGTTGGAGAGACCTGTCAGAGGCCAGGGGATCCACTGGGCGTGCACGTGCCCAGCTGGACTGGGATATGCGGGATTTTTACCCAAATGCCAGAGCTTCAAATCTATAAAGCCAGTCTTACATATATACATACAATCAAGCCACGTTGAACCCATATCGATTATTACTAATACCTTATTTATAAAAGCCGAACTATTATCTTTTACTTAGGGAATTAAGGAGGTTATTTATATTCGCCGTCTCTTTAATAAATTTACCTTAAGGTTCGAAAATTAAGAAGCTACGCCTATAAATTATAATAATAAATAAACGATATAATTTATTATAAAGGAGGGAATTCGGCTTATATTTAAATTTAAGTACGTTAATATATATAAATATTAATTAAAGTAAGTATAGGAGAGGAAGCTAATATATATAATTTACGTACTTACTAAAGAGTAGATTGTAAATAGCTTTATTAAGAATTTCCTTCCTAAAGTATATTTAAAGTCTATAGAGTAATTAGGATTCGTAGAATTATAGCGGCTATAAATTTAATTACGAGAGTTTAATAACGGAAATATTACTATAGGCCGCCTGAAGGATATAAAGGATTCTATAAAAGAGGATTCGGATAACGAATTGGTAAGTATAACGGTAAGTATAGTAGGGTAAAACTTTTACGAATAATAATTTAAAAGCTATTATAACGAGGAAGTAATTTAGGAATAGTATTAGTTCTAATTAATTTTAGAAGGATTTTAAGGCATTTTAGGCTATTTTTGGGTAGATTTGGCGTGGTTTGTACACTAAATCTAAAGGGGTATGTTAGAGGCCAGGAGAACTACTGGGCGTGTACGTGCCCAGTTGGATTGGAATATGCGGGATTTTTACTTAGATGCTAGAGCTTCAAGTCTATAGAGCCAGTCTTACATATATACATACAATTAAGCCACGTTGAACCTATATCGATTATTACCAGTAATATCACAAGACCCGGCGGCGCCAAGAAGTTGATCCCGTCGGCCCTTTCTTGGCTTGCGACGTTCCCACGCGGAGCCCCGCAGTCCGACTGCAGGTCCCGATGGTTCCAGATTCGAGATCCGTTTGCCAAGCATTCAGTGCCTTCGGAGTTCGGACATTACAGCCGGGCGTCGGGACCGTTGAAGGTTTCGATGAGGTGCAAGTCAAACAGTGAGAACTCGGAGTTAGAAAGTTCTACATATCTATCACTCTATACCTTATCATAACCTCATCATCGTATCCAAACCACACATTTCCAACATCTAGCCCGAATACCCTCCTCTACCAAACATCAGGCCCAAACCGTCCACCCTCCGGTACCGCCTGATACGCACAAGCCTGCCAATCACAGCCCTGTTTATACACTTCCGTCCCCCACCAACTAAACCCCTTGACCACCCCGGGATAGATGAACCCAAAGAACACCACCACAATACCAAACGCCAGGCCCGAGTCCAGCGCCGCGCTGAGCGTCATCGTGTACTTTGCCCACCACGCCCGCGTCCGGTTCTTGATCACGTAGTTGAACACGTAGCAAACGAGAGCCCACACCGAAAAATTCAGGCCCGTCGCCGGCGGGATCCAGCCCAGCGAGCCAAAGAGCACGGGGAGGTTGATTTTCCGCACAATGCTATCCTTCCTCTTGCGTGCGTATAGCCACAGTGGAATCGGTAGAACCGCACCCACGGCGAATGCCCATACGAGCGGTCGGTAGGTTGCCCCGGGGCCGAAGAACTCGCTAGGGCCAACGACGCCCCACAGGATCGATCCGTTGAAGTGCACGCGGGCAATGGGGCAGGTGAACCCGTTCAGGGCCTCTGGCGTGCAAAGGCCGGGGACGTTCTTGAACATCCAGTTGAGGACGCCGATCTGCGTGAGGGAGGAGACGATGGTGGCGACCATCTGGACTGAGAAGAGGATCCGGGGCGGGATCTTCATGTAGTGGCCCAGCTTGAGATCGGCGGCAAACTTGATTCCCTGTGCTGAGGAGATGTATCCGTAGGTCACGAATACCATGTTCGCGACGGGTCGGCCGGGGAAGACGGCGCCCGCAACGAGTTGGCAGATCAGATAAATGCTGCTGTGCTGGTTGGTGACCGCCATGATGATGCCGATGGGGATGAACAGGATGCTGCAGATTCCGAGAGCGAGAAGCAGGCCATACCAAGGCAGGTGGACCGGGTAGCTAAGGAGAGGGTTAGATCGACATGTTCAAATGTTTGTTTAGAAAATAACTTACTATTCAACGACGAAGATACCAATGGCCAGCATCGATATGCAAGTGATGAGATACCACGACATTGGTGCATCCTTGTATCTCCTCATCAACCGGTTATGTACGTCTTCCCTATTCATAATGTTCTCCATGTTCGAGTTAGACCTAGTAAAGCTTGATCTCGAACTCAACCGACTCGAAATCCGATTTAGTCCCTCGGTTGACTCTGCAATCGGCTCATACGAGCCCTTGGACTCAGCGCCATGCACCTCACCCAGACTCTGTTTCCACTGAGCCCATATGTCTCTGCCGTGCCAGCATATGGTGTGTGTAAGTAGCGAGGCAAGGCCGGCAAATTGAACGGCATAGCCGAGGACATATGTGATCGGGAGGAAGACTCTGCTATACTTGGAATAGGCTTCTCGATCCAAAACAAAATCCTTGGTAAGGACCTTGCTGACATCATATACCTGGCCCGTGTTGTCGAAAACCGCTGCTGATAATATTGGCATATAAGAGGAGTAGAACCAGTTGCTGTAGTATGCGATAGGTGCAACGATCCACATGACAACGACAAGACCGCCAACCACGTTCATGGCTGCCCAAAATGGTGTTAGAAGAGGCGATCCGATATAGGCGACCTGGGCCCAGTCAAATGTCATGGGAAACAATCCCAAGCCGGACACGACGCCGAAGAGATTGGCAACGACAACATTCTTGGGAGCGAACCAGGTGATGACGTTGAAATAGCTCAATGCAGGGAACAGGAGGCCGGGTCCAAAGTAGAAGAGAAAGCCAGCGAGGAACACGACCATGAAAAACTTCCACCTGGTCATCTTCCACCCATTCGCCACATGGTTCTCCTGCTTGTGAATGGTAGTAAACATGGCGGCCGACATGAGGGTACCAGGCCATATCATGCCGCTTGGCCGGACAAGGAATCCCCGTGTGAGACCGGCCAAGGTGTAGCCCATGATTTGAGTAGAGATGGTGAGGAGAATCTGGTAGAGTATCGGCGCATCCTGTTTGTAGAACTGGGTTTGCTCAACGATAACATCCGTCGCGAAGGCGAAACCGAACGAGACATTGCTGCTGACATAGACGCAACTATGTTCCTTTTCGTTCCAGCGACCTTGGGCAAGCCAGAGTCGCAGCCGGTCGAGCTTGCTTCTCTTTTCCCAAGGAACAAAAAGACGTGGTTGCTCATTGTGAATCCGAGTGTTGGCACTGTTTGTCCGACATCCATCCACATACTCTTCCGGGGGGTCGTCCGCTCGTTTGAGAAAGAAGTCCCACATGAGACCAAGGGGATGTGTCAATAATAATGCGATGACGGGCGTGATTGCAACACTGGGGTATCTCAACGAAAAGAACAAGTTGGTGGAAGATCCGAGAAAAGAAAATAGCACGGCCAACGTCCACATCCGTGGAGTGTTGATGGAAAGTGTCGTATTGTCGGTGGGCGCAACTGAAGCTCGTACCTGGGCGTAGGGAGAGTTGTCTGCCGGGCCCTGCTCATTTTCATCGCCCTCGTCGAACTCATCCGAACGGTCTAGCAGAGACTCTTCTTCCACGCTATGCCCCAGGTCATCCGGATCAATGTCGTTGACGAGTGGTACTTCTGTACCAAAACGACCCTCGATTCCTCGCATTGTCATCGAGCCGCCCCATTCCCCCGATTTCCGCAGCGACAAGGAAAAGCGCTCGGAAGATCTTCCCACAGATGCATCACCGCTCTCAGAGCCGGTTTCGGTGCGTACGGATGGTTCGCTCCCTTGGGATTGGAGAGCACCGGTCGCAAGGGCCGGCGCAGAGGATATGGCTCCGTAGGAGGGACTGCTACGCCCTGGCGCTACGGAGAGAAGAGAAGGTTGTCTCTTGGTCATGGGTTCTTCAGATACGGGCTCGCTTGGTATGCTATCGTCGTCGTTATCTTGGCTGTTGCCACCCGTTCCCTCATGTAAGCCAAGTTGATCGAGGATTCCATGGGCATTGCCAGATAAGGTCCGGACGGGCTCGTCCCGCCCAGGCGACGTATTCACACGCTCCTGGTCTTGTGTCGAACCAATGGGTAAGACTTCAAAGTCTTGCGAAGACTGCGAGGAGGTTGGCGTCGGCTGCCCTCGAGTGGTGGTTGACGAATTGGTGCCGGCCGGTACTACAGCTTGATGTAGCAGTGAACGAAGCGGGAAGCTTGGATGATGATCAGAATCATCCAAGAAAGGTATGTCTGGGGAAGGACTTCTATCTCGGTCAGGCGTCATACGGAATCTGTCTTCCTGCCCGCCTGGGGCAAGATGCGGGTAACGAGTCAATACAGCCAAGGACGACCAGCCTTTCACAAATCCGATACCCGGTGGGGGTCCGCGCAAGTCCAATCCTTGTTGCGCCCAGTTGCCCTGATGGAGCCCGCCACAGAGTTTGGTTATCACTTGTAGACTTGTAGCAGTCTATCCTTGAGTTGCGACCGGCATGTGTTTTGCGCCCGCGATGTTTCAAGTCGAGCGAGAGTCAACGATGGACAGCGAGGCGACGCTGTGGGATCGCGGCAATACGAGAAGAAACGTAAGACCAGCGTACTCTATTTCTGGCGATAACATAAAATAACGGTAGACGGGGTCTAGAACATGATCAGAAAAGTGTTCTTTAGCCAAGAATGGCGAGTCATTGTCATTGCGAATTTGCAATGGGTGGGCAACCTCGAAGAAAGGAGACAAGTGTTGGCGTCAAGGTTGCGTTTTCCATTTCTCCATGGTCGATGAAATGTCCAGTCTTTGGATGACGGGACATGGAAGATGGATTTTTATCCCCAATTTGTAGCGGGGAACTTGCGGGATGAAAGTGGAAGCGGACACGACGGGATGACGCGCTCAAGTACAGCGCATCTGCACGCCAGCGGGAGGCTGAAAGATCCAATTCCAGGCACCCTGCCGGCCCGCCGTCATCGCCCGCATGCTCCAAGTTGATCGATAAGATAAGATGAAGAGGGCAGCTCTTGGCCGAAAGCGTCACACAGCTCCAAGCTTACTTCCTCCAACCATTCAGTCCAAGTTTGTTTATATCCCCTGATCAAGACGATGAGTGGTATGGCCGAGGACACATTCGTAATGGCTTCTCTCAACGCCGCCAAACAGCAGATTCGCTCTGCCATGAAGAACAAGCTCGGCGCCCTCTCTCACGAAGCCGTCAAGTCACAGAGTAAGACAGCTCCATAGACCACAAAGGTACTATCAGCGCAAAATGACTAAAAATTGCAGGCTCCGTGGTCTTCAACACCCTAAAGAACTTCAAGCCTTACGTAGACGCCAAGCGGGTCAGCGTGTTCCTGTCGATGCCCACGGGTGAGATCCAGACCGATGGCATCGTCAGACACGCCCTAGAGTCCGGCAAGGAGGTCTTCATCCCGTATCTGCACAAGAACCCCTTGGCCTCACCCAACCTTCCAGCCCGCGTCATGGACATGGTCCGCCTGAGAGACCTCCACGACTACGAGTCCCTCAAGCCAGACAGATGGGGCATTCCCAGCATCGACCCGGCCACGGTCCATGAGCGGCAGAGCGTGTTTGGAGGTTCCGACCAGACTCTGCTTGACTTGATCCTCATGCCTGGCGTGGCCTTCGACATTGACCCGGAGACTAGGGCCATCAGACGACTCGGACACGGCAAAGGCTTCTACGACTACTTCATCAACCGGCACAACCAAAAGTCCGTCGAGCTGGGGAAGCAGGAAACCCCTGTATTGCTTTATGGCTTAGCGCTTTCTGAGCAGTTTCTATCCTCTCCGTCCGAGGGGTCGGTACCTGTTGGTCCCCACGATCAACCTCTGGACGGCCTGATACTCGGGAATGGCGAGATTAAGAGCCCTCCTGCAGCAAAATAGTTCCATGACATGATATCCATCCCGTACTCATCAAATACATATAGTCGACATTCCTGTGCGCCTCGGCCAATCGCTTTTCCCTGGTATCTCGTTCCGTAGATTCGGTGTCGTTTGGTGTGTAGAAGGCACGTCTTTGTGGGCCGTCTATGTACAGCTCTAGATCTGCTGGCTTTGGTCGCTCGATGTAGGTCCCAGCGTAAAATGCATCGTCGATTACCGGTTCTCGTTCAGGTATTGAGCTTTTCACCCGGAGTAGCTCTGGATGAGCGAGACGTTGTCGCCCTTCAGGAGGATTTGCTGCAACCCAGTTAGCCAACCCTTTCGCACCACAGCAATAAGAATATCCTTACCCCAAGCTCCCTCCTCTCCTCCTTCTCGTTTGTTTTGGAGACCAGCTTGACCTCAATCGCATTATCGATCTGTAAATCCGGTTAGGCTTGGTATTTCCATCGCTTGGGACCTGCGCCGCTACTTACAACCAGGTTCATGAACTCGTCGAAGCCCTAAAAGACAAAGGTGTCAGCGTTCATGTTTGCTTTCCGGAGAGACCACAAGGGAGAATCCTACACGAATGGTGCCAATGATGCGAATATGGAGCTGCTCGTAAAGCCAGATCTGGACAGTCGAGTGTTGTTGCAGAAGACGGAAAAGGAAGTTGATGGGAGGAAGAAGAACACGGCGGTTGCCGCCACCACCTCTGCCGGTCATGTTGAAAATCGGGGTTTGTTGTGGTTTGGTCGTTTGGTTGTTGTTTGGGACACAAGTTTGATGGCGATGTTGGAGGCTGAACTAAGTCGCAATCAAGTCGTGGATGGTCTTCGTTGTTGGTCGGCTAGGCTTGGCTTCCGTTGTTCCCAGTCGCGTTCTCTCACGGCGGGACGTGACTTCAATGAATTTCCCCCAGGTCGAATTGCCTGCCTGTCTCTGGCGTGTGGAGCCCATGTTTTCACAAGCACCGGGGAGCTGCTCAGATGGCCCGTGCGCTTACACACTTGCGGCCCCACAGCTTCGTGTCATAACTTCTTGGCATTTACTCTCAAGCGGCTCTCAAGCCACAGATTCTTCACCCCTCCCGCTTGTCCCACTTATGGCGGTGCATCTGCTTTCATTGACCCGCCTGCCCGCCGCCGTTTACTCCACTCGTGGTCGGTGGTCAGGCAGCCTGACGTTCTTCGATTGTTGGCGGGATGTTTTTCTTTCTGGACAGAAGAGCAAATCGTCGCCGGCAACCTTCAGCTTCCAGGAATCCTGTCACCACGGCGACACCCTACAGTACCGCTCAGTCCTTCATTCTTGCGACCTCTCTCGAGCTTCATATACCCCGTGCGCATCTCAGCTCCTCGCCTTTCCAACAACATTACTTGCAACCTTTCATCGCGTCGCAAGACCGATAACTAAAGTCGGACAACACTCCCGTCGAATAGGAGGGGCTGATCCATCCACTTTGCGACCCGCGACACCTAGCGATAGCTTCCACTTGCAACATCGCATCGCAACACTCTCCACCACCAAGCTAGAATTCGATTCAAAATCACATCACACGCATTTCTAAGCCGCCCAACATGGCTTCCAATGGTGCCGCCGATGGCTTCACCACCCCAAATGTCTTGCAGGCCATGCTGACGATGCGGAGTGGTGACTCCAGCACCAAGAAGGCCGCCATGGATTACCTGCAAAAGTTCCAGAAGTCGGTGAGTTGCGCTTTAGCTCTTTTGACCCCAGTGTACTTATGATTCGCATGTGACTAACCCGTATTGTTCAATCGACTGTAGAACGAAGCCTGGACTACCACAATATCGATCTTGCAGGGCTCTCCTGAAGCCGAGGCGCAACTCTTCGCAGCAACGACACTGAAGGGCAAGGTATTAGATACCCATTGGAACATGACGATACCGCCGCGCTTGCTAGTGGCGAATCGCTGACATCCGCCATTATCAGATTACCTACGACCTCGCAACCCAGATTTCCGAAAGCGAACATGCTGCTCTGCGCAATCAGATCCTAGTTCTCCTTAAGAAGTTCGCCAGTGGCCCCAAGCCCGTCCGAGTTCAACTATGCGTGTGTCTGGCCATCCTAGCCATCCAGATGCAGTCGTGGAAGGATGTTCTGCAAACCGTCGTTGGCGCCCTCGGAGATGATGTATCCAGCCACGCCTGCATCTTGGACTTCCTACGAGTACTTCCCGAAGAGGTCACGGAAGGCCGCAAAATCACCTTGTCTGTATGTGGATCGATATGCTGCGGCTCGCCTTTGCCTCCAGTTCGACCAGCCGCTTTGGTGGCACCAGCCTGGATCAGTGTCTAATTTGGCATCATAACAGGAAGAAGAGCTCATCCAAAGAACATCAGAGCTGCTTGCCGACAACGCGAATGAGGTTGTCGGACTCCTCATTAACTATGCTCAGTCCTCCCGTAAGTACCACTCGAAATACAGCTGTGCCATGGTTGACTAACACAGCCTTCAGCTGCTGCTGCCACAAACCCACAACTGTTCGAGTGCATTACCTCATGGCTTCGCGAGGTTCCGGTTAGCGTGGTGGTGAACTCGCCTCTTCTCGATGCTGTTATCAATGGGCTTTCCAACGACAGGTCCTTGCAGACGGCTGCCGAATGCCTTGGTATCATTTGCAGAGAAACCAGAGATGTGGACGACAACCTCGAGACTATTCAGGCGCTCCTCCCCAAGGTCCTTCAGCTAAGGCCGCGCATCCAAGCGCTGGCCGATGAGGAGGATACCGAAGGATTCAAGGCCATTACCCGAGTATTCGCTGATGCCGGTGACTCCTGGGTCTTGCTTTGTGCGCGCGAGCCACAACATTTCCGCCCGTTGGTCGATACTCTGCTGGAATGCTGTGCTAGGGACAAGGAAAGGGATGTCATCCATTACACATTTAACTTCTGGTATGAGCTGAAGCAATACCTTACCTTGGACCACTACATCCAGGCTAGGGTACAGCTCTTGGACGTCTACTCTAAGCTCGTCGACATCCTTCTCAAGCAGCTCGAGTATCCCGAATCCGACGACCCCAACGAGTTTGACCTTTTCGATGGAGATCGCGAACAGGAAGAAAAGTTCCGCGAGTTCCGTCATCATATGGGCGACACCATGAAGGATGCCTGCCAGGTGATGGGTACTACGGAATGTCTTACAAAGGTGCACGAGGCAATCAAGATTTGGAGGGAGAAGTTTGGCGGCCAGGCGACAGAGTCAGCAGTACCGCATTGGCAGTCGCTTGAGGCGCCGCTCTTTGCCCTGCGAGCTCTGGGTCGCCTGGTGGATAAGGAAGAAAACATCGTCCTGCCGGAGATCATGCCGTTGTTGGTCCAGATTCCCATCAACAACGAGAAGTTGCGGTTTGCGGCCATCATGGTATTTGGTCGTTATACTGAATGGACATCAGCCCACCCCGACTACCTCCAACCCCAGCTCTCCTACGTTCTGGCGTCTTTCCAGACCTCCTCCCAGGAGATTCTACGCGCTGCTGCCCAGTCGTTCAAGTACTTCTGCGTCGACTGCAAGCATCTGTTGGGTCCCCAGGCCATCGAGCTGCAAGGCTTCTACAACTCCATCCTTGATACACTCAGCGACCATAGCAAGGAAGATCTGACTGAGGGTGTAGCGACCGTCATTAGTGTGCAAAAGACGGAGGATATATATAGCCTTCTTAAGCTTTATTGCGATCCTCTAGTCCAGCGCCTGATGACTAAGGCCAACAACGCTACCGATGATGCCTCCAAGTTGGAGCTTGCAGGTAAGTTCAAATGTCCCGAACCATATATGTACGCCTGTACTGACTGACGCTTTTCCAGATCACATCAACCTCCTTACCCTATATGTCCAGAACGTCGTGCCGTACTGGCCTAGTAACTCGGATAACCCGGCTGTTCGCTACTGGCAAGAAGTGTTCCCTGTCCTGGCAACTATCATGGACAACTTTATCGAGTTCGTCCCGATCTGCGAGCGGATTTGCAGATGCTGGCGCTTCATGGTTATCTCTTACAGGACTGCCATTACGCCTCTTCTCGGGCCCTTGGCCAACAAGCTGGCAGAGGGCTTCGCCAAGTCTAAGCAGGGTTGTTTCTTGTGGGCGTCGAGCGCTATTCTGCGCGAGTTCTCAGAAGACCGGGAACATGTCGAAGATGGTATCGTGGATAGCATCTACGGCTTCTTCGAGGCTCAAGCGACCAATGTCCTCCGTATGATGAGTGACATTGCTCCCATCGATCTACCCGACGTGATTGAAGACTTTTACCGTCTTCTCATTGATGCCCTTCTTTACTACCCTCAGAGGTTGATCCCCTCTGCCCTCTTTACCCCTATCTTCCAGGCTGCCATCTCGGCCTTGTCCCTGGAGAAGCAGGAGCCAGTTTCGGCTGCCCTTCACTATATCCGCGACCTTCTCACCTACGGCGGCGACAACCCCGCCTCATCGAGTCAACAATTCGGTGCAGTCGGCCCTCAGCTTCGCCAGCACGTCAGGCAGCTCTTGCTCAGCCAGGGTGAGGCGCTCATCAAGCAGACTTTGGCGGGCATGATGATCACATTCCCTCGCGACTGCTTTAGTGACGGCAGTGGTGTTTTGTTGGGCATGTTCGAGCTTCTCCCCGCCGAGACGTCCACCTGGGTTGACCGGACAATCAGGATGCTGCCAGCTGGTACTATCACGGATGCTGAAGCCAATAAGCTCATGGCCAAGATCAACGAGAAGCTGCAGGGAGGTGATCGTTCGAACTTGAGACATGTCAGGACTCTACTGCAAGACTTCACAAACACGTACCGCCGGAGGTATATCGCGCCTAGAGATGGACTCGGCATGTTGGCGGCGGCAAGATTCCACTTTGAGGGTTAAGCTGCTGGATCGTGGCCTTGTTCGGATTACGCAGGTTTGGAGCTTGGATGTAGGACGTCGAATAATTGCTTACTCGGAGGAGCGGAGGAGAGGTGGAAACAGGTAAAGTATTCGGATTTTGAGATAACTGGACGATGATGGTACGCTAGATGTGGAGGAAATATGGGATTTTGAACCAGGAATGGTTCACGACAAGATAATTAAAAGGAAGGAAGGTTCGACACGATGAATGGATCTGGAGGTTTCAGATACGAAATGTCGCCATGGACGATGAATTACAACCTACAACGAGATGACGGCTATGATGAGATGAGAGATGGATGAGATGATAACCGACACACGGAACCAAGGTACTCGGACTTGAATCAGCGAAAAAGATGGGATAAAAGATTACGACTACAGTGACACCACCGCAAATCAACACGTTCAGTTCAACCGTGGAATATTGGGGGAAGATACCACAATTTAGACATTGGGCGAGTTGTTGAAAATGGTATGTATGGTACGGGAAAAGTCGACTGGCAGCCTGGACCGCGTGCTACACAGCAAGCGAAGGGTATTTCTAGGACGATGTGTGTATATTGGCGAGTAGAGGACATGTGTATGTCTGTATTTGGCATTCAAACGGTGAAAGAGGAGTGTGAGGCACGACGTTATCAAGAGACAGGGTGGCTAACGAATGGAGCGGCCACCTAGGAAGAGGTGGATGTCAGTGACTGAAACTCATTTTGCAGTAGATGTAATTACTTGGTATTGCGTCAAGGTGTTATGTAGCAGGTATATACTCAAAAGCGAAATGCTTATTGACCTAATTTCACAGTTCGGTGATCTCCTTGTGGACGACTGAGGAGCCTCTACACAACATCTGGAACGAATACTAGGCTGATACGATCCGGAATATCAGGCCTTGGCCCAGCTCTGTTCTTCCTTGCCTCATCATTCTCTGGGTTCTTTGTTGTTCCGCCCTCGACTCACCGGGTTTAGACTCAGTCCCGTCCGCAAAGAAAGTAAACGGCCCGATCAATCAAGTCTCTCACGTCCACGTGGTTGC